AATAAATTATTTAATTAATATTATATTTTAAAATATTATAATAATAATAAAATAGTTAATAAGCTTTAAACTCTTTAATAAATTTAAAGATATAATTATATTAAATAAATAAATAAAGATTAAAGATTTAAATCTTTAAGAAATATTATAAAAAGTATATAATAGTAACTTAAATAAAAAGTATTAATAAAAATTAAATAATAAAATTATTATTATAAAATAATAAATTAATTAAAAGGAGATTTAAATAATTATATTAATTAATGCTATAAGATAATAATTAAATATAAATATAATTATTAAATTTATTAAAGCTTAAAATTAAGTTATTTAAATATTTATTTTATATTATATATAAATTAATGTAAATTAATTATAAAAAATAATAATTATATATTATAAGGATAATAATTAAATAAATATACTTAAGATATTCTTTTATATAAATAATATATTAATTTTAATAAATAAAAATTAATATTTTAATTTAAAACTTATAAATAGCATAAAGTTTAAAGTTAAAGATATTATTTTAAAAAATTAATATAATATAAAATTATAAATTAAAATTAATATAATTATTTATTTTAAGCTATTAATAATTATTTTCTTTAAGTTTAAAGAAATATAAAATATTAAAATTTTTAAATTTTTAAAGGAGTAAATTTTATTAATTATAAATAAAATTAAAATAAAATTAATATAAAATAAGTTTAAATTCCTTATAAAAAAGTATATTTAATATAAGCTTATTTATATATTAGCATTTATTTTAATAAATTATAAATTACAAGAAAGAATATTTAAAAAGATTATTATTAATTTAAAAGCATAATTAAGTATAATTTATAATATTAATTTTATTATTATTTATATTACTTTATTTAAATATAAAATATTTTTAAATATTTAAATATTTAAGCTTATTAATTTAAGTAATTAAATTATATTTAATATTTTATAAAATTTATAAAATGCTTTAAATATATTAAAATATTAATTTATATTAATATTAAGAAAGTAATTATAAATAATAATATAAAATAATTACTTTTTATATAAAAATTATATTATTATATTATTTTTTATAATATATTAATATAAACTTTATTTAATAAATATTTATTTTAATATAAATAAAATTAAGAATAATTTATTTTAAAATATAAATTAAGTTATAATTTATTATAAATTATACCTTAAATTATACCTTAAAAACTTACTTTATATTATATTAAATAAAAATGTATATAATATAAGTTTATTAAAGAATAATAATTATATTATTAAAATTATATAAATAATATAATAATTATAAAATATATTTAAGTTAATTAATATAAATAATAAATTTTAACTTAATATATATAATATAAGTAATATATAATTAATTTTAAATTATAAAATTACCTTAAGATAATATTTTTAGGTATTTATAATAGCTTTACTTATTATAAGTTAAATACTATAAAGGACTTTATTATATATATTTAATTAATAAATTTTTATTATATTATACTTAAAGATAATTATAATGTTATAATTTTTATTTATAACCTTAAAACTTTTATATAAGAGCTATAATATTATTAATAATAATAAATATATTTAAAGTTATTATATTATTAAATTACTTAAATTATCTTTATAAATTATTTAAACTTAAATTTAAATAATATAAAGTATTATATAAATTAAATATAAATCACTTCTTTTAAATCTTTACCTTTTTTTAATTTTAATTATATTAAGTATTTTTTATTAAATTATTTAATATAAAAAAAGTAAAAAATTAATAAAAACTTAATATAATATAATTAAAATAATATATATATATTTTATAATTATAAGCCTTATTATTATAATAATAATTTATATAAGCCTTATATATTATTATTTATATAATAAATATAAAGCTAATTATATAAAGTAATTATAAACCCTTTTAATTTTTATATTACTTATAAGGCTTTCTTATTTTCTTATTAAATATTTAAATTAAATAAATTATAAAGTTTTAAATTTTATTAATATAAAGATATAATGTTAAGAATAAATTTAATTAAGAATAATATTGCATTAATAATAATAATAATACTTTAATTATCTTAAAAAATAAAAAATATTAAACCTTTAATAAAATATTTTAAGTATAATTACTTATAATTAAAATATGTTAATAAATATATATAAAAAATTAAATAATTTAAATAAATTTATATATTAATTTTTAATTAATAATATTATAATTATAAATATTAATATTATAATAATATAAAGTTATTAAATATTTAAAAGAAATTAAAGTTAATAACTTTAAATATTATAAAATAAAAGCTTATTATTAAAATAATTAAGAAAATAACTTATATAATAAGATAAAGTAATAATATAAAATTTAATAATAATGCTTATTTAATTAAAAATATATAAATATAAAAATTTAAATTATAAATTAAATATTAAATTTTTAATATAAAATATAAATAAAATAAGAATTAATTTTAATAAGATATTAAATTTATATATTATTAAAAGAGTATAAGACTTATATATTATATTTATTAAATATAGGAAATTTTAAAAAGTAGTTTAATATAAATTATATAGCGGTAAAGAAAATTAATATTTTTTAATAAGAAATGAGTATTAAAGCTTATCCCTTGGATGGGATATAAAACTATTTTAAAAGAATGGCATATAAAACCATTTTAAAAGAATAATATATACTTTTATTAACCCTTTTTTATTAACATTTTAATCCTTATTTAGCTTAATTATCTTTATAATAAATAACTTAAAAAGGTTAAATTAAAGCTTAATATTAATTTTTAATAATGCTTTTAATTCTTTTACTTTTATATATTAATTTTAATAGCTTTTAAGTTAAAAGTAATAAGTAAGGAAGGTAGTAAATTATTGCCTTTTAAGGGGAGGGTTATTAAGGGAAAAGAAGTTATTTAGCTTATAAGGGCCCTTATTTTAAAATAAGTTAACGCTAGCTTTAAAGTACTTTAATTAAATATAAATAAAATTAATTAATTTTCTTTAATATTAAAACGAAACCTTTAAAAGTTAATAACATTATAATAGCTTTATATATTAATATAATAATTATATAATATAATTTTAAAGCTTATTTAAATTAACGTATTATTTATAATTATATTAAATGTTTTTGTTGGAAGGGTTTACTTCACGTGAAGATTTGTTCTGGTGTTTTGGGGTGAGCAATTAATGGTGGTAATAGCTTGTTTCTTTTAAACAGAGAGCCTTTCATAAGGGAACGCTTAAGACGTCCTTATATAGACTTGAAAGACCATATATTAACAGTTTTATATAGCTTAACTTTTAAATATAGCTTTATAATAACTAAATTAATAAAAGAAAGAAGTTTAATAATTAAAAAAATCCCTTATAAAGATATTTAGGAGTATATATAAAGTGGGACTAAATGCGTGCATGCGCGTACGCGGGTGTGGGGCGGTCCGAATCAGGGGTGGTTTAAATTGGGTGAGGGGACGTTAGTTTCTCCCTTCCAACACTGAAGGAGTCTTGCGAACAGCGCCGGCTTATTGAGTTGGCTGAAGCTGGCCACCAAAGTAGCCAAGAATGTGCAAGCCACGGAAACAGGCTTGGGGTTAGACTAGCTGGAATCATAGGCAGGGACGAGTATGACCACTCCTGACGACAGCGTCTCAACATATGCATACCAAGGCTTGACAGTTTTCGGAACTAGATACACGCGATACAGAGATTATTCCGATATTTTAGGACGGAAAGCTTCGCCGACAAAGAGCGTTTTGAAACCCCATGCGTGGAGAGAGACAATAGTTATGTGGGTCTTGTGAATAAGGTTTCGTAAATCATCTCCAGTGAGTCGGCCAGGTGGATACAAGTTGATGCTGGGACAAAGCGCATGGTCTAGACCCAGCTGCGAAATAGCAGGGTTCTCAGACAGTTGGATTTATTCAGGACGTTCATATCCTCTGGGAAACCTGTGATCTCTCCGTGTCTTGCGCCTGTCACATAAAGAAACAGCATGGTGTGGGCTGGTGGGCCCGGCCAACCCAGAATTCAGTGAATCCGGTGAAAGCAGAACCAACGGCATGAAAGTAGATGGAGAATTCAAATTCAAGGCTTCCCAAAAGAGAGCCAGAGTATGCCCACCCAGCTTCCACAGTACGCCCACCCAGCTTCCAGCGTTGGCCCACCTAGTATAAGGAAATTGGCTGCATGTATTAATAAAATATAAGTATACTTTGGATTTTACCCCTCCGCCCCTTTACCCCTTCATCCCTTTACCCCTTTACCCTTTTACCTCTTTATCCCTTTACCTTTTTATCTCTTTATATCCTTTATATTCTTTATGCCCCTTTATATTTTTTATATTTCTTAAGGCCCTTTTTATTACTTAAAGCCCTTTTTATTACTTAAAGCCCTTTTTACTTCTTAAAGCAATTCTTTATATCTTTAAAGCTTTTTTTATTTTTAAAGGCTCTTTATTTTTTAAAGTCCTTTTTTATTTTTAAGAGCTTTTTTTACCTTTAAAGGCCCTTTTTACCCTTAAAAGCCCTTTAATTAAGATAGTTTTTTTTTTAACTTATTATAAGCTAGCTAAGGGGGGGGGAGGATGCAGGGTAGCTTTTTACTTATTAAGAAAGTACTTAATTTTATTACCACATATAGCTAATTTCCTTGTACTGGGTGGGCCAACGCTGAAAGCTGGGTGGGCGTACTCTGGCTCCCCCAAAAGATGGCTCTGAGCCAGCTGACCTGTATTTCAGCCGTCATCCAATCCAAAGCAGGGTGTCAACCAGCCGAATTAGTTACATCCACTGAGGTCACATCTCTCAATTGTGCCAATTACCTATCTAAGCAGATGAGTTGCTTGGTTAAATAATTTATTTCACATTCTAAACGTACAATTCTGACTTGTTTACAAGCCCTTCTCACCCTCAACATAGCCTTTACGCTACTCCAATATAGCGGTGGGTTAGCTACCTCCTGTACCTTCTGAGGCTTCCAAAGCGATCGAGGTCGGGGTGCGCATCTTCGAAGTCGAGCCCGAGCTCGAGCCCAAGACCGAGTCTACCTGCTCGCTCGACTTCTTCCCGCCTACGCCGTGCCCTTGCCTCGCGTTCTCTTTCCTCTGCCATAGCGTATGCCTCCTCAAGCCTTCTCCTCTCAAGACGCAGCTCGGTCAATTGTCGTCTGTGTCGCTCAATCTCCAGTTGTTCCTCTCTGGCTTTTCGAGACAGCTCGGCATCCTCTTCGGTCGCTCGCCTTCTCCGCCGAGCTTCGACAGCGTCGCGGTGGATCCGACCCGAGCGAGGTCGTATGACTTCTTCTGGTGCGTTTCTAGTGGTCTCACCTCTGTCTCCGAACCTGACGGATTGTGACGCGCGAGACGGAGAGTTGAGATCTCGAAGGATGCCTCGATAAGCTCCTAAATCGTATTCATCCTCCTCTTTCTGCCGGCTGAGGCTCCGTTTCTTGGGCTCCGTAAGATCTTCAAGCTTCTTTGCGTTTCCTATAGCCAACTCGCCACCGGTCCTCCTCCTCCTTTCCGACCCGGAAACCACTTCGGATCTTGTGGCGTTTTCTTCTTCAGCTGTCGCTGCCCGAGAATCTCGGCCTTGAGGCTCGTGCGTGTCCCACGTGCGGGCTTTTCTGGGAAGCTGAAAACCACTCGGACGTCCAACGCCGTCGACATCATCCACTGCTGGTGGTCTCCTCTCTTCCTCAACATCCCCCGGATCGGATCGGATGGCCGTGCTTCTCACCAGGCGCCTGGCACGGTCGAGATGATCCTGTGCACCGGAGGTGGCAGGGTCTTGGGGCATGGTTTCTTGATGTGCTCTTGTCAATGTTTCAGCCTCATTCCTGGATTTGTCGATGCTCTCGATCTCATTCTCGTCTTCATGCTCAACAGAGTCGCTTCCGGCGCCATCGTTATCTAAGTCCTTGTCTGCGTCCAATACTGTATGCATGTGGTGGCCGTCACTCTCAGCAGCGGGGAGTGGTACCTGAGTAGCGGGGCCGCTGTGAGTATTGTCGTCCTCTGGACTACAAGCCTCCTCTTCAGACGTCTGTACTACTGCATCAGATCCAATTGCGAGGTCGGCGGGGCTCTCGCTTGTTGTTTCAACGTGTGGTCGTCCGCTGTCCAATTCGATAACGGGACTGTCCAAGCTTCCAACCTGCGATCCCTGCCCGTCATTTGCAGGTAGCGGTACAGGAAGCTCTTCATTGATCGTCACTTCGTCGTCTTGCTGCTCTGGGTCGCTTTGCTCCGATGTCTCACTGAGACCAGGGCTTATTGGGCCCGCCTTGTTGGTGTCGTCCACCGCATCATTCCCAGGGGTCCATGTGAGTAAAAGCTGATCGATGGCGTCACCTTCGGGGCCTGGAGAGCTTGCTTTAGGATCATATGGCTCATTGTCAAAGTGAGTGGGATATCTCGCTTGATCCCGTGCTTGTAGTTCCATGCGTGCGAGATCATAAGCCGCAGTGTCTGAAAGGTCTTCATCTGTTCGTGTTCGCCTTAGCGTGCTCCCTCGCGCAAGTATGTTCAACCTCTCTTCAGCCTCCCTTAAGAGAGATTTTACTATAATCAAAAGCCAGTTAGCCGGCGACAAAGCTAGATGATATGAGATAGACCGGGGTACAAAGACCACAAACACCGTGTGGCCTCTGGATTAACACAACAAACACATGTACTTCCAATCTCGGAGGAAGAGAACCTTTTTTTGGAAAAATAAAAAAGGAAAATACGGAAGGAGAAACGAAAAACCACTTACTCATATTCAAATCCAACCTTGCTTCTTCAGCCTCAGAGACTGTCCGGGCTTTTTGTAGCCTCTCAGCGGCTTTACCTTGGCGGTGCTCGAGGGCCCTGATCACCAGCACCTCGTTGCGGACCTCGTTGTCAAAGTCCCCCCGTTGCAAGCCATCTATGCTTTCGCGCGGTCGACGAGAGAACCTCTCGTTGAACGACGATCTTTCTGCCTCTGGTTGCCAGTAACTCGCTCTTTCGATCTCGCGGCGAGCGTCGACCTGCCCGTAGTATCGCTCCAGGGCCGACTGCTCACGCTTCTCGGCTTCGTCCTCTATCTCCTGATGTTTGCGTCCCGCAGAGTATGCGTCATAACGCACTTTCGACAATTCATTGCTCCAAGATCTCGATGGTGAAGGAACTCGGGATCGTGCTCGTGATAACATGTTTCGACTTTCATACACACCATCACCGGCGTTGTTTGTTGAAACTCTCGATAGCGGCGGTCTCCGAGCTGTGCTCTCCCTGTCGGTACGGGAGGGTTTTGACCTGGACCTGGACCTTCTGGAGACTGAATCTTTCAGGTACTCGGGCAACGCAGTCTTTCTTTCAGGGTCGACGTCGACTCTGATGAAGTCGATGCTACCAGTGTCTGCGGCGGCTGTGTCTTTTTCCAACTCGGTCTTCTTCTCGAAAGATCTTATGGAAGGTGAGTGTGCCTCTTTATTCGGAGCAGTTAACGGTACTGGCATGGAATGTAATGGCAGGGGAGCGGCTTCTTCCATGGGCCTGCTCAGGTTGTTTTCGTTCGCGTTCGTCGCCGCCACTGTCGTCGTGGAGGAGCCATGCCTCGGTCTCTCGGTATATTCGAAGCCTGGCCGCGGCTCCCGCGCAAAAATAACCAAAATCCCTGAGTCCTCACCCCTCTTCCAGAAAAAAGAAGTTTCTTTCTGCATGACCTGTAATTGGCGTAGCAGCCAGTACATGCTGGGATTTGTCTCGGTCGTCACGACATTGGTGTGGACTCGGGTCACCTGCGCCTGCTGGTCTGCCCGAAGCGATAGCTTCTTGTCTATCACGGAAGTCTTGTCCGAGTCGAGCTGTCTGATCCGTTCCAGGATCTCGTTGGTGCCCAAAGGCTCTTCCCGCACGCTGCATCTGACCCAGTTACTCGAGTCCTTGGCCAGCGGCTGGATGGAGAAAAGGCGATATTCCCGTGAGGATAAGGAGTCTTCGTCTGAACTATCTTCATCCAGCGTCAACATGTCTGAGACATCTTGGATGCCACGTGTATTCAAGCTGCTCTGGCGTGCCTGATTTCGGATCAAGGAATGGGAAGACCGTTGTCGTGTCAGGTCGGGCCTCAAATGGCGCGACTTCGGCTGAGACTGGCCTGCTGGTAGAATTTGTTAGTCATATTTTTGATCTTTGTTCTTGAAACCTAAATAACAACGCACTCACACCCAGACCGGCTGTCGTTGTTGGGGAAGGGGAAGGAGATAGATATTGACCTTGGAATGAGGATGATTTACTGCTTTGATGTTGTTGGACTGGAGCCCTGAGTACTGATGTCTCCGAGTTCTCTTCCACATAGTAATGCTCTTCGACAATGGCCAGATACGCCGGGCAGCCATTCTTCTTCCACGATTTGAAGTACCAGCCACCACTCATCCTTTTCAAATCTACCAGAAATGGGTATGAGCCGTCATTTCCATGATCTTGCAGTACTTGCTCCAGAGCATCCAAGTCCTCTTTCGTCATGGTGGAGAAGGTTCTGAGAAATGACTTGTGTGCCACTCGAAATCGAGATCGCCACAATAAAGAGACTTGGCGGCGACCATTAGGCTTCCAGGGGCCCTTTGGAACCCAGGGTGATGTGTGTCTGTATAGAGGAACGAGGTGAGCGGAGCCAGCTGCAATCTTGTAGGCTGCGATTAGTACGCGGTTGGTCTCCTCAAAGGTCTTGTTTGGGGTGCTCAGGGTCCGCGACCTGCTCCTTTCTTCGAGCCCGAGGTCCTTCTGGTGTGTTTCAATGTACCTTGTAGAACCTGCTTTTGTTGAATCTCTGTGAAACTTTGAGCCCCGGCGGTAAGAACCTCGTCGTTCCGGCTCATTTGTATTCCCGGCTTTTGCTGGACCTTCCATTCCGCTCCGCCATACATGGGCGTCATTTTCTTCCTTGTAATGACTATTTTTCGCAGTTTGAATATCTGGTGCTGCTTGGACACCAGGGAGAGGCCTTTGATTGTGATTATTTTGTGCTGAAGCCCGAACAAATACACGCTCTGGCACTGAACTAGTGATATTCTCCCCTCCTCCTTCGCCTCTTTCATGAGCAGCAGCATGATGGTTTTCGCGATGTGCTCCCGTGGACCGGATTGAGCTGGTTGACGCTGCCGAAGTACGATCTGGGTTTGGTTCGTTCTCTACTGCGGCTCTAGGAGGAACCCCAGCGTCATCAGAGGCAATAGATCTAGTCTCGGAATTGGGAGTCCCAACTGTGCCACAGGTTTTGTTAATGATGTACAACACGATATTTCCAGAGAATTGCAATATATCAACGTACCAGAATCAACAATGGACTTCTGTGTGTCCTCTCTGCGTTCACATAGCGTATTCGGCCCAGTTTCATCGTTCTCGATATTATTCGTTTTGTCACTCAACGGCTCTTGAGCGGGCTGTTCCACAGGGGCAGGGGATGGTCCGGTATCGTAGGTCTTTGATGCGGCATTGACATTACTCCTCGAGGACTTTATATCTGTCGGGGCCATCTTGAAGTTTCTCCCCCCAGTCGTGTTTGGGCTGCTTGGCTTCGTTGTGATCGGGCGACTCTGCGTTACCTGGGGACGAGAAAACTCGGAAGCGATTATTACAATGTCTTTGTGACTGAGCAATACGCGGTATGCTGCATCTATAGACCTGAGATGCGCGTTGCTGCGGAGACTGTTTGTCGTCAAATAAGATTCAATATCCCATATCGACGAATAGGCCGACTTACTGGGTCCCGATCGTCCGAAGTTCTCCGAGTGAGACCACGGAGCACATCAGTGTGAGACAACCCTGGTAGTGATGAAACTGCTGGCTGTACCCGTCAAGCTTGAAGTCAATGTAAGTCCAGCGGATACTTCCAAATACGCTCCAGCTCGGATCGCCAATGGTATCATCAAGGGAGACCTTCGCCGCCTCGTCCTTGATGAGCAGCTTGTTGAATTGGACAAGTTTTCTTGCCAGCTCCTCATCAGACGCAGAATCCTTGTTTCCCGTGATAGTGGCTTCAATCCTCCAGAAGATGATCAGACATTGGTCTGCTGTATCCTTGAGATCAATCAGAGCCTGTAGTGAAAAAAGCTGGAGCCGCCCCCGCCTATTCACCATGCGCTCTCGCTCAAGTTTGACGTATGTGTACAAACTCTCCAGTGCCGAGGCTGTCGATCTGATTGAAGCGAGTAAGTTCCTTAGGCTTTCTTTTGCCGAGCGGACCTTTGACTGGACTTTTTACAAATAAGCACCTAGCTGCAGTCCAAACGCGGCGATACCGACTATGGATCCAGCGGCACCCAGTGCAGTGATCGGGTCCATATATTCAGTTGGACCAATCCGGAAGTTGCAAGCCGGCACATTGAGTATGGATGTTGAAGCGGAATATGTCGAGGAGTGTGAGACTGAACATTTTGACAAATGACAACATGGGAGGGGGGAGGAGGCGGGGAGAGATGGAGAGAAGGACGACAAGGCTCTCAACGTTGGAAGAGCTGAAAAAAGACGACATCCATAATTTCGCAAGTCTGTCACACAGGAGGATCCTACTGCCGACTGTTGCCGCCACTTTTCGTTAGCTTCACGCAGTGCAACGGTGTATGTCTATACCTAATTAGGACAGCTGCAGCGCTTCATGCAAAACAAAGTCAGCCACTGCGGTGCATCTACGCAGGGGGTTGTCTCAGGCCCCCAAAATACCGGCTGGGAAAAGATCAGCCGTTAGGGGGCTGAATCCTCTCCCGGGGAAAAACACAAGAACGAAACAGATTGACCGAGAAGCGCTCTGAATTTATTGCGATCACCTTCAACTGCCTTCACTGCCTAGGCTGCCCAAGAGACGCAGGATACGGCCGAGTCCGCGCCGATGGCGAAGAAGACGATGTCGAAAAAGGCATCCACCAAAAAGAAGTCAGATGAGGAAAGTAAAAAGGAGAAAAGGCGGCCCAGGATCAAGGTGAAAACGTCTCCGGGATGTCCTTCGTCCAAATCTGGAACCACGAAATCTTCGACTGCCCTACTGGAGCCTGTCGATGCTGATTCGAAGGCCAAGAATAAGCCCACTAAGCAACTATGACTCGGAAAGGGTGGCCGAATCTCGAGCGCCATCGCAATCCAGGGCCAAGTCATTCAATCATTTTCTCCAAGAGCACTTGAAATTGGATGCAACTCGCAAACTGCTTGGCCCAGGAGACTCCAAGCCGGCCCTGTACACGACTCTGGGACACTCCTCCTCGACTCTGCCCAAAGACTCCGCTAGTTTACAGTTCTCGGGATCCAAGTTGAGCACCTCAAAAGGCTCAGGGCTAGTCATGAAATCCTGTGTGCCTGATTTCACAGAACTCACAGGATCTGCACAAGTATCTGGGACTCTCGCAAGTTACTGACTGGTTGTCTAGGGATCGCATAGCATGTATCAAATAACATGATCTCGAAAGGCGAGGCTCAAGGCGGATATTGTATTGACTACTTAGAAGTGTCTATCATATCCATCGCTTTCCACGTGGCGTCCCTTCTCCTTTAAGAGCCACCCTGTATAGCGTCAAAGCCCCGTCCAGAGCTACCCTGTCCGCTGCCTCCTTGTCCGCTGCCTCTCTGTCCAGCATCTTGTCCAGTGGTTCCTTGTCCGGTGGTTCCTTGCCCAGCGCCTCCCTGTCCAGTGTTTCCAGAGGGGGGTGGCTGTGGGGAAGGAGACGGTCTGCAGCATGTTAGTCTAAAGTACACGGACCAGCACCGTCAACGGAACAAGGATAACCGCGAGGCAGACTTACGGCTGGGGGCGGAAAACGGTATGCGCGGGTTTCGGCGGCATAATGCTGCGATGATTCAATTCAGCTAATCGGTTTCTTAGTCGATTCTTAATTCTGGTGATGTCTTTTTGCTTGTTGTGGTGTGAAAGCCGATGTTGAATTGAATGGAATTAAAGTTACACTATACTGATTCTTCTTTAGATATTTATACTGGTCTACACGCCCGTGACTCGAACCGGCCGGTTCGAAATAGCCATGAAGACGGAGCCGTGATTGATCTCTTTAAGTTGACTGTATTGGCTGTCAGGCGGGTGCATCAATCACTCCGGAGCTTAATCAACTGGATGATTCGATATTGCCATGGCTCAGTCCTTAGTCAGGACTGACCAACTACTCAAGTTGAATTCGCACTCGTCGCAGCCAGGAGCTACTGGGAGATGATTATGGCAGATTGTCTAGTCACTTCCAGCATCACTAATAGGCAGGATAAGTCGGATTGATGAGTTGTCAGCCAATTGGGGGAATCATACATGTCCACAAGACCCACACCGCTCTGTCTATCATCGAGCATTGATGATAGGCATATGACTCTGTATTTTTCTCTATGAATATCCTATCTCATACCTCCCACAAACTGGAGCATTACACCTGACACTGCGTGGCAATTCAAAGCAAAGAGGGTGGCAGGCTGTGGTGATTCAACAGCTTCATACACCGACCTGAGACCTCCACGGTATTCCATAGTTCAACGCTACATGGTTTCCGTGGTTGTTCAGATTACTCAGCACCAATGCAGCTGGTTTATACAACAGTAGATATTTGACTTGGAAAGTAGGAGAAGACAAGCACATGTTGCACAGCATTAAATATTGGACTTGGCTTCGTGCTTCCGTCGACATTAGTCCTGGTTCGGGGAAGAAGGGCACTTTCTCGTACAGCCTCAACAGCAACTCATTTACGACCTTTGGCTCGCAACTGACTCTGAACAATGAATTGGAGTTTTTCATGGGCTATCGATACGGCATTTTCAACTTCGCCACGAAGGCTCTTGGTGGTTCTGCCAAGGTTGAGTCTTTCACAAGTGCTTAGGGGCGGTTGTATGAGATTTCGCTCTACCTAGGTAGGCTTGAAGCCTCGAGATGGGCTTCCCCTGTAGGATTGTTCCATAATGTTGCAGGGTGCAGGGAATGCATAGTGAGCATTTCGGCCATTCTTTTTCTCCGATAGCTATTATAAGAGCTTCGGCTTCCTCTCGTTGCTTTAGATCTTTTCTGATCAGAACAATCAACTCCCCTTTATTATTTTTGAAGACAGAATTTAGTGATTATTTCAACCCTATGCATTATGACCTTCTTTTATTCGTCCTCGCGTTAGAGTGCCCTTTGGTATAGCACTGGGGCTTCTAGCAGAACTATGCGCCACTATCTGTGTGGTGCCCGTTTTCAATAACTATGGGCTGGTGGTTCAGCTGAAGTAAGACACATCTTACATGTAGCCTAAATTGATGTGTTCTGGTAGCAATGAGTCGGCAAAAGATGCCACGTCCTCGGTCACTCTGTGAGAAAGACTGCGAGAGCCAATATCCACCAAATCTGGAGATCGGCCAGAAGCGGGAACTCCTTCATCACACTGTCCACGGTTTCCAATGGCGGAGGCGGCCAGTGCCCGCAATGGCGGCTCTGAGGTAGTCCGGACAGTGACGCACTGAAAGTTTGTCATCATGCAATTCAGCGGTTGCAAAGAGTCTCCCCCCATCTTTTGTCCACGGCCTCCAAACCATTTCCTCCATGTTGCGTACCACTCTTAGGTAGAGCATTTCACCTGAGCATTCCTCGAGGCTCAATTCTACAACACTCGTCCAAAACACACCTGATTGAGCCCATACACAGGCCCGCAAGCAACACCCAAGAGCCACCATGATGCCCAGCATGTGGACCATCCCCTTGCTGCACTGCATCGGCTGCTGCCAAACTGTCTGCAGTGGGGCATGCCTGGCAAGTCACCGCGACAGGTACTGCTGCCATAACCCCAGCTGCATCTTCCACGCGCCGTGTCCCGCCCCACCTGAGCCGAGGGAGCCAAGGACCACCCGGCCCGCCATCACCTCTTCGACGACCGAGCAAGCACCGACCCCCTCGACCGACGATGCGGCCCAAGCAGAGGAAACCCCGGCGGCCACGTCGGGGGACCCGAACGTGATTTGCAGGGAGACGATCACACGCGAGTGGCGCCTGGTCGGTGGAGATGGTACGCCCGCCGCTGGGCAGACTGCCGCGGCGGCCCCGACTTCCACCCCGCCGGCAACTTTCACCATTGAAGAGTTCGAGGCACAGGCGCGACTACTGGCCCAGTTCCAGCGACCTCAGGTTCCGCAGGCGCAAAGGGGACGGGCAAATGCTAGCGCTCGTGGGAGCGGGGGTGTGCATGGGGCCAGGAGGCCTAGAGTTCGGATTGAGTTCGATTAGGGGACACTACAGGATGCGAGAGAGGTGAGCGTGGGAAATGGAGCGTGGCAAAGCATGTGGTGCCTCACGAAGCCCCTGATGGAGCCGTGGTGGAGAGTAGGACGACTGGGACTTTCGAGATTTCGTGGCAGGTGAGAACGTGGATTGGACTTGAAGGGCGGTGTTATCACAATGGGCGACGACGATGGTCGGTCAAGGGATTAAGGAGGTAGGATTGCGTTGAGTGTGCTTCATCGGACGGCCAGCCACGAAGTGTGTGGCCAGTTTTTCGTGGGAGATGCGGTGAGTTGTTGCGGCATGTGTGCGCTGCCTTCATCTTCCAGCTTCTTCAGATCGAGATTGGAATTAAACTTGCTGGACTGAGGCGTTGGAGTTCCTCGAATAAGCTAGATCTCGAAAAGGTATTTTCAAATCACAAGCTGTGAGCGCATGATGACCTGTTTCTACTGCAACCTGCCCACCAACAACTGTATTGGTAGCATTGACTCGGAGGTTGCCACAACAGCAAAGACAAGCCTCAATGGTAAATAGAACCCTGAGCTGGTTGTGGCCAGGGTTCGGGGCTGTCAGCAAGCTCACTGTTCTGCGTGTCCCGTCATCCGAAGGGGGACAAGATAGTCCTGGTTCAACTTGAGGGAGAACCATGGGCTGGTCCATGTTGGCGGATGAGTTCTGCCATACCTCGAACCCGCCGGAATGCCTGGTCCACCCGCGAAAAGGTCTGTAGGGTGGGCATCCTGCGGTCTGTGAAGCTGTATCCAACAAGTACTTTGCCCAACGCGTATCGACTCAAGTTCTTCAGACCTCAAAGTACAGCTCGTAGTGTTTTGCACAGCCCGGGTTGAAGTTCGAAGCACAACCTGGGCACTTGTTCCCACAGCTCAGATACTCATTGACAGACAGTTCGCGGCGGCAATTTCCGCAGAGCACAGCCTTTGCGTTACGTTCGTGCCTCGGCCAGACCTCCGGGGTATGCGTATGACCGGCCAGCGCGTCATGGCAGCTGATACAGGCATAATACTGGCCGCAGCACTTGTGCCTGATGGCGATGATGTCCAGGTCCGAGTGCCAGTGGACGCATTGCGTGGTGGGAGAGACGTCGATGCCGTGGACGAACGGATGCTGCGGATGGGAGTCGGGGTCTCCCAGTGAGGAGGTCATGGCTGCAGTGGATTTTGTTTTTGTAGGGACATGATATGACATGCCATCAACACTGGATGATGAGTTGGTCGAGGTGCTGGTTGCTGTGGGCACGTGTACGCAGGCGTGCAAGCGTGCAGGACATGCAAATGAGGCATGGGTGGGGTGCTGCTGCCAAGCCTAACCCCGGCTCGAAGCCCTCGACACCCAACCAGAGCTCTCGGTTTTCTCTGCGACGCCGCACAACCGCAACGGCGGTCTCTCGAGATAACAGCCCATCCCACCATCCCACTACTGCCGAGTCGCGTCGAGACGTGTCAGCCGCTGATTCTCCTTCGACATGCCCGCCGCCGGGCAAAAACGAAAACGGGCTGGTGCCGTTGACAGGGCCAACAACAACGCGAGCAGCAGCCACAGCGAAAACAATCACCAGTCCGCACAACCAGCCGTCCCCGAAGCCTCAAAGAATGCGAGCCCCGGACTAGGTTCAGAGCCGCCCAGAGATGGCGCTCGCAACCCAGTAGCCCCCGACACCGAGTACACCTCCCTGCGCAGGATAACGCGACGGCTACCCGACGAACCAGGTCACCTCCTCGATGGCGTCGACATAACCTCTGCCGATCTCAGCTGGACCGCTCGCGAAGAGGGCGATGACATCAATCCAAAGACCGGGGAGCCGTGGCTGTACCCCAAGAGGAGGAGGGGCAAGGGGGAAGGGTCCAACCTCGAGGACTTTAGGGAGGATATCCAGGAGAGGACGAAAAATGGCCAGGGTTGCAAGGCCATCTCCGAGATACTCATCGCGAAGGGTGTCGACACCAGCGTCAGGGCCGTCGCGAGGCAGAGGATGAAATGGGGACTCAGGCAGAGGGTACGTCTCTCATGACATCAACCCCAGAAGTAGCAGCTCCAGGAGCAGGAGAATCGCCATTCATCGAGTCGTCAACTGACTCTCGCCCTCTGCAGGCGCCCCGGAGAATGACAGAGCAAGGCATCGCCAATATCAGAAAGGCCCACCTCGAACAAGCGAAACGCATGGCCAACAGCGACCCCGTTCCCGTCAAGCGAGTGCGGATCCGTGTCATGCGCAAGGCTGAGATCCTTCGCATGACGAAAGAAGGCATGTCCACGGCACAGATCGCAGAGAACCTGCAGTCCCGCGGCGTCAAGCTCAAGCGAGGCGCGGCCACCGTCGAACGACTCCGTACCATATGGGGTCTCGTCCCCGACTCGGAACGTAACGTAAACAACATCCGTCAATTCCATCGCAACCAGGCGCTCAAGCTGCAGAGGGAGCAGTTCGAGAACATCGCCACCGAACTGGGAATCGAGGATGTGAAGGCGTGGGTCAAGAGCAAAATGGATGAGGAGGGTGCATTGGAGGCCAGGCGTGAGTACGGCTACAGACTCATGGGCCATCTGAGGCCCAGGCCCGTGGAACCCGAAACCATGAGGGCTATTGTCAATCACTGGAAGGCGAACAAGGCCAGCAACAAGGCCCAAGAACATGGCGCAGGATCAGAAGGCATTGAGACTCCTGACCAGCTGGCGACGTCTACCGAGCCTGAGACTCCAACAGCACAAGGGGCGGCCTATGATCCTATCGAGCTCTCGGATGACGACGATGAGTTGGATAGCGAGGAGGACGAGGATTGTGAAGGTGACGAGGACCAGGAGCCGCCGGCTGAGGACGTAAAGGCCCAGCTCTCACGGCTGGGTGTAGAGACTGACCACTCCGAATCTCGCCGATCGCAAACCAACTCGACCAATGGTTCATGCCATCCAACGCTCGAACCCACCTCAATGGAGATAGACCGTGCCTTCGACAACTCGCACAGGAACCAGGCTGCTTTGCCAGATCCCCCAATTCGCAATGCCATCACTGATCCCAACGTCCCAGGTGGCCTTGTCTACCCGCAGTACTGGACGGGGACCAATATGCAAGAAACGCAGCCTGGTCCCGAAGGCATTGGCCAGCACCCGCCAGTACGACAAAAAAATGCCGCTCCTGTTGCCTCTGCTCCGTTCGAGCCTCCCTCACAAGGCTGGATCGAACTTCGAACGCTGGGCCCATCAACAGGTCACAGGCGAATCGCGCCCAAGCCAGGCGCCCCTGGGCCCATTATTCGACCTTTTGTACCCCGTCTCCCACCCGTCATCACACCTCCAGGCGAGGCTGAGATGATGGCTAAATATGGCCTGTATCCCTTCGCGACATTCAGGAGAGAACCTCAGAAATATCTCACCCCCTCCGGCCTGATCACGACAGAAGGCTACGAATACCTCCCGAGTGCACCGGGATTCCCGGGGATTCCCGGTTCTATGCAGCAGCAACAACAACAACACCAAACCCCGTCACAGGGCGCCCTGATGCCCCTTAACAGCACGGCGCCCCACCAGCCGCCAGGCGCGCACCAGCTTCCACCTGATGTAATCATGGTGCAGCCCCCGGCGCCGCCACGGCCCAGCAACGTGCCCGCGCCCCCGCTGGTCATTCCGCCCGAGGAGGCGGAGAGGCACCGGGCCAGCTACGACGCTATAGAGAAGCACCACAAGGCCGCGCTCGAGTGCATGGAATACCTGGCGGCGCGGGCGGACGCCAGGCCGCTTAGGGAGAGCCTCACGGGCATGCCGCCTAGCCTGAAGGATGTTGAGAACGCCAAGGGGAGGCTGAGGGAGGCTGCTGAGGCTATGCTCGTCAGCCTCTGATGAGGTGTGGACTCATTCAGAGTCTTGATGTCTCGTGTACATATCCAGGTTGCGTATGGTTTCGTGACTTATCACTCCTGGCTTGATGACTTAGTGGAGGATGTATTGACGGAACCATGTAAGTCCTAATGCAGCACATACTGGCCCAAAGGTGCATGATCACAGCCAGAAGACCTAAGGCCACTTCGAGTTCTGGTGGGCGGGCCTCCATCGCGACGGCACATTTAAGCCATACGTAGCCCATGCGGGAATCCTCATCCCAGCAATGCTCCCGTAGCATCTCGTGGCATCATCACGGCGACAGCATCCGTTCTCATCAGCGTGCACAGATGTAGAGCAGCACGAAGTCATATCACTCGTCACGAGCGTATCGGTTCTCAACGACTATCTATTACGCAGCTAGTTACCCCCTTTCATCGCCTTCTCTAGAACCCTTGCCGCCGCAAGGACCTCCTCATCCTCAACCCGTTTTCCGGCGAGCTGCAGCGCGATGGGAAACCCATCGAACAAGTCTGGATCATCTGTGTAGAGATGTCAACATCATGTCAGAGTCAAAGGGAAGTCGAAGGACTTACAGGCTCTCCATTCTTTCTTGTCGACGTCGCTCCTGGGATTATAGGTCTCGTCTCTGACGTCCACGTCCTTGTCACATCTGAGCCCACTGGGCAGAACCACAGAGGGCATGTCCAAGATGTCCCAGATAGAACTGTAGTGGGGATACTTCACACTGCCTTGCAGTGCTCCTGCGCCCACGTAGGCAGGCCCGAGGATGAAGTCCACCCCTCGATCCTTCATCAGCGCGTCGTGCTCCCGCTGATGCTTTTCTCGCTCCTGCCTCAGCGCCGAAGTGTCATGGGCAGTAAGGGGGATCTTGTCGGACTTCTTCGCCATGCCGAAGGCATGTCGCGTTGAAGGTAAGGCTGGCTCGCCGGATTCGTCAAACTCGTCGAGGTACCGCTGGCCGCCGTCCGGGAAGGAGAGAGACGCGAGGATATCCAAGCCCCGCTGGTGATTGCACGGCTCCCAATCCACAACCCTGACGCCAACAGCCTTGAGTTTATCGACGGCCGTCCTCAAGGCCCGCAGCACGGGCGGGTGAGGCCTGATGATCCCGTCGTCCCACATCACGCCCACGGTGAAGCCTCCGAGGCCGACATCCGATCTCCACGGGTGGGACGCAAGGGACGTGTCGGCATCACGCGGCGCCTGGGCGAGCACCGCCTTCATCCAGGCCTCCAACCCGTCTACACTCCGCGCCAAGGGCCCTGCCACACCTCCTGCGCTCTTCTGCTCCCCAGTTGGCCCAACGACTCCATTCATTGGAACCCTCGACGCCGTAGGCCTGAACCCATAGCAACCCCCAAACGCAGCAGGGACCGGAACACCCCCGCCAACGTCTGCCCCGACGCCGAGCACGGAGCAACCAGCCCCAACGCTCACGCCTTCGCCACCGCACGAGCCGCCTGCCGAGAGCCGCAGGTCACGCGGGTTGAGCGTGCAGCCCATGATGTTATTCTCACAATCAAGCCCCACGAGCGCCTGGGCCACATTGGTCCGGAGGTGGACCACCGCGCCGGCCTGCCTGAGCTTGCGCACGAGGTGTGCGTCCTCGGCGGGCGGGGGCCCGCGGCTGATGCGCGAGACGATGCCGGCGTGGGCGATGCGGCCTGCGAGGGGGATCGGCTCTGCTAGTGAGGTCGGGATGCCGTGGAGGGGCCCGGCGAGGAGGCCTGTTGATGCGAGCTGCGCGTCAAGCTCGTCTGCGCGTTTCAGGGCGTCTTCTTGGAGAAACTCCGTCGCGAAATTTGTCTTTTTGGGGGTCTGGTCAGCATCGCTCTGGGGCCTATGCGTCGGCGCTGTGGCGTCACTCACCATTTGATTCATTATTACTGCCTTCTTCAAGAAAGCCGTGATGACTTGTCTCACTGTCCACTTGCGAGTTCGGTACGCCTCCAAGAGTGACTCAACGTCTGAATTTGTCATCTCGATCTCCTCGGTTGTGAGTTTATCAGACTTTGCAGGCACGTTCAACACTGCATGTTGTTCCTCCGATGGTAGGTCTTCCGGTTCCAAGAGCCATTGTTTTGGTACTGACTTATCGCGTATGTCAATACTGATCCTCGCTGTTCCGCCCCACCACCTCATTTTGTCTAGTTGATTATAGAGATGAACTCAAAACTTTCTAAGTATGTTACGGGTTGACTTGTTCAAATGGTGATATGCTGATGGTGGGTGAGTGGTGATTTAAATCACGACTCGGACTGACTCTGGTCATGTCTTATAAGCTTTTGTGAAAGTATTCTTGGCATCTGCCATCCGCCATCCGGCTGCCTCAACGGATGTCTCCACTAACAACCGGCCGCAGCAGCCCGGTCCATGCTTTATCCTTGACGAACCTTCAGGAGTGGGTCCATCGTATAACCCACGACACGTCCCACGACAATGAGATGCATAAGCGCCCTCCGAGATGGCCAAGACAAGCTGTCAATGCTTGTTTTCACGTGCTGGCTGATGCTGGATGAATATGATGTTTGTAGAGTTTAGACAACTAAGCTACTGCATCAGGCCAGCGAGGCCAGTAAAAGCAACAGCTGGCTTCTATAACCCGACGCAGCAACCAAGTATTAATACAGTCTCCAGAAGAAAACAACGGCGTCTCGAAAACCCGTCCTTGTGCACCGAATTCATCAACAGGGACCGAAATAGTCGAGCATGATGCCCAAGCCAGATCGCTTTGTAGCCCCGCGTGCCCGGGCTCCCCGCAATCCTTCAAAAGCAAGCTGTACAGACCACAGACGCCTCAGACAGCAGCTCTGACGCCGTCTCACTTCCGCAGGCGGAGACGACACATTCTCCGGCGGATGAAATCAGAGCGTCGGAGCTCGTGCATTGGCATGCAAAGTCGGCTGTGCCGCAGCCGATTGCCGAAGCAGCGCTGGTCATGCAGGGCACCTTTGTTTCTCTGTTAGTATCCAAGGTGTCTCTCTCGGATGAGCGCTGGGGTGCTCTTACTCCGCAGGTGGGAATGGTCATGCCAGTGGTGCAGCTGGTGGTTTGCTGGGAGGCTGTGTTGGCAGCGACCAGATGGGCAGCGAAGAGGATGAAAGTAGTCTTCATGGCGTCTTTGAAATCTTTCCTTTTGAAATTCCCGTTTGGAATTGAAGGTTGCTTCTGACAGAGAGGATGCGTGGATGCCCGACATATATACCCATTCGATTTGTTGGTGACATCTGTCTAAAGCTCTAGGACTCTTCTACTCAAGGGTTTGAATGTGCGTGACCGCCTGTCACGCATTCAGCTATATCTAGGCGAACCGCATCCGTTTCTGAGATGCCGTACTTGTTACACCCGAGCTTTGGCGAATTGCTGTGACACAGGTCTTACTCTGTCACTTCCGCCTTTCATCGATGGCTTGCATGATCGAGCTTCACGCATTCGAATGACAAAAATCTTATTATATGCGTACAAGTGGTACTAACATTAACTTTGACTTCGTGTTCGCGGGTTGTTGTGGTCCGTTGGGACAAGGCGCGTGTAAATTTCGTGGTACCTCCGTTATTTATGTCTGGCACTTCCCGATCAAGCGACCTGGCATCCTTGTTTTGTGACAAAAAAGGTCAGTGCAACCGTGAAGCAAACAGGACGAGGACATGATGTTTGCAATACCGTGGTACAATGTACCGGGGATAAACAGTTCGATTCGGAGACTTGGTGGACTTTCTGGTCGTTGGTGGAACATGAGAACCGCTCCTGTGGGGACCTTGCTTACAAAATGCAAAATAGGGCGGATTAATAATCGGCATCTTGCTTATTGGGCGGACATAGTCTACTGGAAATAACACCAAGGTCCGATGGATTGCTTGGCATGTTGTCTCTGACGCATGAGGAGTAGGCTACAAAAGAGACAGCCCATGAGCCTCAATCAAGTTGCGAAGGGAAATACACGTCGACCAACAACATATAGCGCAGGACGCAAACCGAAAATGGCATCCGAAAAGTCTATCCTCATAGTCGGAGCAGGTGAGCTGGGGACGGCCATTCTCTCAGCTCTCGCAGGTCATCCTTCCAAGCCTCCGCACGTCAACTTCTCTGTCTTACTTCGTCCGGATTCCATCACCTCACCCAGTCCTGAGAAGCAACGCTCCAACGCGGAGTTGCAGGCCTTGGGTGCAAAGCTCGTCCCAGGGAACTTTGTCGACGATGAGGTCTCGCAGCTGTCACATGTCTTCAAAGACTACGATATCGTCATTCAGGCGGGAGGATATGGTCTACCTAAAGGGACACAGCTGAAGTCTGCCAACGCTGCGCTGCAGGCAGGGGTTCCGCGATACTTCCCCTGGCAGTTTGGGGTGGACTACGAGGAGATCGGAGAGGGCAGTGCTCAGGACCTGTTCGATGAGATGCTACAGGTCAGGCGACTGCTACGGTCCCAGACCAGCACGACATGGACCATCATATCGACGGGGCTATTCATGAGCTATCTGTTCATTGCAGACTTTGGAGTGGTTGATCTTGAACACAAAACCGTACGCGCCTTGGGGTCTTGGAATAACAAGGTCACAGTGTCAACGCCGCACGACATCGGCCGCCTGACAGCTGAGATGGTCTTCGTTCCTGACGGAACACTCAATGAGGTGGTTTACATCGGAGGGGACACAGTCTCGTATGGGAAACTTGCGGATATACTGGATGAAACCCTCCGCGAGAGCTTCAAACGGGAGGAATGGACTTTGCCTTTTCTCAAGGACAGGCTGGCAGCAAACCCAAGCAACCTATGGTATAAGTACCAGTGCATCTTTGGTGATGGAAAAGGAATTTCGTGGGATATTGCAAAAACCCTGAATGGTCAGCGTGACATTTCGATGACCACTGTCAGAGATTACATCAAGGAAGAGTTTGTCACTGTTAAATAGCTTGAATAAACCACGCCTGGCTGGCGATGCTCTCTTCAGTCTCACGTTATATCTTGGCTAGCCACTTGAGCAGAGAATCATGACCATTTCGGAATGCAATACACTTAATAAGAGTGGCCCAAAATTTACCATGCGAAATCAATCCATCTTCAGACGAGTTTAATGCCCTGCCATGACATATGAATCCATTTCATAATAAGATCTCCACCCTCGTAGTCTATCTTTCTGAAATCCTACACACTGTTCTCGACCCTACGACTCAATTCTTGTTGCCTCTTGAACTGCTCCTCACTCAGGAGCTGCTGCATTTGTTGCGGCTGGCTTTCCCTCTTCAGCTTCACCTGTCTCTGCTGCCTTTGCTGTTTTTCGTGGCGCTGTTTCTCCTACTCCAGGAAGCGCTTTCTCTCAACTTTCCAAGTATCGGTCTTCTTTTTCTCGTCAGCTTCGTGCTTCGCACGCCCGTTCCGAATACCCTGGCGTGCAAGTGCTGTCATTTCGTCGATCGTGTGGTCATCGCGTTCTTTGGCGAGCGTTTGAGCATCTTTTGTGATGTCGTAACCGACCTTCCCCAGTACTGCAACGGCAAGACTTCCTAATCCAAGGCCGATGGCTGTAGCTTTGTCCATGGTTTTGGCCCATGGGAATAAATCGGTTCTGATGTGAGGGATTTAAAAGATGTGCTGACCCAGCCACACGAAATTTGAGAAGATGAAATGAAACCCTTGTCACTGAAATACATCTATGATGAAGACCCGGGGCTCTTATTCTAGAAAAGGGGTGTGGTGTGTTGCGCACATCACTAGCGCCAAAATGGAACGATTGATTGCATATGAGAGTAAGTCCCCACTACACACCCTCTGGGTCATACAAAACAAACGTCCCTATCGAACTCCGTTCGTCGGTGAATTCTGCCGGCTGTAGGAAAAGACTTTCTAGAACCGATTCGTATCTACATGCCGAAGAGGCTGTAGTGATCTGACCTGCATATGCGCTAGACTGTGTTGAACAAGACAAGCGGCTTGCACAGCCTGAAACCTGTCTGAGTAATCTAGTGAAGAAAGCTGAGCACCTAGCTTAACTGTTGGCCAACGTTATTGGACTGTAGGTGCGCCACCCCATTTCTGTGCCGACCTATGTAATCCAATTTACCTTGCCCCTCCTTCGACATTTCACGCCGTCAGCCGACAACAGTCACTTCTGAAGGTCTCATCCTCATCGCGGAAAGGCTATACGGCACCATTGTACAAGAATGCGACTTCTAAACACCAGAATACTGAAGCTGGTGTCTTTTGACGGTAGACCAGTGCCGCCCTACGCCATACTCTCACACACCTGGGAAGACGATGAGGTGCGGTACGAGGACCTCTTCTCTGGAAGCACCACTTCGGTGATGCCCACAGAGAAGCGGGGATACACCAAGATTAAGTACAGCTGTGACCAGGCCCAGTACGACGGGTTGGAATATATATGGATTGACAGCTGCTGCATCAACAAGAGCAGCAGTGCAGAGCTCTCAGAGGCTATCAACTCCATGTTCAACTGGTATGAGAGGGCAAGTCGATGCTACGTTTACCTCTTCGACCTCAACCGTCCAAACCACCCGCAAATCGCCTTCGAGCAGAGTCGATGGTTCAGGCGGGGTTGGACGCTTCAGGAATTGATCGCCCCCGTGCACGTCGAATTCTATGACCACCAATGGAAGCCCATGGGCGATAAAGGCACGCATTCCCGACGGATCGATGTTTCGGATTCTGCGTATGGGGCCGATGGGTTCGAAGCAATCTTCAATCTGGACTATGCACAACCCGAGGATTACGAGGGGAATCTGGCGTACCGCATCGAGAGCGCAACCCGCATTCCCATCGAGGTGCTCACTCTCAAACAAAGACCTATCAGCAGACTGCTCTCCCGATTCCCGGCTGCTCAGCGGCTTTCATGGGCAGCTAACCGCCAGACTGCGAGGATTGAAGATCGCGCATATTCGCTCCTCGGGCTCTTCGACGTCAAAATGCCGCTCTTGTACGGCGAGGGCAAGGAGGCCTTTGTCCGACTGCAGCAGGAGATCATGAACCGATATCACGACCAGACACTGTTGGCGTTTACAAGACAGAAGAATATACAATGGCAGCTACATGGCCCGCTGGCAGACGACCCCGATGTCTTCGCTCACTCAAACATAATCCGTGTCCCGACGTCGCAGCGCACCCTGCCGAAGATTCTCGAAGAGCCGTTCTCTTATTCATGGCAGCACATCAACCTCCAAATTTACCTTTGCCAGAGCTTAAGGCAGGATCAACAGTTTGCACTTGGAATCCTGGATTGCGGCTATTCGGATGACCCTCTGAGTCGACCGGCGCTTCTACTGAGGCGACTGGAGGGGCCTGGTTGTTTCTATCGGCGTATAGAGCATTCGACCTTGTGTAGGATCAGTCCCCGGCACTTGTTGAACTCTGAGCTAGTCCAATTGGATTGGCCGTGGATGCGTGAGTGGGTTCATCGTTGCCACATGTTTCCAGGGAAGCCAGCTCGCCTGCTTCTCACTTAATAATTCCCCGCAGCACACGAGTTCTCAGGGCTGATTCAAATGACATTATAGGACAAAACTTTGAGGGAAACACACTCGAATTCGACGTCAAGCAAGCACCCCTTACAACCATCAAGCTGATGATAGGAAGCTCATTTACTTTGGACTACGGACACCTGCACGCCATCACACCGCCGACACGGATTGTCCTTGGTCCAGAATACACGATCCGCTTTGCGTGGCCGAGACCGCCAGAGACAGCCTACTCAATCCATACTTTCGATGAAAAAAATCTCCATGTCGGCGGTCCGTTCTGGCTTGACGCAACAAGTGATTACGATCCAGACAGGGTGGAGCTAAAGTCCACCAGGGATTCCCTAGGTACCGCTGCACCCATCAGTGGCATTATGTGCATTGAACAGCCACCGATGGATCAGGAGTCCGGCAGTGAAGATGGTTCTGGGGATGAAGCGATACCTGAAATCTATCTGGTTCTCTGGGGACTAAGACAGCAAACTGCGCAATCTTCCAACAGGTTGCAGATTAGCCACGGGGAGGTGAATCCAGAATCTGCGTGGTGTTATGTTGTGGCATGGGAAGACGTCCTGGATCCATCCCTGGCGCCTATGGCAGGCGAGATCCTCCAGCTCGATCTACCAAGCATCCTGAGCAGGATCCGAGCTACCCTCCAACTGACCACGAACGACTTCAAAGAAAGGTGGACGGCCATTCAGTCCCGTTCAGGAGCGACGGCCGTGGCCCCCACAGCCCAGATTGCGTGCCTTGACTTCTTCGGTCAGGAAACGCTGCAAGTTACAGTCAAAAGCTCCCAAGCAGATCCGTGACGGGAATGGGTGTGATAGCCCTTAAGCTGCCCCGGTTCTCAGAGAGAGATACATAGTGGCGATGAAATACACTGCATGCACTCTATGTAATTTAATGCGATGATCAACACACCACCTGCTAATTTTTCCAATCCGCATAAACCAGCTCATTTGAATGAATCATACGGGGACCTAAGGATTATTTCGAAAAAGGTTCTTTAACCTTGGCCAAGGGGAAACAAATAAAGTTTAGGTCCAACGGTATGCATGCCGATGCAATTATCGGAATGAATCGGTCAAACCAGTGTAAGTAGTCGCTGTGTCTACCATATTCCAGGATGGTTAGATGAACATGATGCCAAGCCCAAAAGACCTGCGACCGAATGTTACATAAGTGATCCTCGGTCAGCCTAATCGCGGAATCCGGGTTCTTGAAGATCCGCAGTCAACCTCAGCTGACATCCATCTATCAAGGTCCCAGTATCAGCCCGCTGTACCAAACTTATATTGCTTGTCGTGTGGTGGTCATCATCTCTAGCTGTAGTCGCCATTACTCGGTCTTCTTTTTCGGATGAAGGTCTGGTAGAAGGGTTCAGGCCCTCTCCTCCCGTACTCAGCATCCATTTTGCAATACCTGGTCGCGTGGGGGCCTCCCTAAGGCTTCCCAGGCCCAAGCGACGCGTCCTCTCTCAATCGTGGTATATCGTATGCCGGACACGGATCCACTCTCTATCGGCTTCGGCGTTGCTGGGCTTGTCCCTCTGGTCGCAAGCGCTATCAAGCTTGCCAGAAACTACTAAGCTAGTATTCGTGGTGCGAAGGAGAAAGTGGCAACGCTAATCGCCGAATTGAGGCACTACAGCACAACCTCAATGCCTTGCAGAAGCTGTTGGCTAGCAACGGCCTTGAGTCTGAATCTGCTGCGTGTGACCAGTCTTCGGTCCTCGTGAGCTGTTCTACGGCATGTCGGGTCAGGCTGCAGGCACTCGTCCAGAAGCTCGATCGTCCCGGCTTGGCCAAAGGAAAGCTACATGCCCTGAAGTGGCCATTCGAAGAGAAGGAGCACAAGGACACTATATCAGAACTTCGCAGTCTATCGGCCTGGATGCAATTCAGTCTCTCGATTGGTGGATACCGCCTTCTATCTTCTTCTTCCACCGAGGCCCTGGAAATCTTGCGCGAGCAGCTCAGTCGTTTTGAAGAGATTAAAGAGCATCAGATGGGATTGCGCCGGGACTTTGAACAACAACGAGAGCTGGCCAAGAACACGAGTCGTGAGAGAGAGGACTTGCTGGACTGGCCTGTAGGGGGGCCTCAGTCAGTCGCTGCGGATGTAAGCAGGCTGCAATGCACCCACGCACACACGCGCACCCTCTAATAAATCTTTAATAAAATTTAAAAAGAGTATTAAATAGAAAACACTGATATAAATCCATAAAGATTAATAAAGAGGTAAAATTATAAAATACAGAAAAGGAAGTATGATACAAAGTCCTTATGAATGTTCCCTCAACTAAGATCAAACCCTCCATGCGTAATATGTACCTCGGTAGTAATCAAAAGCAGAATCGTTGATACGAAATTGTAATGCCATGAGCCTGTATTTAATCAAAGACCTTGTAACCACCAGGAACCATATGCTGGAATATCCCCTTCGGGTCGTACTTCTTGCTCACAGCCTGCATTTCGGCGATGTTATCAGCGCCCCAACTCTTGTGTACGCCTTGTGAAATATCGGCGTAGTCGGTGTCTGCTGGCTTCGTCGAGTGAAGAAGCCGTGGGCTTTTCCTCCTTTGCCATGAGCTCTGCCATACTCTCGACCCCAGCGTTCCCGTTGGCAGTTGTGCTGTGCCCGTTCATCCCGTTGGTATTGGTGCTGTGCCCGTTGACGCCGTTGACAGGAGGGGCGTGTCCGTTGGTGATGCTGCTCCCGTTGATCGGTGCACCATTATCATTCAGCCTATTCGCAGCCCTGGCCTCGCCGTTGAGGAACGAAAGAGAGTCGTGAGCCGTGTACTTCACCGAAGCTTTCTTGGCGGCAGTCAGACCCAGACGACCGCGCTCCAGGCGGGGAGCAAGACCGTCGATAGAATCTGTAGTGAAGTTGTCGATGTTGAGCGAGTCCTCGGGTCGGACCATGCGCCGTCCCTGAAGTGTCTTCAAGATCGATTGCTCTTCCGGAGTGAGCTTCGACTCTAATTCCTCGAGCGCTTTGCGGTTCTTCTCATCGTAGACATCGCCATCAAGGCCCAGTTGCTTCAGTTTGTTCACGAGCGCCTCCTTCTCCTCAAATGAAACATGAGCAAAAGCCTTGAAGCAGAACTCGACTGTCTTGGAAATCTCGTTTTGGCTCAATTTCCCGTGCGCATCGGCATCTACCGTGCCTTGAATGACTGCAGAGTTTCATGTCAGAGGCAATCGCGTAATGCAGTAAGAAATATGCTCAAGGGAAGGTATATGTTAGCTTACTGGGTCTGAACAAATCGAACGCCCTCTCAAAGCCCTGCTCATTGAAATCGTCAATGACGGGGACATCCTGAGAACGAATCTGCTTCAATGCACTAGAGACAACCAGGAGGAAGCGAGTGTAGCTTTCGGTCGTCTTCTTGTCGTGCCACGACGACGCCGTTTCCTCGTCACAGTCGCCTCTGTAAACAGCCGAGATGGTTGCTGCAGCCGACAAACCACCCGAGAGGGCCAGGTGGCGCCAGAGGAAAAGAACGGGTCGATGAAAGACCCGGCATCCCCGGCAATGCGCACGCCCGGGAACCCGTAGCATGAGGCGCTGTATGACCAGTCGGACGCCGACTTGATCTCAGACACGAGCTCGCCGTTGGCAAGTAGGCTCTTGATTCCGGGGACGTGCTCCAGAGATTCCGTATAAAAGCCCTTGGTTGAGGGCTCGGCCATTGCCTTCTTCTTCTGGGTAGCCATCTCCTGGTTCTGGACGATGCCGACCGAGTGCGTGCCATTGTGCAGCGGGATGAACCAACACCACCCACTGCCATCCTTGAGTGCCTCAAAGTACGGCGCACCCTCCTTGTGTGTTCCAACGGCGTGGACGCCGCCGCCCTTCCAGTATCCCCAGTTGGCAATATTCTTGAGACCCTGGTTGTAGTGTCGGTTTTTGAGATACTTGGTGCTGACCACGCCAGCCCGGCCTGACGCATCGACAATGTAGTCCATCGAGATCGTGCCAGAGGTTCCATCCTTGCGAGTCCAAGTGGCAGACACGGGGCGGCCGGGGTGCTCAGCGCCCGAAGGGCTGGGTGCGAATTCGACAGAGGCGACCTTGGTCTGGTCAAACGTCTTGGCGCCGCACTCTCCTGCGTGCTTGAACAAGAGCTCGTCTGCCTCGGATCGGATCACGTTCCAGGCGTAGCCGCCTTCGCCACCAGCAGCGATGAAGTCCGTATCTAGGGACCCAAAATTAGATCAAATGCTTCGTGGTTTCATGCTTCTGGGTATGCTTACATGTTTCAGGCCGGGACCAATTCAAGCGGAACGCGCCTCCTTTCTGTGTCTGGGTGTTAATCTCTGCCGTGCTCAAGTCGCCATTGAACAGTGGACTCTGGATAAAGCAGAAATTGAGTTACTTGCCTTGACATTGAAGCCATGAGCATCCCACTTCTCGTATGCGTCGATGAACTTGAGGAAGTGTCGCATGGACGGGAGCATGCTTTCACCGATGTGGTACCTGCCGAGTAAATTTTAGCCTAATGTCCGTTTTCGTAACTTTTTTATAGGCTGTCGCAATGCAACTTACCTAGGGAATTTGTCTGCCTCCAGAAGCACCACATCGATGCCCTCTCGCGCAAGAGCAGAGGAGGCATACGATCCGGCTGGTCCACCACCAATGACCAATACCGTGCACTTCTGTGGAATAGTGGCCATGATGCTTGACTTTTGCTGAAGACAATGAGGATGAATTGGGTTTTTTTTTTGATGATGGGAAGGTGAGACTTTGGGAGAGTATGCTGCTCTGGCTTGAATATGTATTCCAGAACCTGTTGCTGAAGCATGGTGTACTTTCACTTTTATGCGTGCAGCTTTTCAAAGGTGTTGCTTTGATTCTCGATCGATAATAGACTCCACACATGTCGTCTGAGGCCACTCAATGCTGACGGGAGGCTGGTGGGGGATTTTCGGGGGGTTTGTTCGGAAGGATCAAATGTTTCTGCTTACATTCCCATGCCGGAATCCGACTTGCGTCTGTAGGCAGCGCAATGTCAGATCTTGGAAGCCCGTGTCGGATAATGCGTTAGTCACATCAAGTTTACGTGGCAAAATCAATCGCAGATGGGACTTTATTCCGCGAGTGACAATGTATCCACCGTGGACCGTTCATCGTCTAGTTCCGAGTTGCCCACTTACAACCATCTTTTCTCGACTACACTGGAATTTATCCTCATGGCTCTAAGCTCTAAGCCCAAGGGCTTCTACTCGTCCGGTTTCTGGACCGACTATCTCGCTGCGCAGCGAAGGAAATTGCCTACACTCCAGGATATTGACGATGGTTTCTCTCATCGCGTCGTTCGTTTTCTGGGGGGCAATCCGGGAGACATGCAACTTCAGGGGACCAACACATACTTAGTTGGTACCGGCAGGAGCAGAATTCTCATCGACACCGGCGAGGTAAAACGACTTCTATCCACGAGCTCTGCTTTTACTTTCTCTGCTTGAGCCCTCCTCGTCTACATTAATCCTGACAGAACTGGTCGAACTAACAAGGACGCATCAGGGCTTCCCGCAATGGGCTACGAACCTCACCGTATACCTCGACAGCCATGACATAGAAATATCCCAGGTGCTACTGACCCACTGGCACGCTGATCACACTGGAGGAGTTGACGACCTGCTTGCATACGATCCAAGAATAACAGTTTACAAGAACCGACCCAACAAAGACCAGCTAGCCATCGCAGACGGGCAGACATTTTGGACGCAGGGTGCAACATTAAGGGCCGTAGTGACGCCTGGGCATTCCAGTGATCATACGTGCTTTGTGTTGGTGGAGGAAAACGCCTTGTTCACTGGAGACAACGTGTTAGGCCACGGGTATAGCGTGGCAGAAGACTTAGGCGCATACACAAACAGTTTGAGACTAATGGCAAGCCTGGGGTGCTCCACTGGGTATCCTGGTCATGGAGAAGTGATAGGGGACCTGCCACAGAAACTAGCAAGATATATATCACAGAGAGACGCTAGAGAACGCCAAGTCTATGCGACATTAGCCAAAGAGACTTCACCTGGTTTATCAAGAGTCACTGGCGGTAATATTCATGATATCAAAGCTCGGGACAGTTTGGGCAAGATGGTTTCATATACAAATGGTCTTTCAGTTGCGGATATATGTCGTATTCTGTACGGGGAGACGTTTAGAGATCCGGCTACTTTTGAGTCCGCCTTGAAGCCTTTGCTGAGCCAGGTTCTGTTCATGTTAGAAGAGCAAGGAAGAGTCGGGTTCACGTTGGCTGGCTTAGACAGGGAGACCAGGTATTGGTTTGCAAGAGATGTTACGTGTAGCTAGGTGTAGTGAGACTACACATACTCATTCTCATTGATGATAAAATTTGGCGATAGATCAACTTTTAGAGCCCGAGTCTTTGCGAGAATTCTCCTAAAAGTGAATGTTACTTCGTGAGTGTTATTTGCTTTACGTATGCTAAATCGTTTCGGAGCCTGACCTGAAATGAAAATCCTTTCTCCCAAAATCTTGGAGCCTTGTGAATAGCGTTCAAGCTGCGTACCTACCTAGGCACACACGCATACGCATGAACACGGCTCAAAAATGGGGGTGAGCGGTGTGAATGCGTACTAGTATGCTGTGATCCAAAAGGAACATTTTTGCAGGATTATAATCCACCGACTCGGACCCCGAGTTTGGGAGCGCCTCCCTCGGCGAGCTTTGCAGCTTACTCGCATACTGAGATCCACCAGTGCCTGCCTAGGCGGATTGATGTATACCAGCAAGACTTACACCCATTCAGATGCACATTGATTTGAAAAGGCGGTTAAGCAATTACGGACCCACTGGGTTCAATAGATTATCTGGCAGACCATCTGTTTGATTGTTGGCCTCTCCGAGGGCACATTCCTTTCCTCACTCAACCTGGAGTCGTATAGACATTCGAAAATACTTGACAACGATGACAATGGACAGTGACAACCCTTTCGTCGACCCTTCCGAAATTGGCCAGGCAGACCGGAGAGGGAGCGTAAAAGACGCCGGCCGCTCCACCAGATTTATGCTATTCGGCAACGAGCTTCCTAGCGGTGATCTGCGCGACCTCTTCCGCAGGCTGCATAGATGTGCCAAGCTACCTAGATATTCCCTTCTGGCCACTTTTTTGCGGCAGAGCGCTTGGGTGTTGAGACAGGAGATTCAGAAGCAGCCGCGGCAAATACGCGAGACGGTACCGCCATTCAGCGATGTTGTTACACTGGCTTCGCTTTGGGATGGGCTCAAAAGCAGTCACTTGGGTGGTGCCTGGGAGGCTGCATTCGTCTGCATCTACGAGATTGCTATGCTCATCGGGTGAGTCGGCATTATGATTGCTTCCTCGCATTCTATTTATTTTCCGGGAGTCCTCCAATACTGACCTGTTTCCACTTCAAAAGATACCATGAAACATACCATACCCCACACCACATTGAGTCAAGTGGGAACAGGAATATGATCACCGACACAGGCTGTCTGGCAGGAATCAGCGTCGGCCTCTTCTCGGCTGCAGCATTGGCGGTGTCTACTTCTCTCCTAGACGTCGTGTCTTATGGAGCTGAGAGTGTGAGGATTGCCTTCACATTTGGTGCTCACGTTGGCCGTTGCTCCCAGCTTCTCGAGCCCACCGTGGCAGCAACCTCTCCTGCTAGCTGGGCTTATGTGATCATGGGTATACCAGTGGAGATCGTAAAGGCAGAGCTCGACAATTTCAATGGCCAACAGCAAGCCTCTGATAAAGATAATATCAACGGATCAAGTACAACGACGCCACTGACCCAGGTCAGCATCAGCCACGTTGACCACGCCTCAGTCGGTGTCACCGGCCCTCCTTCGCGCCTCAGGGAACTCTTCCGGCAGTCACCGAGGCTTGGCTCATCCCGACATGCCCCGTTGCCCATATCTGGAGGTCTATGTCATGTTCCCAATGTGTACGACGCCAATGACGTGCGTATTATCCTCGAGGCGGCGGACGTAGGTGAGCGTTGGGGCCCCAAGCTTGTCCAGAGGCCACTGCTGTCGCCATACACTGGAGCCCCTTTCTCGGCCACGGATGCGAGTGGCCTTATTGAGTCTATCTGCACCGAGGCTTTGACCAAGCCGTTGTACTTTGACAAGCTTGGCGGTGGTGCGGTCACGCAACTCAAGATGCACGAGGAGTCGTCATCGTTTGAGATGCTCCATTACCAAACGTCACCGCTCATGGAAAACATCATCTCTAGCATCACAGATGAACTCTCCAGCTCGCCCAAAACCTGTGTCCGGCGCCAGGACATTGTGGAATGGGTGATGCAAGACGAATCGCGGTTCGATCAGCTCCACGGTACTCCAGGCCTTCCGCAAGAGTCAAAATTGGCTGTGGTCGGCATGTCCTGCCGCCTCCCAGGGGGCGCCGATACTCCTGAGCAATTCTGGCAACTCTTGGTCGACGGCCGTGATACCCACACCATCATCCCCCCGGATCGATTCGATGCCGATGCGCATTTCGACCCCACTGGGGAGACGGAAAACTCAATAGGGACAAAATTCGGCAACTTCATCGACAACCCTGGCCAATTCGATGCTGGATTCTTCAACATGTCGCCACGCGAGGTAGGATATGATTGTCGTCCCGAAGTTGTTCGGCCGTTGAATAGAGCTAACATGATTGCAAAATGGCAGGCTCAACAGACAGATCCGATGCAGCGTCTGGCTCTGGTCACTGCATATGAGGCCCTCGAAATGGCCGGCTTTGTTCCGAACAGGACACCATCGTCTCATGTGTCACGGGTAGGGACTTACTACGGCCAAGCCAGCGACGACTATCGGGAAGTCAACGCAAGCCAGAGAATCGGCACCTACGGGATTCCTGGAACCGAGAGAGCTTTTGGAAACGGCCGCATCAACTACTTCTTCAACTTCAAGGGGCCCAGCTTCAACGTCGACACGGCGTGCTCCAGTGGCCTTGCCGCCGTTCACGCAGCCTGCTCGGCGCTGTGGGCTGGCGATGCTGATACTGTCGTGGCCGGGGGCCTCAACGTTATTGTAAGCCACGATCCTACCTAACAAGATAAAAGAAAATGGCAGGCAGCGCAGAGAGGCTAACTTGGAACCCAAGACAAATCCAGACATTTACTGCATGCTGAGCAAGGGGCACTTTCTGTCCAAGACGGGCCAGTGCAAGGTGTGGGACGCTGGAGCCGATGGCTACTGTCGAGCCGACGGTGTTGGCTCAGTCGTCATCAAACGCCTCGAGGATGCCCTCGCGGACAACGACGTGGTCCTGGCGACCATCGCAGCTGGTTCCACAAACCACTCTGCTGAGAGTATCTCCATCACCCAGCCCCACGCCGGAGCCCAGAAGGACAATTACCGTCAAGTGCTGGACCAGGCTGGTGTCAACCCTCTGGATGTCAGCTTTGTCGAACTGCACGGCACGGGGACTCAGGTCGGAGACGCCATCGAGTCCGAGTCGGTGCTCGACTTCTTTGCGCCTATAGGGCGGCGTCAACGCCCCGAAGAGCGTCTTAACCTGGGCGCCGTGAAGTCTAACATCGGACATGGGGAGGCCGCTGCAGGAATTGCGTCGCTGATCAAGGTGTTGTTGATGTACCGGCACGGGGCCATCCCGCCCCATATTGGCATCAAGACGACTATGAATCCTGTCGTGGCAGAGCACTTAGCCAACCGCAATGCTGGCGTCATCTCTGGAAGGAATGCCCCGTGGCTCCCAATTTCGCAATCTCATGGCGCGAAGCGCTATTCGGTCGTCAACAGCTTCGGTGCCCACGGTGGCAATACGACGCTGCTCCTTGAGGACGCACCGGAGACAACAACAGTACGCACCGAGCAATGTGAGGAGTCTAGCCTCAAGGCGGCGGTATGCGAGGTTGTCTGCGTCTCAGCCAAGAGCAAAGCCTCTCTTCGCGGCAATGTCGCTGCTCTGCTGGACTATCTGGATCGCAACCCCGAGACCGAACTCAAGGACGTTGCCTACACAACCTCTGCCCGGCGAATCCATCATCACATTCGCATAGCCGCTTCAGTCTCTACTACCTCCCAACTCCGAGGCTTCTTAAAAGCTGCAGTTGATGATATCGATTCGCATGCGAGACATGTCTCGACGGCCACGAAGAAAACAGTCGTATTTGCTTTCTCGGGCCAGGGTTGCTTTTATCGGGGTGCTGCAGCACAATTAATGGAGCGAGCGCCAGACTTTCGCCATCTGGTACTCCAGATAGACCGACTGGCACGGCAAATGGGTTTCCCTTCGGTGCTCTCTGCAATTTCCGGTGATGCGGCATCCAGCAAGATCGGCGATGATGTTACCAACAAAATATCTCCACCTAGTTCCACGCCCTCTAGCACCACTGGAGAGAATGGATTTGAAGCTTTGGTGTCGTCGATCAAGAGTATCAGTTCTACGTCCGTATCTACGGAACCGGCGACGGTAGTAGAAGCGGAGAGCCCACTTGTCACTCAACTCGCCACCGTCGGCCTCCAAATCGCATTGGCACAGTACTTGGTGCAGCTTGGCATCACAGCCAACGCCGTCATTGGACATAGTCTGGGCGAGTATGCAGCATTGGTTGCCGCTGGTGTCTTGTCAGTGGCAGACGCTCTGTTCCTAGTTGGGAAGCGAGCTCAGCTCATGTTGGCAGCCTGTGAGGCCGGCAGCCATGCCATGTTGTCCATCCGGGGTGCCTCGGGGGCCCGCATCGACGAGCTCTGTAACGCGAGCCAGCAAAAGTTCCACTATGATATCTCGTGTGTCAACGGGCGCGCCGACACTGTCGTGAGCGGCCGTCGAAAAGACATGGTTGCGTTGCGCGATATGCTGCAGGGGAACCATGGACTCAAGTGTGTCCTCCTCGATGTTCCGTTTGCGTTCCATTCGGCACAGCTGGACCCGATTGCCGACGACTTTGAACAAGCTGCTGGCTATGTCACGTTCAAGGCCCCTACAGTCCCAGTTGTCTCTCCTTTACTGGGGCAGTGCATCTCCAAAGGTGGCATCATCGACGCGACCTATCTACGGCGTGCTACCCGCGAGCCTGTTGATTTCGTGTCTGCGCTGGACGCTGTCACGAGCGACGGCGTGGCCGACAATCAGAGCATCTGGATTGACGTAGGACATCATCCTGTCTGCACTTCGTTGGCTCGGAATGTGAAAGTAGCAACAAATATTCTGGCGTCGCTGCGGCAAGGCGACGACACACAGTCAACCTTCACTTCTACTCTAGCCACACTGCACTGTCTCGGCCTTCCTGTTGCGTGGAATGAGTTCTTTGCTGGTCGAGAGAAGTCCCATCGTCTGCTTCACCTCGACGCATACCAATGGAACCTGAAGAACTACTGGATTCCGTACGACACCACGTGGACGCTGGATAAGGCACACGCTGGGGCCAAGGAAACCAGCAAATCGATGCCGAGTCCACCTTTCTTCACTTCATCTGTGCAACAGGTGATTTCCGAGGAATTTGATGGAATGTCGGGACGGATGGTAGCACTGTCCAACTTGGCCCATGCTGACCTCCTTGGGGCAGCAGACGGGCACAAGATCAATGGGCGTAGCGTGGTGACTGGGGTAAGGCTTCTATTTCTTCACCCACTCTGTCTCTCTATAGACAATTTTTGATATTGTTCGCTAATTATCCACTACCCACACAGAGTGTCTGGGCAGATGTCACCTTGACGGTCGGCGAGTACATGTATAAACGTATGGCCCCGGGAGATGACCGACCCAACATGAACGTCAAGAATATGCAGGTGCTTGAGGCCCAGGTATTGCATGACGGGGACTCGTCCCACTACATCCAGATTCAAGGGGACCTGGATATGTCCCTTAGACAGACGCAAGTGGCACTCTATGCAGCAAGCGCCGACGGAACTCGCAAATCGGACAAAGCCTTCGCGATGGCAACTGTCTGCTACGAAGACGCACAGCAATGGCAAGCAGAGTGGCAGATCGCCTCACATCTCGTCGCCACACGCGCCCGCTCGCTCTGGCAAGATGCATCCAACGACAGCAGCAGAGTGAGCCGACTGTCCAGGGGCGCCGTGTACCAGCTGTTCGCCAACGTGGTGGCCTACGCGCCGCGGTACCGCGGGATGCAGCGCGTCGCCCTGGCCGAGGAGTCCCACGAGGCGACGGCCGACATCCTGCTGGACGACTCGCGACACGGCACCTGGAACACGCCTCCCCACTGGACCGACAGCACCTTCCAGCTGGCAGGACTCGTCATGAACGCCTTTGGCGTGCAGGGCGACGACGCCGACACGACCTGGTCGTCTCGCGACTTCTTCTTCATCACGCCGGGCTGGCGCTCGTTCCGTCTTGCAGAGCCGCTTGCGCCTGGGCCCGACGTCACTTATCGCAATTATGTCCGCATGTTCCCACTTGAAGGGGAGCCCGGGACGTTTGCAGGTGATATATACCTGCTCCGTGGCGAGAGGGTCGTCGGTATGTGCGCTGGTATCAAGTTCAAGCGTGTCCCGCGCGCGATGATGCACATCATGTTTCCTCGACAGACGGGTCAGGGCAACAGCAGCGGCCGGAATCCTGGGTCTGCTTCGGCCAACGTGAGCTTTACCAGCACCGAGCCAAGCAACAGGCATGGCAACAGCAATGTCCAGTCTCCTGGGCCACTCACTGCTGTCACCTCACAGACACCCATCCCTGCCATAGCCAGCCCGCAGCGGCAAGAAAACATCAACGCCATGCAAACGACGGAGCCCATCGTGTCGGCCACGGAGAACACTCAGCGGGCACAGGCACATGGCGGGGAAAACACGCGCGTGGATGCGTGCCTCCAGCTTATTGCGGATGAAACAGGCCTGGATCTAGAGGATCTGTCCGGAGATGCTGCTTTTGGTGAGCTTGGCGTCGATTCTTTGATGTCGCTCGCATTGTCTGACAAGATGCGCGTGGAGTTGGGCATTGATGTCAAGGCATCTATCTTCATTGAGTGTACCACTGTTCAAGAGTTGGTCAATTGGCTGGGTAAGGTTGCTGTTACTTAAGTACAAGCCGGAGTTAGACTGCAGATAGCGCGTTGTGCAGGCATGAAAGCTGCCAATCTCTAGACAGAGTAATTATTCTATACATGAGCCAGGTGTTTACCCTACTTCTGAGCCGCGCTTGCTGCAATGGCACCTATCATCCAATATCGGATCTAGACCCGAGATCAGCGGCATCCACATACCAAGAGATCCCGGGCATGTTTAGCTCATTGTGCAAACACACAACCAGCCTGTTCCTTGAAAATAGAGTATATTCTTACCCAAGTTAGTTTAGCTCCTCCGAGTTATACCTACTAGAGCTATACTGACCCGGGATGAAATTCCCAGGCCACTGTAACCATCCAGCGTACCGGCGTTGTATTGAAAGGCGTTTTCGACGGGGGCCTTGGTCTATTTCAGGCGACCGCCAAGCAATGCCAACGCTTTGCTTGCAGCCAACACGCAGCCAACGTGCAGCCAACGGAGCGGCTCTCACGAGGGACAACGCTAATACGCAGGGACCTCAATGAAGGATGTGAACAGCCGAGATATCCACTCGTACGGTACCCCTTCGTTGGAAAACCACAGCACGCTCCCACGTCTTTTTCAGACGCAGCTGCAAAACAGACGTTTTAGAAGTTCGGTTTTCCTATCCTATCCGACTCGCCTATCCTATCAAGTGATCACCACCCCATTGTCTCATCATCTGCTCGGACTGCAGCACGAATCTCCTACTTGGTAGGCAAACTGACACCAGCTAACGGTAGCCACAGCCTCTCGACTACAGCCCCTTGTTTTCTCGCCTGAGTTTTTCTTCCCCTTTCCTACTGCCCGAGATCAGTCACTATGGCTCCTTCACTCAGCCCAATTGTTGTCCGGGCGGCTGCGGCTTCATCGGCTTCCACATCGTCGAGGGCCTGCTTGCTCAAGAGCCCGAGAGCGAGATCCACGTCATCGACATCGACATCAACCGCAACACACATCCCGGCGTCAACTACCACAAATGTGACATCGCATCAGCCGCTGATGTTGAGGCAGTCTTTCTTAAAGCCAAGCCCAAAACAATTTTCCACGTCGCTTGCCCCGACTCTATGGTGCAGCAGCCCCATGTCTTCAGACGCGTCAACGTTGGCGGTGCCAAGAACATCCTCTTGGCTGCACGGAAGGTTGGGACGCTACGAGCCTTGGTCAACACATCTACCTCCTCCGTTATCCATGACAATGTTAGCGATCTCATCGACGCTGATGATTCACTGCCCGTGCTGAAGTACCCAGCGCAGAAGCGAATCTACACGTTGACCAAGGCGGAGGCGGAAGCCGACCTCATCGCTGCAAACCGCAGCGGCGGGGACTCGTCCATGCTGGTTGTGTCTTTGCGCCCGGCCACTGCCTTCGGCGAGCGCGATACTATCTGTATGGGCAAGATTGTGGCGTCCTGTAGAGCTGGCAAGGGCAATATTCAGATAGGCCCAGGCACTAACGAGTACGACTTTATGTACGTGTCAAACCTTGTCGATGCGCACATTCTCGCGGCGCAAGCACTGCACGACGCATATGGAAAGCCTGTGCCAGAGGACGACAAACGTGTCGACGGCCAGTGCTTCAACGTCACGAATCACGAACGCATCCTCTTCTGGGACTTCCAGCGAGGTGTCTCGGCCTCTATTGGACTACCTGTGAAGCCGGAAGACATCAGGGTCGTTCCGGCATGGGTTGCGCTGCTTGGAGCGTCAATTATGGAGTGGATCACGTGGATTCGGACTCTAGGCAAGGGACAGCCAGCCATCACACGAGAGGCTGTTCAACTTACCACTATTACACGTACCCTGAATGGCGATCGATTTCAGCGCGTGACTGGATATCAGCCAAGAGTCAGCATACGCGATGGCCTTGAGATTACTGGGAAATGGTTTTTGGAGGAGCAGAAGAAGGAGACACAGGGCGTTAAGAAGACTATATGAGTCGCTAGATTGATGATATATGACGTGGTGTATAATTTAAATTCACAAAACTGGCTACATTGACGTTGTGTCTCTTGAAGAGCTCATGATCTGACCTGGAAGTCCAACATAGCCGCCTGGCGTTTTCCTGGATCAGCATGGGCCGCCCACCAGGGAAAATAATGAACAGAGTCGCATTTGGCGGGGGGGAAACCGACTCTCAAACTTTTTTTACCCGACACCAAAATCTCTCCGAGTCCCTTTTCTACAACCTCTAAAGCGTTTGTTGATGGGCCGAGGATGCCTAACCGGATGACAGACACAAGGCCGACGAGTTGTTCGGATAGGAAACTAAGCACACGCAGCAATTCAAATCAAGGTTGAGGCAAGCTAAGGACAGCGATACCTACATAGATTATATCCTCCAAGCCCCCAGACCTACGGCAAAAACTTGTGTCTATGACAAAATCCGTAGTCCAAATGCGCTCTGAAACTATCATACACAGCTAGGTGCGCATGTTTTGCACGAAATGAGCTCAATTCGGTGCAAAGAAATTAGTAATCTTCCTCCAAAGTCACAGGTTGTGTGTTATTGGCTTGTGTGGAGTATGTTATTTCCGAAAGAGAAGAGACAGCTATCTGAGTAAGCAGAACTACGGCACCATGGTATCCTGAAATGAAGATTCTATGTCTTCAGTGATTGGTGTATTACTCTATTATCTCCTCATAAACGATTATATATGGCTTATAGTTCCCTGCTTAATCATTATTATTATTCTGTGCAAATAAGGCTTGAATCTATTGACTATTAAAGCAGCAATAAAGGAATTGTTTTAAAAAGTCATAACGAAATTTACGAATTAATTATTTACTGTATAAGAACATAATCCCCAACACTAAAATCAAACTACATATAAAGATAACTTCACACTTTAGTACAGCCCAGCCGCAGCTTCTTCATCACACAGCTGTGCCAGGCCGTAAAAGCCAGACGATCTGCCTGCGGCACAGCTAGAGTTTCCTGTGACTCATGCGGCAGTGGTGGGCGTAAGCAGTGCCCCTCTCTTCAGAATCCCATCAAAAAGATGGTCAGAGCTCTGGGATCTCACGTCTTCTCCTCTTCGGCTCTAAAGTCTCCTTGTTCAGATACCGACTTAGAATTTTCCAAACAGATTCTTTCTCTACCTCGCCAAAATGGGTTTCGTCGACTTCCTCCAGGATACTGGTCTGACTGGTGAGTTCCCCTCAATAATTGTGCAAACTCTCCAACCCCTCGCGAGCAATCGCATTGCGAACGACCACTCTGCACGTCCTGGAACCAACAGCTGACCAATGACTCAGAGCTCAACAGCTGGTTGACCACTCGATCCTACATCGTCGGGTAGGTGCTCTCTCCTTTACTTATGTCCGAGGATATTCTCCAGCTAGGTAGCAGATTGTAGTTTCTACGTAAATGGCATGCTGTGCCGCCTCGGCTGCTCCTCATCTCGCATCACAGAAAAAAAAAAAGAAACTCGATGCGCTTCCATTCCTGCACTTTGATGATGAGACGAATTGGTCCGTGTTTCTGAGCAGAATCAAGACCTGCGAATGAGGACATAACAAAACATTCTGTGCATCTCCAAACTTCCATACTACCAGCCTTCCTTGTCATTAGGTTTGCAGCTGGTCCCTGATCAGGAGACTGACATTGCGGGCTCCAGTTTCGGCGCCTCCCAGGCCGATGTTGCCTGCTTCAAGGCCCTGAAGGAGAGCCCCGACGGCGCCAAGTACCCCCACGCCGCTCGCTGGTGGAAGCACATCGCCTCGTACGAGGCCGACTTCGCGACCCTGCCCGGTGATGCCTCCAAGCCTTACACCGTCTACGGCCCCGACGTCGTCGCCGCCACTCTGAACCCCGCCAAAGCGCCCACCGCCGATGAGGGGGATGACGACGTCGACCTGTTCGGCAGTGACGACGAGGTGGAGGATGCCGAGGCTGCCCGTATCCGCGAGGAGCGCCTGGCTGCCTACAGGGAGAAGAAGGCTGCCAAGCCCAAGGCTGCTGCCAAGTCAGTCGTTATTATGGATGTCAAGCCCTGGGGTGCGTACCACAAACTATCTCCTTTGCTCTGTACCCGCTTGTATGTTTGATACTGACTCCTTCCCCCTGCAGATGACGAGACCGACATGAAGGCCCTGGAAGCGTCCGTCCGTAGCATTGAGAAGGACGGACTGGTTTGGGGTGCCTCTAAGCTGGTGCCCGTGGGTTACGGTGTCAACAAGCTGGAGATCAGCCTGGTCGTTGAGGACGAGAAGATCTCTCTTCAGGACCTCGAGGAGGAGATTGCCGGCTTCGAGGACTACGTCCAGTCTACTGATATCGTGAGTAGCCAACCGAGAAGCATGTGGACGAAATTGATGCTAACTGTGCCAACCCGAGGCTGCTATGCAAAAGCTGTAAACTGCTCATATGAGCAGGGCTTCTCAAGTAGAACCGGTAGTTGTTCGTTGCATGGTATATGATCCCTCGGGACATAAAATCTACTTGATGATCATGATGGGAAGTTTTGAGTGTCGAGGAAAGACAAACGCAAAATTTTGAGAGATTTTACTCCAAAAGCCAGCATAGATAGAGTAATAAATGCATGCTTCGTGATGACTTTTCAGTGGCAATTCATGTCATATCTTTCACGAAACATGATACGTTATGATGCAGTGTCACGAGCTTCTACTTCTGCATATTCCGCGGACAAGCTTTCGAAAAATTGTAATTATACGAGATCGTGGCCTCTGCTCTAGCTGAATCCTCCGAGGCGTTTGCTCGCGGGTCAAGGACACTCATTTAGACGATGAGGAGCTCGGGGGATGAAATACGGCAAACGCAGCGATTAAGATCACGGTCCGAGGTAGTTTGAAGAGAGCTATTTGGGTCAGAGTCTCATAGACGGGCCTTCTGGACCCTATTTGCAAACAATGTATCCCCTGAGCCCCCAGACCCGATATTGGCTTATGCGAACTACGTACACATGTTCATGACATGACTGGCCGAGTCCCTGGTTACACAACGTGCGACATGGCCTATCAGAAAATGGCTAGGTTTTCAGCTGCCTGAATAGAATTTGATCCTATATAAGCTTGTCAGCAGGATCGATCCTGACCCCCAACCATTTCTAACATTCACTTATCGAACATCATCATGCAAACCTCGGCCCGTTCCCCATCGATACAAATGGAGCCATTGAGCTCAGCATCCACTGACGCCGGATCTGCACCCATCTCCGTCGCCGAAACCTCGTCATACGCAGAAGCAGGCTTGGAGCTCGCGAGCGCGGCTATCACGCCAATCAATGACACAAGCGGAGCCTCGCCAAGCAAGCCCTTAACAATTCAGGATGACGAACCACACGAGACGACCAAAGATGTTCCCTTGTCTAACAAGCACATCACAGGCGTTGCAGTACTCTTTCTCCTAGGCACCATCGCTTTTGCCGTCTCGAGCGGACTAGTCAAGTCAAATGAGGCAACGCTGGCCCCGTCATATTCGGATCTTTTCGACCCCGGCTGTACTGACAAACTCGGCGACTCTGGATCTCCAGCCATTACACAGGCTTTCAATTTGGATCTGACCTTTGGCAACTTCACTTTCACCCATGCAAAAATCCTCGACGTGGCTTGGGATACAACAATTGGTCAAGGTGGTAGGCTGCTGCATGGTTGGATCTTATATCGGTGTGTGATGCGCCGACTTCTGATCCATGCGATGGAATACTATTGCGTCACTTACAGATATTACCTAACCATCTCTTGGTCACGAGCCTCGTTCGAGACGCTAGGCGTTATCTTGAGGGACGTTTTCCTCATGCAGGGAATAGCCTCTTTCTTGTGCACCTTGCTGCTCATCTACGCCCTCAGCTACACCCTTCTGTTCTCTCTTTTATGGAGCACTGCAACGGGGTATCTTAGTCTTTCACATCGATTATATGCAATGCCTGACGCGAATATCGTCCCGCTGAGCACACGTGACCTAGCCTTATGCTGGGTGCTGGATGGCAGCAGATTCGACTCGACGGACGACCACATCGAGATTGGCCCGGACTTCTCTTCTCTGGGGACCGTGACGACCGCATACAATTACACTAAAACAAAGCCCTGCCTGAATGTTTTATCCACTGAGTACCCTGAAGCAAGCTATTTCCACACCCGTCGGCTTGTATATACATCCGGTGGCTGGAAGCTCGACAAGACGACAACTATATGGGACCATTTCAATACCATCAACGGCTCGAATAACATTGAGCAAAGCTCTGAAAACTTCCAGAGCATTCGAGCCTGTGGGTAGAAGTCTGTGCTTTCCCGAACCATGGATAAGCCCTGCTGACATCCTATCACAGACGCCATAACCAAGCAGTTGTTACAGATCTCTCTGGACCCCCAAGGATGGGTAACGAATGGCTCTGAGGTAGCATTAACAGCTGAAGTTGTTGAATGGAGTGGTATCAGCTTCGACTGGTGGGCTGGCACCGACGGAACCTGCTCTTTCAGGAATCTCACGAGCTCGAGGCCAATCCTGAGACCCTCTATCGATGCTGCTCTGGTCGTGTCACCTCAGAGCACACCAGTTCCAGCGGACCTGAAGTTTGCGCTAGAGTTTGATGTCCCCGAGAACATGTCAAAGGCTCATTTTTCTCTCGGGAACGTGTCCGGCGAGTCGCTGCCTCCGGGCCAGATGCCGTACAACTCAACACTCTGGCTGAACGGCACTGCAATCTCGCTCGCTGCCCCTTTTATTGATGTCGGTCACGGATGCTCTGGCAATAATGGCTTTGGGAGCCTGGGCAACTGCATCTGCTACAAGGGGCAACCGATCTCACTTGACCTGCTCGGCGAAGGAAGGGCGATATGCAACACGGCACCAGGCTACGTCTGGGGATTTTCAAGTTCTCTGCTCCGGTTGGGGCTGGGCTTCGAGGCTGCTTGGATGGCTTGCTGCCTTATTTGCTATCTATGGCTCTCGGTACGGGGCGGGCTGGTGAACAAGAAGATTATGAGAAGTGCGGGGCCCATGCAATTTGCTCTGGAGTTCTCCGAGGCGGTGTGCGAGATTGAAGAGACTGCCGCTGAACTGTCCGAGGACATGTTGAAGGCGAGGTTAAAGGACATAAATGTTGGTTATCGGACACCAAGTGTGACGGGCGAGCATGGAGGGCTCCGTCATCGCGTAGTCGCCGGCCTTGAGCGCGAAAAGCGCTTAAGCTTAACCGATCACAAAGATACAAAGATCAATCTATTTGAAGCAGGACGGGTTGAAGAAACGTGGAGACGACGGGGAATAACGGATATAGAGGGGTACGAGGACCTCAACTGGCATGTATACGAACGGTGAGGCTTCGGCTTAGGCACCATTGTCATCGAATTCATTGAGGCTTCAAACACATTCTGGTTCGATAGACTGGCTTCTACTAGCACAGATCTCACGTAAAACCGGTAAAAACACCACTACGTCGAGCTTCATGCTTTTAGGGGTGTTCCTACCCAAGGACTAAGACCAAGGAATCTGCCGTTACAAAAAGGTCTCGGCCAGCCCCGTTGCGTCCTCGCTATTTGCGGTGTAGCCAACCGGTGCCAAATCACTCGTATTCCATTGAGACTAGCGTGTGGGGGCATAAGTCTCACGTACGCCATCTCCTCCAAAATGGCGCGCCTGTATTTAGCACAGCACTCTGTGGCGTGTGCCCGTGCATCCAGTAACATTCCAGCCCGGTCCTGCTGTATCGCAAAAAGCAGCGGTCTCAGCCGATGTTTCCAGTTCCGGCTTACTGATTTACACATGTGGCTGGCGTCTGGAGTGTTTCCTTGAGGCACCTAGGGCAAGCGCAGTGGCCTTCCAGGCTTCGGCTGGCTCTTTGACGAGCACCTGTGTTGTTTTCAGATTCTTATAAGAAGAGGCTGTTCAGACCTTTCAACTGTTCACGAACGGCCATCATTCCATCCCTCTTCGCATAGGTACACTATTCACATTCTTCTTCTCAAGGACCACAAGAACCATACCAAATGGCCGTTCGAAATGTGAACTTCGCCTCATACATCCCTCATCATTTCTTTGCTAGTACTAACATTGACTTAGGATCCCCCAGTCTTCAACCTGAGCGAATCTGGGCCCCCTCCCGGCCCATATGTCATGTCATGGGATGACGTCAAGGCCCTTCTCAAAGCAGGTCTAAATCCTCGATTCTGCTCCGACAAACAGACCGCAGTCGACCTGCTTACGCATGGCGGCCTGGTCGACTGCCTGTCCTTCATGGGCGGCTTCTCACACGTCGTGTTTATGGCAGGATTTTCCAAGGATGGGGCCATCCTGGAGAAGAAGCACATCGACAGAGGCATAGAACTAGCCGTCGATAAGTATGTATTTGAACGCACGAAAGAGAACTGGGAGGCACTGAGTGTTGCTGTTGATAAGGGCACGACCAAAGACGGCAAGCCCTTTACAAATGAGCAGAGGGCTGCAATTGCGAAGATAATTCAGCGGGAGCTTGTCAAGTTCTTCGGCCCACCTAGTCTCGGCAAGGATGACGTGTGGCTCGCATTCGTCAAAGCGTTCGATATGGTTGCCTATGATGTTGGCGGATATGGTGGTTTTGGCAAATCCGGGTCTAAAAGACTGCATTCGAATGACTTTTTCCAGACGATTATGTATTCTTTTGGGCAGAACAAGTCGCCTGATGTGCCAGAAAAGCTGGTTTGGGGTTTTGTAAAGCTTGCACGGGACTATGGGGCGACCTTGGGGTGGTGATTGATGGCTCTTCGAAACCAAAACTACTACCTGTGTAGCTCCATGTCCGCTGGAGGTTAAATCATATAACCTCATCTATGGTGCGAAGCTCAATACTTGTGCTTTCAAAATTGAGAGATGCTTCCTTATACCGCTAACTACGTGTGACAGTGCCAGAGAAAAACAGGAATCGCTTTCAGAGACACAATTACCCTATAGCCCAGTCACAAGCGGCACATGAGGCAAGGGCGACTTCTGTCCTCCTGATGGCATGTATTCCTGCAACGAGCAAGGTTACAGACCTGAAGTTGATTGTGCCCAACTTTGATGAAGATTATTGCGGAATGTGCATATATCTCTCTCTTGGGGGCCTCAGTGGAAGCTCCATTGAGCAGCAGACTCGCCGGATGCTACCACAAGAAGCTCACAATCCCCCCGTAGGTGCACAAACCTCGGGTGATTTGTGGGACATGTATGAAGAAGGAGCAGTTCTCCAACTTTTCCAAGGTCAAAATTTTTCCTGCGAACTTTTATCATGAATAGACTTAATGGGTAGGGGCAGAGTACTCATTCGGCTCATGGAAAAGCGAGGGGAGGGAACGGTGCTTCTGACGGCCTTACCGGTAAGCTGGCCACAAGTAGTACGTGCGCCTCGGCCGCCAGTCACACAACCGGCTTCCTGCGGCCGCAACAGCTGCCGAGTCACCTCTGCTAGTTCAGTAAATGGTCAGGCGTAGTTAGATGTGGCACAGTCAATAGGTGGGGGGAATAAAAATGTTTGCCTTCTGTGCCCTTCGGCCGTACGATTCTGGCCATCTCATGCTTGCTTCCCATGCAAACATCGCAATTTAACCAGTCCCATTCACCTTTCCATGCTGTAAATAAATTCAGACTTGCGGTCGTTTCCTGACATCGCCAGCTACGTCGTTTCAAACGCCCCCGCAAACCACCGCTCGTCTTTTCGACCAACAATGCGCAACGCCGCCTTGATGTTCCGCCAAACTCTCCTCGCCGTGTCTTTCATCCTCATCATCACAGACCTACTTGGAAGACCGACTCGCAGAGCTCCACTCATCCCCAGGGTTACTATGATGACCCGAGCCATCTATGGGGACCCATTCCAATCGCCGCGCCTGATAGGGTGCGATTCGGAAGACGTGATACCCGGAGAGTACATGGTGATTCTTAAGGGCGGATATCCACTAGAGCAACACATGGAGGGCATCGGCACCGATCTAAGCTCATCCATTGATTGGGTCAGCTCTGCGTCTCCTTCCCTGGGGACTTCCTACAGCGCGACCTTTGACAACGCGACGTTGACAGCCGTCCTGAAGGATGCCGGCGTGAGGTTGGTGGAGTGCAATCGCGAAATGAGATTCGAACCCCTCGAACCGGCGATACCTGTGCAGGAACTCAGACGCTCTCCAGCGCGAGCTAATTAATCATGTTCTTCTGGGGACAGGACGGGGAGACCTGACAAGATCATTTGGCCTCAGAGACGCTGTCTTGTTGGCGCAAAAAGGAGGCTTCGATATTTTACAAGAAAGCTGACATAAGGTGCAAGAGGGGCCTGGGGTGAAGGTGAAGGCTCGGATGGAGGAGGAGGGTCTTTGGCAAGCGTTGAAACTGCTTCTCGATAGCTTTGGCGAACAGTAGGGATGTTTTTCAACCAAGATATCCTTTCCCCGGGCATCCAATATAACCTGATTATCATGTTAACATTGGTCTGTGACTCAAGCAATTGGTTAGTGAAGACTCTCAGACCAGCATGCAAGAGATTGGTGGAGCTTATTTGATGGTGCCGTCTTTTCATGGTGTGACTACTTGTGGAGACGATAAATGCTCACGCTGGCGGGCTGATTGATTCTGCAAACCGACGCAGCCCGCGAGAAGGCAGTTGAGTTTGTAATATGATCGTTGATGCCAACAATAACATGAAGCGTTTGTGTCTTGCAGTGGCATCTTCGAGAATACCTTTGGAATGGTGCATGACGTGTTTGTAAACGAATTGTCCGCGGTATGCTACAGGAGCAATCATCAGGTTCACCCGTTGTAGGTTATCTATCGTAAGTCATATCACGAGGCATTTTCAACTTCTCCTCAACGTCTGTTATCCTAATATCTTGAATGAGGGTATCCCATGACGGTCTATCTCATAGGAGGATAGCCTATAGGAAGGCGGCCAATAGGAGGGTAGCCCATAGAAGGGTAGTCCATAGGAGCGTAGCCCGCTCGTGGGAGGGAGGAAGTTACCCCAGTGGAGGTTATCCGACTGGAGGTTTTTCATGGCAAGGTGTCTCATGGGAGGTTATCCTACGGAACTGGTGGTTGGTGGGCTCAACCATGTTCGTTTGGGAGGGTTGAATCTCGGTTTTTTGTACATACATGACCGTTTGGATATTATGAAACAGTAAGAAGAGGAAATCTGACTCACTGTCAAGTATGGCAAGATTCATCGTGCTGTGCCACAGTACAGTGAATGGCTGCATTCACTGGACCTCATTCACTGGACCTCGTTCACTGAACCTCATTCACTGGACCTCAGTCACTGGCCCCTCTTGCAAGTATTTAAAGTGTAGATTGCAGACCACCAGGCCTTTTCCATTCTTTTCCTTCCCTCTTCAGTAGTCCACGGGTCGCAGTGCAGCCAATTCTTTCCTGAGAGCCGTGACCGCCACAGGCACGGTACGTGGTGCGGGCAAGCATATTCTTTCGATCGATTCTGCCTTTTCTGCCACTTCAGTCCCATCCCCCACATACATTCCTTCCGAGAGTTGAGAACATGGAGCTTCTTTCTATTCTTCTGGTTGTTGCCAGTCTCTTTATTCGAATAGCAGTATCTGAGACTACTGAGGAATTTGTGCAGCGGCACAAGCTCGCCCGCGGTGGCGATGGCCTAGCTCCACTGTACGGCACCGAACATGAAACAACATGGATCCCAAATGAATACATTGTCGTGTTTCATTCGGGCTATACACTACAAGAGCACTTTGAATCAATTGGCATGGACTTGTCCAATACTACCCGATTCGCGTCAGCCAGCTCCTGGTATAGAGCCAAACTAGACGACATCACACTCAACTCACACGTCCGCCTAGACTCTGGTGTTCTTTTCGTCGAAACCAACCGTCGTATCGAGCTAATGGAGCCAGTGGAAGCTTACAGGAATGCATCCACGGAATCGGTTGCCGAGACTCTGAAGCGAGAGTACTCCGAGGGTGTTCAGCAGAATGCACCTTACGGTTTGCAGATACTGAAGGCTCCTCAAAAGCTATCGACACCCGTCTACGACAACGGAGAATACGACTACGTATGGGGGGCAGGGCGAGGAGTCAACGTCTATGTTTTCGACAGCGGGTAAACAGCCCTTCTTTAATCCCCCGTGTGGTGTTTTTCATTTTTCTTCTTTCTGCCCTCTTCCTCCTCTTCACTAATATGTCATTAGCATCCGAATTTCACACGGCCTCTTTGGGGGCCGTGCTAGATACTTTGGCGGCGGAGCACCTGGCGACAAGTCCAATTTCTCGGATGAGATCAACGATGACATTATGGGTCATGGAACCCATGTCGCTGGTATCATTGGTGCTTACAAGTATGGTGTTGCGCCATTTGCGAACCTCATCAGCGTGAAGACTGTAGCGAAAGGCTCGGATTTCTACACATTTCAAACTGGTATGTATTCCTACTCTCCGTCAGCATGTGCTTCTTATGTGTCCACACCCCCCGGACTCTCCTCACCATCCAACTTCCCTGACGGTCCCTGTGGCGACTCTGCTTCTAAAATATCCGCAGGCTCTCGACGCCGTAACAGCTGAGCACAAGGAAAATAAGAAACGCGACCAGAAAGAAGCGCCATGGAGGTTTCGAGGTTCTATCATCAACATGTCCATGGTTTGGCCAGGTCACGCAGATGCCCTTCTTTCGGAGCTGATCGAGGCAAACAAAGCAGGGATCACTGTGTTTGCATCAGCTGGGAACAACGGTATGGACGCCAGCCGAAGAATCTACCCCTGCTCATATCCTGAGACTGTGTGTGTGGGCGCGATAAACGCCACGTATGACTTTGATAGGCGGTACTCAAACTATGGCGGCGTCGTCGAGTACCTTGCACCAGGTACTGAGATCCTGAGTCTGGGAATCAAGAGTGACGAGGATCTAGTTTTCAGGACCGGTACTTCAATGGCTACGCCTCACGCAGCCGGGGCGGCTGCTATATTCGTACACTGGCAAGGCCTTATCAACAACCAGGCGCCTAAATACGTGTACTACAACTCTCTCGGCGGCCTCGTCTCAGGAGTTCCATGGGGCACATCGTCATACCTCATTAACACCGGCATTCACTCACCCAGAAAGTGGCCCAAGGAGCCGTTCAGATGGGCAGGAGAACACCCAGTTTGGAACCACAATGTCGATGTTCTTGTCACAACCACTGACATGGTTTCGGTGGCGAGCGGTACCCCCTTGACCGGCATCGATGTTGAGTCCTATACGACTATGCAGACGACCACCGTTTCTGACGCGACTGGGCTCAGCACGGAGACAGAATCTGCCACATGGGACCCGTCAATTGCTGGACCAACGTGGTCCACTTCAGTTCCGACGCAAACAGCCACTTCATTGCCCCCTCCCGGTGGTGTAGCTGGCCAACAAATTGCCTTGGCATCGAACATCGACCCGTACGCCGATCCGGATGCCTGGAAGAGACTTCTAGGCTACGATAGCAACAAGGTCAGCGTCCTGATCGCCGACATTCAGAACGGCGGCGCTGACTCACAAGTCGACATGAGCTGGAAACAAGTCATCAACGCGGCTAACTCCAGTGGAAAGCGGATCATTGGTTATGTCAATACTGGATATCTTGGCGCAAGCGAGCAGCTACTCACCACACGGCTCGGCTCAAATGAACTGGCAGACTGGGTGTCACAGATTGAGAGCGATGTCGATAAATGGTATCGACTGTATGGAAGCGGAATTGGTGGTATCTTCTTCGATGAAGGGGCGATTGATTGCGGGCCCGATAACACGTACTCGGATCTGTACGCATACATCAACGCCTACACCAAACGCCGATACCCCGGGGCTTTCACTGTGCTCCACACGGGCTCAAATACGTCACAATGCTTCGAGAATACGATGGACACGCTCTTGACATTTACGGATAGTTACGAGACATACACATCATCTTACGCTCCACTCGACTGGACACCAGCAGACCCTCGAAAGATCTGGCACATTATCGACAGCGTACCAGCGAGTGCAGTTGGCAGTGTAGTCGCCCTAGCCGGTCAGCGAGGCGCGGGGTTAGTGGAGGTGACAGACGACACACCGGACAACCCATATGATACTCTCCCGGACGACGTATACATGCAATCGTTCATGGGCTCTGTACAGGGCGGCAGTGCTCCGGTCACCGACGCACCAGCCGCAGCTGATGGCTCGGCTGCAGACGCCCCGGGATCTTTGGCAATCACTTCATACGGCTACAGCTTTGTCAGTCTGTCCTGGAACTCGTCAGGCAACTTGAATGCGGTCGGATACAACGTTTACTTGAATGGCGTGCAGGTCCTGAGCGTTCCCTTTTACATGACACTTGTGACGGTCGGCGACATCCCCCCTGGATTGTCGGACTTGACCTTTTCCGTCAAAGCCATCGGCGGCGGGAATATCGAGTCTGAAAGCTCGAACTCAGTGAGCGCAAGCACTCTGTCCCTCCCCGGCGGCAAACCCATTATCAATGTACACGCCGATCCACAGGACGGGTTCACCACATACACCGCCGACGTTCTGGTCGCTTACTCGTCTTTGCGTGTGTACGTCACCTACTCGAATGCGAGCGGAACGTGTGACTACCAGAATGTCCCCGCGTGGCCAATCTACTACAACCCCTCCAGCTGCTACTGTGCTGTCGGCATGGTGCAGAACGGTAACCTGTACCGATACAACGGGACGATCACCAACCCGAAAGACAACATACCATGGGCTTGGGACCTGGTCGGCCCGGTGCCTATTACTCGGGATGGGTACACTTATAGCTGGGTGGCGCCAATTGGGTCGTCAACGATGGATACGACTTCCTTCGTCATTCAGGCTCAAGGTCACGGACCTACTACAAACGTCTTTTCACCTTGCCCTGAGGCTGGTGACAGGCCGGACCAGGGTATCTTCTGTGCTTGAGCGGGCAATAAGAGCTCGTGCCTGACTCGTCAAAATGAGCAAATACTTGCGCATCTTTTGACAGGTCAGTTAAGACAGTGATCAAGCAACCAATCAGTGTCTTACACATTGTTCCAGAATATTATAATGCTGATATTCGTGAAAGACCTAGCCGTGACTGACCGTAGATCACCTTAAATGGTCTCACCTCACCTCCTGTGCGCTTAGAAAAGAGGACTCATTCACGTTCGTATTAACAATGTCTACAGTACGGTTTACTAATACCAGTGACATTTACTCTTACCTCCAATCTATTTCAATAACAACACACCGGTGTTCTCTATTTTCTGGGCTATTGATACACTACAATAATGGGTTCCTTCCAAGGTGAGATGTATTTAATGCTGACGTGTCAAGAAGGTCTGAAAGCATATGATTCTCCGAGGCAAGAGGTTCGCTCCATCATACATGTGCCTGCTGAGAGCCGTGCGGGACTCTGTTAGATGCCTCTATTGAGAAATCGGCTGACTAAGTATTATGTATTTAGTGCGACAGCAACAGCGATCGCGCCTCGTTAAGTACATACCACAATCGAGCACCACTCACCCTCCACGTCTCTCCTGGGCCTGGCATGTCTCACGTCCCATACCCACCAACGACTATCACTGTTACGAATGATCATTAAAAGGCATAATGCATCGGTCTTGTCAGAAACATGATGTTCAATTATATTATTGACATGGACATAGCCGTGTTCACCGGCTGTCTACCAGTTAATTATTTGACCGCTCATTAACCAAGCGTAGGTGATGTCTCGCTCTGCAAACACAAGTCGAAGATTTGTGTCGACAGTCAGGCCGTCGTCTATGAGCGACTTGTGTATTTGAGCGGCGCCTTTCTTTTTATTTTGCCTGTGTTGCAATTTAGCCTACCCGGACACATATTCCACTCTGGCACTCGAAAGCCCACAAAGCTGATCCCCCCTCATTTTCTCATGAATTTATCGAAATTAGGAGTTTTGGCTTCATGTAAGCCATGCATCAAGTGTCAAACAAGATACAGCCATCCTGAGGACATACCAGTGACAAGTTTCCGGTAAACAAAGGGTGATTAGGGCACGCAAGTATACTAGTAGGTTGAGAGCCACATCTGTCACTAGCCCTAACCTTCGTTTTGTGCTTGCCCGCCGTTCCACTGGCTGCCCGTCTTCTCCCAGAACTTCCAATATCGCTCCATAGCTCCCCGGACAAGCCGAGCCCGGACATCCTCGAGCCACACCTTGTCGGGCCGGCTGTCCGGGATTGCCCCCCTCTCGAGCAACACCTCAACAATATCCCAGTACCCACGGAAGGTAGCAGCGTTTAGTCCGCTGCGGTGTATTCCCCCGCTTGTTGACATTGGCCCCCCTATCCAGCAGCATGCGCACCGAGTCCGTCTGTCCCGAGTGCGCCGCCGCCTGCAGAGCCGAGCCAAATACACCACCTTCGGCGTTGACCTCGACTTCAGGGCACCTTTCCAGTAGGTATCTTGTTAGCATCTCGCCCTCCTCTGTCTCGTTTGCACACGCAGATTTCAGCGGGAAGCCGTAATCCCCACCTCCGACATTGACGTTGGCGCCGTGATTAAGCAGAAAGCCGAGCCTCCTAAACCGCGGCTCTGGGTCCCCGGCGTCAATCGAAGAGCACCCTGGGCTGCAGGAGAAGAGCGAATACCCTTCTAGGCGCTCATAGTTAAGCGAATCGGACTCAAGCGCCGCGTGTAGGGCCGTGGCATACTTTCGCCCACGTGCGTCATCGATATCGATGCCGTGCCCCAGCAGCAACAGTGATAGGGTCTCATTATAGTTCGCCGCTGCAGCGGCGTGCCAAGCGCTGCCGAACATGCCACCCTGCTGGTGGATGTTTGCACCGTGCTCAATCAACAGATGTGCGATTTCTGGATCTGGTTGATATTTACCGCAGGCCGCTTGAAGGGCTGTCCCGTGATGCCCGCCGTCGACATTGACTTCAGCGTCGTGATCGAGCAGGATGCTTACGATGTCGATGTCTTGGCGCGCGCAAGCCGCCTGGAGCGCCGTGCCGTAGAAGCCGCCCAGCCTATTTACATCAGCACCCTTTCTCGGGAGAAGTTCCACTAACGGGGCGTCACTGTGTCGGGCGGCCGCCTGCAAGGCGCTTCCAGACACGCCTCCGGAGACGTTGACATTCGCACCTATGTCGATCAAGAGCCGCGCAATCTGTGAGTTGTTGCCGTAGCAAGCCGCCTGCAGGGCGTGGCCCTCAGCTCCGCCCTCGAAGCCCATGTCGGCGCCATTCTCCAGCAGGAACTGCGCATTCTCGACGCGGGGCCGAATCGCGCAAGCCGCCTGCAGTGCGCTTCCCCACAACCCGCCTTGCACATTAATATCGGCACCTCTGTCGACCAAGAGCTTCGCGACGTCCCTCTGCTTCTGGGCATCATCACAGGGAGTGGAAAATAGAGTCTGGAGTGCAGTGCCGTATCTGCCGCCGAAAGCGTTGACATTAGCGCCATTGTTCAGCAAAAGCTCGATCTCCGATGGACCTGCAAACCCTTCGCACATTGCGTGAAGCGGGTAACCGTATTGCGCGCACAAGAGATTGACATCGGCGCCTCTCTCCAGCAGCAGAAGGACACATTCAACATCATCAGGTTTTCGTGTGTTCCGAGCCGCATGATGTAGTGCAGCCCCACGAACTGGACATTGCCTATTTATATCGGCGCCGTTGTCGAGGAGAAAGCGAAGGCATTCGAGATTGCCTTGATGTCCTCTCTGAAACCTTTCTGCAGGTACAGCCAGCGTGATGGCGCACCCAACTTCGTTCGATGATGCATTGATATCGGAGCCGCTGCTTACGAGCAGCCGCACCACGTCGAGGTGATTGCCTGATACAGCGGCCTGTAAAGCCGAGCCGCATTTGCCATATTGAGCATTAACGTTGGCGCCTCTATGGAGGAGGGAGCCGACGATCGCAATGTGCCCTTGAATTGCCGCCGCGTGCAATGCGGCTCCCATCTCTTCGATCTCGGAGTTGCAGTTAGCTCCTTTGTCCATGAGAAGCTGGACCAGGGCATTGCAACCTGAAGGCGCCGCATAGTAATGTGCCATGTCCATGTCTTCCTGCGTCAAGTATGTATTTGTGCCGGCGTCTTCACCAACTAAAAATTGGGCGAGATTGAAATATCCATTCAGGGCAGTGTAAGGATGCGGTTTTAGCAGTGCGAGACGGGGCTCCAATCCGATATTGTATCCCGTCAACAAAGATTCCCTGAAGGAATCTACTATGAAGGAATCAGACGTAGTGTTTTGTTCTTCAAGAGTTATGCGCAGGCTCTTGCTGCGCGTTGCGAGTGCACGCGCAGCGAGGTTGGCGATTTCGGCCGACCATAGCTCCCTCGGTACCATTTCGAGATGAAACATCCAGTTCACGAAAGCATAGTTTTTGAGCTCGAGGTCGGACAAATCTTCATCGGGAAGACTGATACAGTGCAGGCAGTAGACAAGAGATGAGTGGGCGATGTGTAAATGGGCGTCAGTCGCGGTGAAAGCGAAGCACTTTGCCTGGGTGGTCGCAATCCGGCTAGACATAAGGTACTCCTTGATCGTGAAGTGGGCTAGACGGATATAGGTGTCCTCCTGGAGATGGCCGAACCTATCTGGAAATGTTTGAATAACAATCAAACTGGAAATGTATTTCATGAAGCCTACCTTCTCAAGCAGCCCATACGTCTTGTTAAAGACTACTTCGCTTTCGGGGCGGAGGATGAAAATCTCTGCGAGCTCTTCGAGTCTCAAGTCCCTGTTTGATGATGTGAGCCACTTAAGTACGCTTATGATCTGGGTTCGAAAGTGCTCGTTTAGACTCAAGAACAGCCTGCCATATGTTTCATCAAGCCCTATCGGGAGGGCTTCGAGTTCCTTACGAATGGAGTCCTCAGATGAGAGATCCTCCATGCGGAGGGCTTCGAATTGGCAAAAGGCGCATTGAAACCTGTGGGGACTGTTAGATACAACTGTAATACGTGCATGTAAGGACTTCTCTCGTGACCTACATTCCGTCCACCCTTTCAATCAGCAGTTTTCTTGCGTAATTCTTCAGATCACAAGGCCAACCTTTGTAGTGATTCGATGCAAGTGTTTCATCTATATCCAGGCCGATATCGTGGTTCAGGCTATCCCAGTGAGTCGTTAAGTCAACTTTAGCTCTCGAAGGTTCAGAGAGGAGGCTGCATATCGTCGTATCGATATCTCTTTCTGCTCGAATTGTGCAAAAGACGTGCATATTGCGAGGCATAGCGGAAATGAGGCACGAAGGCTAGTCAAAAGCTTCTCTCGCTCACCGGGCACGGATGGGCATTCGTCCAGGGCGTCAATGATGATAAAAGTTGCCGAGAATCGGTGTGCTGTGGCTAATATTGCGGCTTCTAGGGTCTTAGTGTCTGGAAGCTCGCCTCTTGCCTTGTATTCGCGAAGATTTTGAACGAGATCTGGTGTGTCAGGCCTTCTAGCATAGATCTGCTTTAGAAATGACGCGAGCATTCCGTCCACTTTTTGCTTATTTGTGTCCGAAAAGCTGAAGAAGAAGTATGCAAAAGCAGTTCGCGGGTCCGATCCATACTGATCCCGGAGGTGCATGATGACGGACGAGCTCAGGATTGATTTACCACAACCAGCTGCGCGCGGTTAGAAGAAGAACTCGAAGGCACGAATAATAACACTGGGACGTACGCTTTCCACTGAGCCATAGCAGAGAGCTAGCAGATGTTTCCCACGCCTTGTATTCCTCGCTGTCCCTGATCAGCCAATCGCTGGTACCCCTCGTATGCTTGTCGCGGGCCGCATTATACGCCTCTGAAGGATCGAGCCTGCACAGCCAGTCGAGCAAACCGTCGCGTTTCTTCTCGTCCTGGGTCTTCCGAACTATCTCTAGCAGGCCTGACACGTCATTTCCTATTGTTTGCCAGCAGCGAATAGCCTCTGCATGTCCGGTCTCCGTTGCTGAGCGCTCTACGGCGTATGTGGTATCCTTCTAGATAGCGTTGATTGAGTCAAACCTGCTCTCATGTTCTTCTGTTGCCCAGCCGGACCCTGGTCAATCCTTTTCCCCCGCCTGCTGATGTGGCAATATCAGGTTGCACAGCATATTTACCAATGTGTTTTCAGCTACCAGTCTAACCCGTGGTCGGATATACCTCGGGGTATAATAACCTCTTTTCGTTTCCTCTCTATTGACACATCTAAGTATGCTAAATTGGGAATACTACGAGTCTAATTACGATGTAATTCCTACTGATGGCAGTTATACCAGCTCTGTAGCAATACCGTTAAAATTGCACTTCCTACTTTATTGCGGCCAAGGTCTAAACCTTGAAACTTTCAGTTCAAATATGAGCACCTAATCACTGCTCTCCTTCTAACTCTACTGCAATACCTCTCACATTTCGGAGGGAAACGGTGTGAATGCTCCTTCGCGAAGACACTAACAATGCGAAGTATGGTAACACCAAGATTTGTGTCAAAGGCTTTGCATGAGCAGGTGAATCACAAAAGAAGAGGTTTGAACGCCCACAAGTGTTTGGATGGTGATATTATAACGCACCCAAAAATCACATTGCCTCCGGTGCCAACAATTTACACTTCCCAGCCAAGTCTGCAGCCAGCTGCCGCATGGGAATATGTGCCATGATGTCAAACACGCTCACATCGACGCCGGTCTCACGGGCGATCCAATTACGAACCTCAACCGCCACTAGCGAGTCAACACCGTACATGCTGAGTGCCTTCCCAGCGTCCACGTCACTCTCAGGCATCATCATCAGCTTAGCCAACCTCTCTACCATCGCAGCCGTGATAAGATCCACTGCAGTCGCGCGGTCCGCACAGCGCACGAGCTCGTCGCGCAATGAGATAGTCGATCCAGATCCTGCACCCGCGCCCTCTGCGCGGTTCCGCAAAGCTGCAAACCGCCCGTCGTTCATCCAATACCAGGCCTCAGAGTACTCATTGAACGGCAGGCCGCACATGATCTGCGCAGGGTGTGTCCGAGGGTCCTCCATGGCGATGGACAGCAGCCCGTGCAGGTCGCTGTTACGCATCACCTTGAGGCCCATGGCCTTGACGTGGCCCACGTACTCGTCGTGCTCGGCGACGAAGCCGACCGAGAGCAGGTAGCCGATGTCGATGGTCGTGGCGCGCAGGCCGAGCGACCGGCGGTAGCTGGCGAAGTAGTCCTGGAAGATGTTTCCCGCGCCGTAGTTGCCTTGGCCTCGGTGGCCCATCACTCCTGCGAGGGAGGAGAGCATCACGAAGAAGTCCAAGTCTTTTGGTAGCTGGTCGTGCAGGTTCCATGTTCCGTGGACCTTGGGGCCAACGGTCTTGCGAACATGAGCAGCCGTCATTTTGTCAAAGAGGACATCCTACCATGCGCTCATGTCAGTATAAAACAAGGTTCGTAAATATCAAATTGCGATGTTAGGGGTTGACTTACGTCCAGCACCATAGCACCAGTGACACAACCCTTGATCGGCGGCAGGGCACTGCACTGCTCAAGGACACCAGCAAGAGCCTTTACATCACCAACGTCACAGTCGAAAGCGACAATGTTGGCGCCATACGTCTTACGCAGCTCCTCGGAAAACTCGGCGTTCCCGACGCCACTCTTCGCTGTTCGCGACAGAAAGACAATGGATTTGGCACCCTTGTCTGCGAGCCAGCGGCCAATCTCACGGCAGATACCACCCAGACCCGCCACCACGTAGGTCGCATCTCCTATGACACCCACCTGAGGGGTGCGAGGCACAGCTGGGACCATGTCGGTGTCGTCCACTCTGACAACAACCTTGCCCATGTGCTTACCAGTCTGCATATACCGGAATGCCTTCTCCGCCTCCGCCATGGTGAATAGCTGCACGGGAGATACCGGTTTCAGCGAGCTGTTCTGAATCATACGGGCCACGTCGGTCCATAGAGCGACGGCCCGAGGAGTCGGATTATTCTCGAAGTCGAGCAAGTTGACTCCGATGTAGCTCTTGTTGTCCAAGAATGGCTTCATGTCCAGGCCAGTGTTGGCGAATAAGTCTGCTTTTCCAATTTCAAGGAATCGGCCGAACTTGGCTAGACAGTGCCAGGACAGGCGCAGAGACTCTCCCGCAAGTGAGTTGAGCACGGCGTCAACTCCACGACCACCGGTGGCACGCATGATGCCCTTGGCGAAGCTGGTGTCTCGGGAGCTGAAGATGTGGTCCTCAGGGATACCGTACTGGCTCATGATTAGCTTCTTCTTTTCCTCAGACCCAACAGTGGCGAAGATCTCGCAGCCGATATGTTTAGCCAGTATGATCGCCGCCTGCCCGACACCGCCCGCAGCTGCATGTATAAGAATCGTCTCGCCCTTCACGAGTCCACCAGCCGTGACAAGAGCGTAATATGCAGTCAAGAAGATCAGCGGCGTAGAGGCTGCATCCTCGAAGCTCATCGAATCAGGCATGGAAATAGCGCCTTGGCTCGGGAAGCGTAGGTAGGTGGCGAAGGTATCGCACGAGGCGGTCATGACGCGGTCACCTGGCTTGAAACCTGTCACGTCCTTGCCAACACGAGTGACAATACCCGAGGCGTCGACACCGAGTTTGTTCTCATTCAAGTTACCCAGTGCGACGAGCACGTCCTTGAAGTTGAGACCGACGGCCTTGACTTGGACCTCGATCCAGTCGTCCGGCAGCGGCGTATAGTACGTCTCGTCTTCCTCCCTGGAAGAAGTCACAAATCAGTATGGTCTCACAAAGGCAACTACACCGGTAAAACTCCAGGGCCAAGCTCGACTTCGGGAGGTCAAGTTTTCTCATGCATGAAGATTATTCCCCGTAAGACTTGTGTCGGGGAAACACCAGCGCAGCAAAGGAATACCATGTCGACAAGAAAATGGTCCGATGCGAAGCAGGAAAGGATAAAGCGCTCAGAACACGTACCAACGGAAAGTGTCCAAGAGACCGGGGGTCTTGATGGTCAACTTGAGAGGACGGCCGCAGCCCGCGAACGAGACCAACTCAGGCTCACCCTTAGCCTCATATCTGCGGAGCGAAGCGTCGATCTTGGGAACCCTCTCGACACGAGGAACGAAAATTGTTTTACTTCGCGCAGCAAATTCTCCGTCTTCCCTGTCGCCTCGGCTGTGGTCCACCGCCACACGAAGGATGGCATCGGCTACCGCGTCAATGTCCTTGAGGGTTTCGGGAGCATCGATGTCGAGGGTCGCCAGCAGGGTCCCTGCGTCCTCGTTGCGGATTGCACGCGACAGGCCAACCATGAGGGACTGCATGGGGTGTGTGCAATCCATGGCTGCACCGCCCGTCAGCCAGAGCGTGCCGGCTGACTTGTCGAGCATCTGGCGCAGCTTGGCCCAGTTTTCATCCGTCAGGTTGGCGAGCAGGGTTGTGTCCCACTCAGCAAACGAGACGCAGTACTTGCCAGCGATGTCTGCCTCTGTGAAGCTCCCCCACCCGGTCACCGAAGAACTGAAACCAGCTGCCTCGAAAGTGGTCTGAAGGGCAGTGGCTAGCGTTCTGGACTGCGCCGACACACCGCTGACAATGGCGTAGTTACTCGCTGGCTTGGGCCTCGAAGTAGCTGGCTTGGTTGACACAATGAGAGACACGGGCTCGTTTGACGTCTCACGGTCGCCGCGGACATCCATGTCAACACCAGAGAAGTCGGCCTTCTTCAGCGCGGCCTCCCACTCCCCAACATCCATCAGTGGGCCGCCCTTGCGGCCATCGGCCTCACCAAGCCACCAACCAGGGAGAGGACCCATAATAAAGCCAGAGAAAATACGCTTGATGGTAACCTCTGACAGGACGAGCTTTCCGCCTGGCTTGAGAAGCGAGCGGCAGTGCTGCAAAGTCTCCTGGATGCTCTTGGTAGCATGCAAAACGTTCGCGCAGACAATCAGATCGAACGTCTCGGGCTGGAAGCCTTGCTCGATGGGGTCGTTCTCGATGTTGCACGTGCCGAACTCCATGATAGACGCATCGGTGATGAAACGGTCCTGTGCCTTGCCGAGAAAGCCGGGCGAGATATCCGTGAAGAAATACTTCTTGGCCTTGGATGAGCCATCCTCGTTACGGAGTCGCTCGAGGACGTGGTAAGTGGTGCCACCTGTCCCGGCGCCAATCTCAAGGATGGACAGGCCGGGATTCTTGTCTGCTACGAGGCCAACATACTCCGCGACATTGCTGTTGAACGACGTGCCGAAAGCACCGCGGTAAAAAGTGTAGAGCAAGTCGCCCTCTGTCATGACCTGCAGGGGCTCAACCTTGTGCATGAAAATATTGACCAAGTTCTCACCAATGCGGTCAACCATCTGTACAGTAATATCGCCACTTTCAGACAGAGCTATACGCTCTCTGGCAGACTTGAGTTTAGCTTCCACAGCAGCTGGGTCCGCGTCCAGGGGCGGGAAGACAGCCTTGACAACCTCCATCCACTCGACATATAACTTCCAGAAGCCATCTTCGGGCATGTGAGCCTTACCCTCGGGGGTCTGCAGCCAGTCGAGACACCGAACAATGTGGACCAGGCACACATACTCGAGCAGGTCCAGCACTGACTCGTCGTCCGCGTTGGGGATCGTGCGCTTGTATACCAGCTCCTTAATGTGCGAAGGCACTAGCAGGTCAACGTCCTCGTGCCAGACCTGCTCAAAACAAGAGGCTCTCGTCTCGATGGCGCTGGTAGTGTTATCGCCGCCGATGGATGCGAGACCAAGTCCCTCCATGATGACTAGGGGCTTCGCATAGCTCTCGTCGGAGATCGTTATCGAAGACGTCCAGGTCGTGTAGCTCATCTTCTTGGCAGTTGATATGCCGTGGAGGCTTGTTCCAGGCGTGTTAGGTATATCAGCGGACACGAACACGCGGTCGAAGGAGATGGGCACGACCGCCTCCGATATGTTCTGCTCCGCGCCGGAAATAGAGGGGAAGAGGAGGTGTAGCATCGAGTCCAGCGTGGCGGGGTGGATCACAGACGGATATTCGAAGCCCATAGGCATAATGGATTTGGTGTCCGGCACGCTGATGACGCCGTAGGAGGCATTGGGACCAGCGTACAGTTCCGTCATGTTGCGGAATGTTGGGCCGTACTGCATGCCCACGGTTTCAACAGTGTCATACAAGAAGCTGCGAGCTGGCTGCTGGCAGATCTCTTTGCTCTTGATGAAGTCGGCCTTGCGTGCAGAATTCTCCAGCTCAATTTCGTTCTGCATCGCAGGCGACAGCGACGAGGCATACGTGACCGACACCATACCTCTGGCATGGACAACCCATTCCTTGGTATCCTCAGACCATGAGGACACGGTGAACTCATTTAATGAGGTCGACGGAGGGGCCTTGGTACCCGTCCTGCGAGGATGGAATTGCACCATGACCTCGACGCCTTTCTCCGTATCAGGTACGGAGAGCGGTGACGATACTGACGTCTCGCAATTCGTAGCCGTAGATGACCTCATTCTTGTTGGTTGATTCTGCGAGCTGCTTGGCGCCCTCGATAGCCATGACCAGCATACCAGCGCCAGGGTACAGAATATTTCCCTGCACCTTGTGCTCCCGGATCCAGGGGTTCTCGTTGCACCGCAGGAAGTTGCGCCAAGTCGGGTCCGGAACGCCGGCTACGGGGTAGCCCAAAAGATCTAGCCGGGGCTTCTCACGGAGACGGTAGGCTTTACTGAGGTGTGACTCGTCCCAGAATGTGAGGGAGTGATTCCAGGAGTACGGGGGCAAATCGACGAGCATCTTGGTGGACGGTGAGCCGACACCCACCCCGTTGACCTTGTTCAGGTCCACGTTGAAACCCTTGACCCACAGATTCCCCATTGCCTGGAGCGCAGTCTGGGCGCCGTCAAACTTCCGGCGAAGCATGGACTCATAAGACAAGTCTGTGAACTTGGTCTCGCTGTTCTCGAATATATCCAGCATGTAGCTGCGCAACGCAGAGTGTGGACCAATCTCGACGAAGATGTCTGCAAACGCGCGGCGCTTGTGGGTGGTACGCTTCTCTTTGGTGTAGTTCAGCAGCGCAGTTGTTGCACCAGTGAAGTCGACGGGCTTGACCAGGTTCTCGATCCAGTACGAGCGGGACATATCCTCGGGCGTGACAAGAGCGCCTGTCACGGATGAGAACATAGGGATGGTCTCCTCGGAGGCGACGTGTGGGATGCCTGACAGAGCAGCCTCATACTGCCCCCGAACAGACTCCATGTGGAATGAGTGGTAAGCAACGTCCATAGGAAGTCTGGTGCAGGAGACTTTCGCCGCGTGGAGCTTCTCTTGCAACTCGTCGACTGCTGCGGCGTCGCCGGAGACAGTACAGGCGTTCGGACTGTTCAAGCATCCGACGATGGCCTTGCCTGACTGCAGCCCATCGAGTGTCTCTTGGAGGGACTCTCCGCTGGCACTCACAGCCAACATACCTCCCTTCTTCCCATTCTGGGCCACAGTTGCCGATACCTGTCCACGCAGCCAAGCGACCCTGATACCAGCCGCGTGACTGATGAGACCAGCACAGTACGCCGCAGCAATCTCACCACTCGAGTGGCCCACCACAGCCACGGGCTTGATTCCCCACGAGCGAAGGAGATCCACTAATGCGATCTGTATGGCTGTGCAGGCCGGCTGACTGTAGTCGGTCCTGCGGAGATTGCTTTCCTCTTCTGACCCTTTGCCCAGTTCTTCTGCCAGGCTCCACGGGCAGCCGAGGTCGGAGCGCAGCATCCTCTCGGAGGCATCCATGCTTGCTTGGAAAGCTGGGTAGATGGAAAGGCCTTTACCCATGGCGGACCACTGTGCGCCTTGGCCGGTGAAGACGAACGCTAGGCGTGGGTCGGAGGTAGAGGATGATCGCAGAGGTGTGCAGAGAGCGGAAGGGGCGAGATTGTTGCTCAGTTGCTGAATCGAAGACGCTATGGCGAAGGACTTCCATGGGAGCACGGAACGTTTTGTGGCGAGCGTGTAGGCGAGATTTCCGAGGAAGTCGTATTTTGAACTAGACTTAGCAGAGGTGAGGTACGAGGTCAGGCGTTCCGCATTACGCGAAACGCCCTCTTTATCGTTGGACGATACGACGAAGACTTTAGGCTTGGGGTCGCTATGGACTCCATCTCCATTCGTGAGGCCGTTTGAGTGGCCATTTGTAAGTGGCTTGGGCGGGCTGACGGTGGAATGCTTCCCGTTGAGTCCGTTGCGGGAAATATAGGATGATGCATCCTCAAGAACGACACTGGTATGTATTAGCATCCGGAGAAAGTTTCGCGACTCGAAGAATGACGAATAGAGGAATGAAACTCGGAAGAGATGATGGGCAAAACGAATAGAAATTCAAGAAGCAACGGTACAGCCTTCGTGGAAAGGGAGGAATTCGACAAGGGCACAGTCCGGGGGCAATACGATTCATTATCTCGAGGGATGACAGTGTACTTACTGGGCGTTAGCTCCTCCGAAGCCAAATGAGTTGATGGAGGCACGCCGAGGCCCCTCGAATGGCCAAGGCATAGGCTCCGTCGGAATCCTGACGTTTGCTGGCAGGGTGATCTGCGGGTTCAACTTCTCAAACCACAAGTTGGGAGGAATGACCCCTCTCTCAACGGTCAGAGCAGCCTTGATGACGCCTGCTACACCAGCAGCTCCCTCAAGGTGGCCAATGTTGGTCTTGACTGAGCCGACGTACAGATCCTTTGTCCGCTTATGCCCGATGGTAGCAAGTATAGCGCTGGCTTCGAGAGGATCTCCGGCCTGGGTTCCAGTGCCGTGAGCTTCAACGTAGCCCGTGTCAGACGGGTCCACCCCGGCCTGGCGATAGGCTGTTCGAATTAGTGCCTGTTGTGCATCGCTGCTTGGCAGCGAGATACCGGGCGTCCTGCCGTCCTCGTTTGCGGCTGAGCGAGGATGACGGCGCGGATGGTGTCGCCGTCACGGATGGCGGCGTCCAGAGATTTAAGGATCGTGACGCCGAAGCCTTCACCTCTCGAGAAGCCGTTGGCCTCTGCGTCCCACATCTTGGACTTGCCGTCCGGCGAGAGAATCTTGGCGGCGCCAAGGAGAATGGACATGTCTGGGCCGAACATCAAATTGGCCCTGGTTACATCGGATAGGTCAGCAAATGCTCCCAAACAAATTAAGGGTTTCTGGTCTTACCCTGCAACAACGCTCATATCTGCCTCACCAGTCCTGATACTTTGGCAACCAAGGTGGAAAGCTGTCAGACTTGACGAGCAAGCGGTATCAATTGTCATACTCGGGCCCTTGAGGTCGTAGAACCATGATAACCTATTTGACGCCAGCGATGATGAAAGGCCTGTGGCGTGGTAGATAGAGGGACCCTCGTTGTCACGAGCCTGGAGGTTTGGGAAGTCTCCTGTGAATGTGCCGATGTAGCAGGACGTCAGGGTCCCCGCCACTTTATCCAGGCCGAGACCCGCGTTCTCGAAACCCTCATAAGTGGCTTCTAGAAGCATTCTATGTGTAGGGTCCATGGCCTTTGCTTCTTTGGGCGTCACGCTGAAGAATGGCGCATCAAATGTTTTGAAATCTTGCTTCAGGAAATGTGCATGGCTATGTTCAAGGTCAGTCAACTTCGTGAGAAATACTCGCACTCCAAATCCTTCTTGAGTTTGGGTGATGGTTTACCGTGGTTGGATACTCCCTAGACGCTCGGAGTCAGGATGATAGAAACCATCGATGTTGTAGCGATCTTCAGGAATCTCAGCTCTGGCGGACCGGCCTTCCAAGAGCATATTCCAAAATCGCTCCGGGTCCGAGCCATCACCAGGTGCTCGAATACCAATGCCTATGATGGCAATGGGCTGTAATGTGGCTGTGGATGGGGTGGCCATTGTGAGTTATGAGCTGCAGTTGGATACTGCGCCTCGGAGTGATTGTGAGACTTGTTTACCAAGTGAAGAAGCTATAGAGGTAGTGCGACGATTGTACGAGGGGCGGGTATTAAAATAGTCGCAAGCCGTTTTTTATCAAGGAGAAAGCAGAACGACGGGAATTTCTCTCGCGGCAAGGAAACAGCCAGTCGTCTCCCAAGTTCACTATTCCCCTAACAAATCAATCCTACGCGGCGTTGACGGCATGTTTGGTCTTTATAAATGGCTGCGGATCTTGAACCCTTTTACAGTCCGATCCAATACCCCCGAGGGTGACCAACTAGTCCCCATCTTCCGCGGTCAACACCACATGGTTTCTCAGCTCCAATTGGGTGAGCCATGTGGAGCGTCGTGCTCTCCGAAGACCCCAACTCCCAGCTTATCTCAGTCACCCATTTTGATATCGCTCATGTGAGTATTACCCGTGGGTCCCAACATAGCGAAGCATGGCCTGTGCAACGGAGGAGGGCGCGGCGTAAAGACGGTACCTGGGTGGCGGAGCTTGAGTGGTGGAGTGATCTTCAGCGGCCTGGCTTGCCACAACAAGAATCGACGTCCGCGGTGAGGAGAACGAGATATACTCTCAGTGCTTGGATACCAATGGTTCAAGCACGATGACAGCCACGTGGGTTGGGGTCATCGAGAGATCCTTATTCGAGAAGCCCTGGCCGAAACAGAAATCCCTACGATTCATACGGACGCGTTATCAGAGCGAGACAGAAACAAGCTTTTGTGGTCCCGTATCTCTGGAGATGCCGGAAAGACAGGGGTCATGAAGTTCGTGAGAGGGCTACACAAATGTCCTTACTCGTGCAGTCATCCACCACCCGTTGGTTCGCTATGTTGCTTCCGCGGCGGCTGGATTCAACGCAGCAACATCAAGATGGCAATTGAGAACGTCGGAAATTCCTCAAATATCTGATGAGCCAATTCAACACAAATTGAGCCACCGTGATGCACAAGTCTGTTCTCTTGTTCATGTACAGTGCCCTATGCATGTGAGTTGGGTTTTCCTACTCCGGGTCGGTGTGGAGTCGTTTGACCCTCCCACGCTCTTGTCAGGTACAGCGTGTATGCACGCACCATATAGGCCTGGTCCTGGTCTCAACAAGGGTCTCTATCCATCCACTCGATTCGCACTGTCTGAGGATTTTTGTACATGAAGATCCTCTAGACATAGACCCTGAAGATCCGGGGACACAGGATCGTTTCACAGTTAATCATTATCGTTACCAGTACCAAACCAGATCACACACTCCCTCTCCGTATAGATTATTTCTCGGAAGCTACCATCATATTAGAAAGATGGCAGATACGGAGGGCCTTGCCCTGGTGTTGCAGGCGGAACTAAAGTCGCGGCTCTCCTCTACTGCCGAGGTGTTCCTGCATGCATCAGACGAGTTCGCAAATTCAAACTTGAGATTTACGGAATATGAACGACCTGTAAGTGAATGACTTTCCAACTTCGAAGCGCCATATACTAATAGTGGCCAAGACCTATCTTGTTGCAGTTCGGCCGGGCACATGTGATGATGTTGCCGCGACTGTGAAGTACGCGCGGGAGCGGGGGATACCCTTCTCGCCACGAGCTGGACACCATTGCGTGACAACCACAATGAGACACCTGGAAAATGGCATTTTGATTGATATGAGGTCGCTAAATGGCCTGACTTTCGATCAGGAGCAGCGGCATGTCACTGTTGGTGGCGGAGTCATCACAGATGACTTCGTGCGCTTTCTCGAGAGTAAGAAGATGGAAGTCAGTAAGTCAAATAATGGTACCATGCCCATCTCGGTAAATTAAATAATTGATTTGAAACAAAGACGTCGGTTCTTGCCCAACAACTGGTGTTATAGGTGTTGCTTTCGGTGCCGGTCTGGGGAGGTTACAGGGAAAATACGGATTTCTCCACGACAACATGATCTCATGCAAACTAGTCCTTGCGGATGGGACTATCGTCATAGCTTCTGAGCACAGCCATTCGGACCTCTTCTGGGCTATTCGTGGTGCAGGGCACAACTTTGGCATTGCCGTCGAAGCAACATTCCAAGTCTTTCCCCAAGGGCATGGCGGTCAGCACTGCACATGGGACCTGCAGTACACGTTGGATCAGTGCGATGAAGTATTCACCGTTCTGAATGATGTCCATGAGACTATGCCGCCTGAGCTCGCGATTTTCATTGTTTGGAATAGGCAGAGTAAATCAGGAAAAAAGGCGTGTTCCTCCATTTAATTGAGCTCACGGATTCCAGCTGACAGCCGCCACAGAATCTCATACTCGTCAACCTCGTATGGTCCGGTGCTGAAGCAGCCGCCGACGCTTGGGTTAAGAAGTTTGAGGTGCTTAATCCTGTGGAGCATAGCGGAAAGACAATCACAACCTGGGCAGAGCTTCCATGGACGACATATGGCGGCATGAACAAGCTCCTCAGCAAGCCCGAGGTGTGGTCGAAAGCCCCGCACAAGATGATGGGTGCGGTAAGTATCGAGAACTTCGACTTGCCTACCACGAGGGCATTTTTCGAGAGCCTAAAGGCGATGAACGAGAAGTGGGCTGGTAAGGGCCTGTTTGGTGCCATGTTTGAGTGCCTCCCTCACCACAAGACCCGTGAATTCCCGGATGATTCAACAGCTTTCCCATGGCGCTGGGGCAGCAACCATTTCCTGTGAGTAGACGACAGGTCTGAACCCTTCACACATACCACTAACTTGATCAATTTAGGATGATGACAGCAACACCGTTCAATATGAACGACCGCACTGCCTTTGAGGGACATCTTGATGAGTGGAAGAGGGAATTCATTCGTGTCTCTGGGTATGGAAGACTGCAACAGTATGTCAACTACGGAAACACGACGTCGACCATGCCGGATCCTCCGGAAGCGTTGTATGGATATGAGCCGTGGCGATTGGAAAGGTTGAGGGATCTGAAGAAGCTTTATGACCCGGATAACGTGTTTCGCTGGTATCAGCCCTTGATCCAAGCATAGATTAAATGATAGCTCCTTGAATCCCCCCCCCCCTTCCCCCCCCTTCCCCCCCCCCTTTTTTTTTTTTTGCCTTCCTAAACTTCTATTTCTCTAATCATCACTTTCTGATTTGTATGATTACAACAACCACGACGCTGATGACCCCTGGCGGTTACAGAACGAAGCGCAAGTCATGTGTCTAACGGCTCGAAGCGTTCACTGATTGTAAACTGCCGAGCGCTGGAAATGCCGCCAAGAGAAAGTACGCGCAGCTCTCCAGGAACCCGCCCATTGCTATCGTCGATCTAGCAGTACAATGGGCTACTGAATCGCGTCAAGAATTTCGAAGTGCTCGGATGATCCGGCGAGCCGGACCCAGACGGGACCTCTAAGAATCCACATCTCTGCTCAGGGTAAAAGTGCATAGATAACAGAATGATCTTGCATGAGCCAATCCCGTCCGTCCGGCCAAGCACGTTGTCAACAATTGCGTTGTCCAATGAAAAGCTGACAACGGAGGAGTGCGAACCTTCTAAGTCATCTTAGAATGGCATTACCTATGCAAGCAAGCTCCCAATGTTATGATAGCCTCACCGCAAGACTCCCACCAAACCGCGCCCGCCATGACTATGCCAGTACTGCTTCTGACATTGGGGCTTGCCCTCGTCGTCATACATCTTTTCAATACACTCATCATCATCCCCATCCAGCATGCCCGCAAAGCTCGCGCCCTAGGCTGCGGCAACGTGCCCCTCGAGCCGACAAGATGGCCCCTAGGCCTCGACATGGTCCGGGCCGGCCTCGCAGCAGACCGCGACCAGCGGACACCAGACTTCGTGACCGACCGTTTCCACGCCATGGGCCGCTACACGTTCCGCATCCGCATCCTGGGGACCTCAAACCTCATCACCGCCGACCCGCGGAACGTCCAGGCCGTGCTGGCGAGCCAGTTCGGCGACTTCGCCATGGGCCGCGCGAGGAAGACGAACCTGAAGATGATCCTGGGCCGCAGCATCTTTGCCGTGGACGGGGCGACGTGGCAGTCGGCGCGCGAGACGGTGAGGCCTGTCTTCGCGCGGGAAAACATTTCCAACCTGGAGATGCTGGAAGGCCATGTGCAGACTCTCTTGGCGTGTATTGAACAGCCGGGCATTGATGCTCAGGGCTGGACGAGGCCTGTTTGTCTGGCAGGGCTTTTTCCGTGTCTGACTATTGACAGTGCCACGGAACTCTTTCTCGGGCACAGCACGCACTCGCTGCAGTCGCGACTGAGTGGTGAACCGCCCATACACGAGTTCCATCGGGCTTTCGAACGGTTACAAGCCGTTCTGAGCATCCGTATGCGGCTGCGAAGTCTTTATTGGTTGTATGGAAACAAGGATTTGAGAGAATGCATGGGTATTCTCAATGCATTCATTGATGATTCTATCCGCGAGGCAGACTTGAATATGGACTCAAAAAGGTCGAAATACGACTTTTTGAACACACTCCGAGAGCGGTGCACGGATGTTGCAGAGGTGCGCGAGCAGGTCCTCGGCATGTTAGCAGCCGGGAGAGACACCACAGCGAGCTTGATGAGTTGGGTGTTCTACTGTCTCGTCCGCAATCCGCGTGTCTTCTACAAGCTCAGGAGCATCGTCATCGAGTATCTCGGCCCGTACGACGCCGATCCAGATGTTGCGACGCGTGATATCACGTTTCAGAAGCTGAAGGGATGTCGGTACCTGCAGCACGTCCTGAACGAGACACTACGGCTGCACAGTATCGTCGCCTTCAACAGCCGCATGGCGGTGAGCGACACAACCCTGCCTACCGGGGGAGGTTCAGATGGGACTCTTCCCGTCTTTGTCCCTGCGGGTACCGAGGTGAATTTCTCGACACATGTGATGCACCGGAGAAAGGATCTCTGGGGTCATGATGCCGATGAGTTTGTGCCGGAGCGGTGGGAGACGGCCAAGCCCGGGTGGGCGTACGCGCCGTTCAATGGGGGCCCTCGCATCTGCATTGGCCAGCAGTTTGCGTTGACGGAGGCGGGATACACGATCGTGAGGCTTCTGCAGCGGTATGATGCCATCGAAGGTTTGGATATTGATCCTGCGAGGGATCACCATCACTTCACTGTTGTGTGTGCTCCTGGAACACCAAATAGGGGAGCCGAGGCTGTGAGATGCCGCTTGAGGGTTGCGAGGCTGGAGAGCTGATGAAGGCTTACTCCGTGACGAGAAACTGGTAGTCTCCAGGCTGGGAATATGTCGAGTCCTGCCACGGCTCGAGCCTGCGCTCTACCAAACCTGGGTGTATACTGTCACGGCTGAAATGCAAAACCCCCGGATGGAAGAATTCAAGCCTACTCCAATCGCCGTCCATAATGAATGCTTTGAGACTCCCTCCCCTGGTCAACCTACCAGCCCGGCGAATATTCTTCCGAGTATAGCTATTCAGCATTTGTGTCCTGGGACCAGGCACATAATTGCAGACCTCAGTCCAGCAGCTTGTCCGGCGAGACTGCTGCAGGAATGGCAGTTCCATGCTGCTCAAATATATCGCGCTTTCTTCCACTTCTCTCGGCTTGAATTATCCCAAATTGAACTTCCTGGTACGTTGGTCTGACCACCGAGGGGAGACGCCAGGATCTTGGCGGAAATATCGGCATCCCCAGCAGACGACGACGACAACAGAGACAACAGCTACCCTTCCTGTTGACTCTCGCGATCTGACACATTTCGTAGCATGTGCCATCACCCACCATATTTTTGGCTCCTTATTTTATCGCCGTACTGGCTCATGGCCAAAAGCATGTAGGGTTCGGTAGATGATCAATATCCCAGCCTGAGCTTGCCCGCCGAGCTGTCACCTTCGACCGTATTCCTCTATCACCAGACTCGCGCGAGCCGACTTGTCCGTGAGCACAACCCTCAGGCAAAGTCATTCAACAAAGCTTTCTGCCGGCTAAATCCCTCTGTGCATGCGTCGCATTCAACGTGCCCAGCCTGCCAGCACGGCTTTGGGGGCATCATCCGGCTGTTCAACATCTTGCTTTGGTCTAGGACCATCGGCACCGAACAAATTTTTGGTACGTCGGGAGTGAGGTGGTCCATGGCGGCCGTCCCATCCGACAAAACCTACCCAAGCCGTATCCTTCCGGCGAATGCTCAATGAATCGGCCGATTCGGCCCAGCGGATCCCTGTGGAGGCGCGGGGGATGGTCGATAAGCGGAAGGTGGTGGGCCGGGGTTACGGTCGAGATGGGCGCGGTGGTTCAATGTTTGGATGCACAATTTATATCATTCGACCAGCGGCGAATTGTCACATTCCACATGCGGGACTCGTCGTGGAGACGCCTTGATTTATCAGCGGACAGGTATTATCTGTCAGCCAGTTCTTTATGTTGTTGCACGAGCCTTTGACGTGGAAATAAGGTCAGAAAGCAGGGCTGTCAGTGGGGCTTCCAAGATTTGGCAGCCAGCAGCGAGCGGCGTCCACCGCAGGCCAGGGAACAACATGCAATGCGCGTATTCGTGATTCTCGGTCGACAGATGAGATAGCGGGCCTTCTCGGTGACATTCCTAGAGAACACAATTATTATGGGTTATGGCTGGTCAAGCATTGGCAATTTTTCACCGGGTTTATTTTGCCAGCAAAACACAGACTGAAGTTGCAATTGTGGATGAGGGCTTGGGGTGAAGTACAATGAACCCCTTTGCAATTCGAAGAGATATTTCAGTGCAAGGAGTCTCCTTCACACCGAACACGCGACACTGTGACCTGCTGGCGAGAGTTGTTGTATGCGTTGAAGGACTGGCGCAGACCCTCCAATATCCGCGTATTCGGATTAAACTCTGGACTAGGCGTCGAATCAGGGGAACACTTAACATCAGACTGTCTATAGGGACGGGTGATGAGGGGAAACTGGGCTGAGCAACGCTTGGCAACCTCCTATTTCTGAACACGTAGGGCCGTTTGCTCGGCTGATGCTATGTTGTATCCACAAATACACAGCCACCAATCGGACCACAATACGTTTAACATTCACAGCTGCCTTCTTTGCATGCAACCCCCGGCAAATCATATACCCAGGCGAGTCAAACGTCATTTTGCACTCTATCAGTACCTATGCAAGGAACGGCACGAAGTAACGATGGCAGATCCCACCTCTATCAAGGATACGGCCCCGGTTTCTAGATCTGGACTGTTGCATGATCGACCGCCGACCGATGATGAATACCCGGGTATAAAGCGCATCGCCATGAACCTCGACCCCTTCACCTGACCGAGCTCTCTTGCTCACTATTCTCTTTAAGAGGCAATCACATCCTGTCTAATTCACTGACACCAGCTCGTACTTTCGTGTATCAATTCACAGAAAAGACATCAAAAAATCACCCACCATGCGTTTCTTCGCCGTCGCCACCCTCTTCTCCCTCGCGGCCGCACTCCCATCCCTCGCTCCCGCACAGCAGGACACATCCGTGGCCCGCCGCGGCGACGACCTCAGCCTCAACCTCGCCGCCCGCGATGACCTCTCCCAGAGACAGGCCGGCCTGATCCCGTTCGACCAGACCCTGCCCTGGCCCGAGACCAGCGTCACGGGCGGCGGCCAGGACGCCCAGTTCCAGGCCACGAACCTCGGCAACGGCAAATACGAATTCACCCTCTGGGCCTCTGCGCCCGAGAACGTGGGCAACCTGAAGTTCCGCATCTCGTACGGCGGCAAGACCCTCGCGGAGAAGGTCTTGCCCCATGCCGGCAAGGATACTGTCACCGTGACGAAGACGGGCGACAACTTCAACATGTGGATCGAGTTGGCTTGAAGAAAGTAGCTCTTGGGGTGTATGGGATGTTAACGGGCAGTTTTTTGTAAATAGTTGAGTGGAGCTTTTATGTCTCATGACAATTAAAATGGAAATTTGGTCCAGCCCGTCACTTGAGGCTTTCCGCCAGCAGTTTTTGGTACTATCCGCGGTTGAGCACCCTCGGACCTATCAAGAAGGAGTTAACTGTGCCTGAGTTGTTCGTGTACGCATTCGATGCTTCGACGGCCATTGTTACGCAATCTATGCCACAGTGCCACGCTCCCATTTTCTCACCTGCAATTTTGATGTGCACTACTTTGGACTGAAGATAGATCCAATGCTAACTCTCTTCATGCACATTAGAGGACTGTCACGGCACAAGAAAGCCTATTGTATTAAACACCCAAAAGAGGGACGTTGTAATGCCGAGAGCATTACCGTGGCTTGCACCTATATACGTACTGTAACAAGGACCGAGTCGTCTGTCAGGTAATTTTCTCCCATGCCATCTCGCCGAACTCCTTCCCATAAGCCTCTAGGCATAGTAGACCTTCGTGTTGTCCGCTAACTGTGAACCGCTTAAAGGGTGTAGCGTACCTAACATTTCCCGCCCTTAGTAGCCAAGACCGCTCACTGGTAGTGCGCATTGGTGATGTCTAAGCGTGCCTCGGCGTCAGCTTCGTATTCATCTGGCGCTGGCCCTCGTCAAAATTCTAGTTCCGTTCACATTCTTTTGTGAAATGCCACGTTGCCTCCCTACGAATCACTGCGACAGAAAGGTTCGTCGTTCGTCACCACCATGGCACCATGTGTCCACGCATCAACCGCCGATTCCTGCACGATATAGACCTCCAGGTAAACTGACGATTGCCCTCCATATAGTCCTCTCCCATGGTATGAATTAGAATGTTCTTACTGATTCGGACGTCGTAGCCCTACTGACATAGCACCCACCGTACCAGGACTTATACTCTGGACGTATACAATCGGACTGGCTGTGTCGAGTTCTCAAATTAACATGATTTCAATTAAATGGTTGACATACACGTGCGGTCACGTTTCTTATTCGTACTATGTACACACAATGATGATGCGAGGCTTGCCATGTACAGTACTAAGAGCATGAGGGGAGGCCCGTTGTCCATAGCCCCACATAGCGAAAAGTTCAAGCACTTAGTATCGAACACAAATATCGCAAGCTATCGTATCGTTTTAAACAAACAATCTCAGATAATACGGTGTCTGAGCATTCTATTACTAGTCACGAAAAGTCTGTCACGTATAGCTGCTAAACACCTAGGTCCTGGCACTAATGTGCTCATGCGGGTGCATGCTCCATGTGAACTTGAATACATCTCGGGGCCGGCACCGGGCCGTGAAGATCTACGTATTAACTAGGCGGCATACGTGACCATGATCAAGCGGCATTTCGACGCTATCTGTGTGGCTGGAGTGTATATCAAATGGCCTGATGACTTCAGTTGGATATTCGGCGTAAATGTTAGAATATATATAAGTCCTCTAATCTGCACACTGGCAGCGCTTTTTGATTCCAAGAGTAAAGTCACAGCGGAAGGTTTCTCTTTGCGTGTAGTGAGCTGACAGATATCTGAATAGTGATGGCAGCTGGGGCCGCGCATCCAATATGTCGTGATATTACAGTTACATATACGACAGTGATTCGAGGCAGCGAGAATGTTTCTGGCTAGACCACCGCGGCGACTTGAAGCACAAGAAAGACTTGGAAGAAGAATACATTGGCGCAGCTGTGGAGTCGCTCGGCAGGAAGATAAAACCTCACGACAAGTTATGGTATCCTGAATCTTGTGGGCTCATCACGTCGTTCCAGAAACCGGAATCCATGCTGGGGACCGCCTGCCTGAGGGAATGCGGGAGATTGGAGTGGCTGACTGCAATGTGCCGATGGGAGTGAAATGGCACGCCCCTGCATTCGTACCTCGAAACTATGGACCCAACTTCAACAACCTTACCGTGGACGACTTTGTGACAAACCCGGGGAAGATAAACTGGATGATGAACCCTATGCATAGGAATGTGCTAGGTGGGAATCCCGCTCTTCCTATCCTGGTGAGTCCCGCAAGATCTAATATCCAGTTTTGACATTGCTAATTTACTCTTGTTCAACATATTGCAGCATCCTCAAGCGAATATCTCTGATAAAAACCCTGAGCTTGTGTGGGAGGATCAGTTTAAACAAAGCGTTCCCGATGACTGCCTGACCGACTGGTATTATGATGAGAAGGACAAACTTGTCGAACCGGGAAGCGGGCTTCGATGCAGATTCTTACACCGTTGGAAAGGCCACGAGGTGGAAGGATGTCGCGACAACTAGAAGCCTATCAATCCTCGAGCTACCGACACTCCTAGTCGCGACTCTCCCACCCTATCACTTCAAGAAAGGCACGCACGCACCCTGGTCAACGATCAGAACTCGCGCGGCGTCAGCGGCACCGAGGAGCTCTGCGAAAACCCTCACTCAGTTGGGCCCAGCTATGCAAACCACCATGAGCGCGTGTTCTGCCGCATGACCGACAAGACGCTCTGGCCCTTCTGCGATAGCGTGGTCTCAAATAACTGTTTCGACGCCGAGGCCAAGGTCCTGGTGGAGAAGACCAGGCCCGTGGGGAAGCGGACGTTTTACTGGGATGCCATCGAGGATTGGCATTCTGGAGATCGATTCAAGAGGGCTGCTTGATCGGAGTTGATGTTGCCTACAGACTCGGGTGTAGTAATGGAGGCGGCCACTAGATTGTTGGAACGTAGTGGTGTTCTAGATTATTGTGGGGGCCATTACGTTTGTCACTTCTGTATCTATCGATAGGCAATGGAACTTTGCAACTACTTTCATCCCCGTCTGATATAAGTGGAAGCCTAAGGTCACTGCCTGAGTCAATGCGTAATACGGCGCTGCTCGAAAGCCATAGTAATAACTTGTTGTTGCGCGAAGAGAGGAAAACTGGAAGTCTACAAGTCGCAGGCGAAGCTGCGGCGTTTATGTGGTGGGCCGCTGTAGTGGGTACCGTGACAATGCGCTCTCTTCGTCAGCCAAACGTACACTCTCCTATCTCATTGTACCGCGGATGACAAAATTACGGACAGTGTGTGCTAAATAGACAGGACAACCGACGAGACATTCTTGTAATCGAAACACTCGGGTGTGGTCGCGGTGTATCAAAATTGCGAGATACTTGACTCAAAATATACATCCGTTAATTGAAACCACAGAAGGATGCAGTGACAAATTCCAAAATTGTGCATGTATTCTCTACAAACGAGTGTCTACATGCTATCCAAGTGTACCCTCACCTTTATCGCCCACATCCTTGACGCTGACTACTTACAACAGCAGTTCCTACGATCGTACCCACACTTGTCACAAGTGTAGCCACTTCTACCATTGCCGCTCCTTACTTGATCCATGATGTTCGTTGTGACTTTGTTTTCTCTGTTTTGAAAATTGTGAAGGGTGTGAGGTTTCGTATTCAAGTACTTCATGTAAAAGTAATTGTTGATGGGGAATGAGACAAAAACCTCTTGGAAAAGGGAGGTTTGGTTTAAATACTTTAGTTGGCTATGCGTCACCGTGGCAATGAAGTCTTGCCGTCCTGTGTGAGATGCCGTATGCGACTGGATCAGCCACGTTGCCGAATCGAAGTCACTGGCGCCTGGGCACATAGTGACTAACACCTGGTGATGGGCTTCAGTCTGATCCGGGCACATTAGTGACTAGGTGGGACTCGTTTTTTCTTAGCTCGTTTGCCCCAAGTCGCATTCCATCCGAGGTAAATAATCAGACGCTTGTAGATTAAATCTCGGCACTAGGAGTCGCACTCGTTAGAACTGATGAAAGAAGGTCAGCAAATTGTATTTCATGTATAGATAGACACGAATGGAGACTACGGACTCAGGGCTCCCTGACATGCTGTCAGCATATGCGTCACCGGTACACTGACAGGTTCAGTTCTGGATGGATGCGAGATAATCAAAAAGAGCTAGACCATCCACAAGAATCTCAAGTTCATCGGCATTGTCGAGAATCAAGAGCCATTCAAATTCGCCTGCGCTATCCCGGCTTAGGGCTTCCTTAACCAGAGCCTTAACATCGGTCTCGTCATGCTCAATCACGGGAACTCAAATCACAGGAAGTCAAAGGCAGCGCCCGATCTTACGGAAGGCATTCTCAATGGTGGTATTATTGACTAAGGAGACCCATTGGGGTAAGCACACGAACTCGGTAGGCAGCTTCTAGGGCGATCCGAGTCTTGCCAACTCCACCGAGGCCCGTGATGGCCATCCGGTGGTAGCCGTTTTGGTCTGCACTTTATCCTATCTTTTCAAGAATTTCACCCAAAATTTCTTCCCGTCCGATGAAGGACTTGTTCCGGGCATGAGGAACCACGTGATGGGACTGCTGGGTCGAGAAGGTCTGACGAGTTAGACGATGCCGGAGTCAGTTCTCGGCAGCACATCCGAGCAGGGCTTTCCGAGCTGTCATGAAGTCAAAGTTGTGATGAGAAGCAAGGATGATTGGAGCAGGCGAATGGAATGAAGTTCGGGGTGGTCCGATGGTGTTTCCTAGGAGCCTCTGTTTCCGGATTTTACCTCGGGGGCGCCGGTGCATCTGGAGAGGGCGGCGGCCCAGGGGGGTAGTTCTTGGTCTCGTTGCAGCCTGGACTATCCCAACCTTCCTTCTGAGCATCAGCTCGTGTCTTGAGGGCTCAACTTCTCGACAAGTCGGATGAAGTCTGGGACTCACTGATTCACAGAACTCGTAGAACGTCAAATTAGCAGTCTTTTGTGAGAGCAGGTCTGCTTTGCCCGTCAAAGGGGTCCCGAAGAATGCTGCCCACAACCCAAGGACAGCACAAACAAGGGTCAATGCAGTGACTGTCCTTCCAACAGCAGTAGCTCGCTTTGACCAGAGTCGCCTTATCAATGCAGGTTGACTTGCTGACAGATTCGAAGGGGCGGGGTTCTCTTGGGTGGCAATAGACGCTGAAGGATTTGGTTGCGCTGTGGTCACTGGGGTGCTGTTATTTGAGGGCAAGAGTGTCGAAGTCATGGCGTGCGCCCAGCGGCATCAGCTTGCTCTGTGTAGGGAAGTGTGACAACAATCTCTTGCTAGATTCCAGCATGGGGCCTCCGAGTTTTATGTTTCAAAAGTCGGGCGCCACAGATATTCTATCCTGGTCTTTCCCATTCGGCGCTCTTAGCGGTCGTGGCGGAGCATGAGGTTGGGGTCGACATCAATCTTTCTCAACTCTCTCCGCCAATTGTTTATTGCTTGGCATGCAGGTATAGGCTGCCACAGCCGCCTGATTACGCGTATTGTGTAGCGAAGAGTGACTCGAGCTTGCTTGCGAGGTGGTGCTCCATGAGGAGCCTTCTCTACATTGATTATTGCAACACGTTGCTGCCATGGGAATTGCTCAATTCTTTTTGATAAGATCCCCAGGATTGCAGCCCTGGAAACTTTACCTATTATGGGGACCATAATTATTGTACTTAGAGAACGCTCCACTGAGTGTGTATTCTCGCAACTTGGATCGTTCTTCACGATGCTTATCCTGGGTCCACTTCGCCAGAACTCCCCGGCTGGCAGTTGAATGTTAAGCACCGCAGGCTTTCCAAAAAACCAAGAAGCCAGGTCAAGTTAGTCTTCTCCCTGAAGCATAGCAGAGGACCATAGAAGACTAACTTTGGCGAAGCGGACCCAGCTTCTTGTAAGTCTTTAATACCGTTCACATACAACATCCGGCTCATCTCAGTCCATGCACGAATTTTGTCCACTTCGTCACATCTGCAGCCAAATGCGCCAGTTTCTTCAGCAATCCATCTGCTGTATTGAAATTTGACACAAAGCCATCAACCCCTGGATCTTTTGAGGCACGTCACACAGTCGAAGCTGGCTGACTCCCGATACAGCTGACCGTGGTGGCTTAATAGGCACGGCAATGTACAATGATCATCATCAGGAAGAGGCAATGGAGTGGACAACTGGGTATTTCGGATAATTATTTTCAGAGGTAACACATACGACAATCCTTCTTACCTTAGTAACAAAATCAAGCATACAATTCAGTTCAGGTGTAGTAAGGCGATGTAAAGTCAATCACTACACAAACGTTGCCAGACTAACAGGAAATCAGCTATCATAACATGCTCATGTGCGCCAGCACGCATCTCTGGACACCCTGGCATTGCCAAAAACAGAGTCGAGTGAATTGGCGTAGGGTGTACTGTAAAGCTCAAAGTTACGGATGACCAGCCTGTGCACCTCCGGACTTCCACCCAGACACGCCTCCCCTGCTGCCCAAAAAGTTCATGACCTCGAAACGAGTCTGTCACAAGGCCTCCGACGGATCCTTGCTCTCCAGCCGTTCCCATAAGAGGTGTTGCCGATTCCTCATGCTGGCCCCAATCATCTGGTATCAGAGAAGATTCCCGATCCAAACAGTAGGAATGACAACAGCCAGTTGGCACTCAATCCGTCCACCACTTGCTGCCTCCTAGCAATCATCCTCTAGCCACCACCACGTCAAGTGCTCACGAACCTTGACTTTCTTGATGGCTTCAAGGTCTTCGTCGCTGAGCTCCCGGCTTCCGGGCTCACTGCCGTCCGTGGCGTACCACTCGCTGTCGTAGTCATCATCGATGCTGCCAGACAGCACGGATGACGGATCAGCCTGCTCGTGTGGGATGGAGGCAGACTCGTCGCCTGTCTGAGTGTTGGGGTCATTGCCTGGGTCTGCGGCACCGACTTGGCTGGAGGATCCATCCTGGTCTGCGAAGATTCGTTCCGGTTGCCAATCCGGCCGGGCGTAGCGGTACTGGGTCATGGCTAACTCTTCAGAGGCAGAGGAGGCTTCCGGCTGTGGCGAGACAGGAGGGTGGTGGGTTGGGTTGGACACCTCCAAGGACAAGGGAAGTTGAGGTTGGCCCTGTGGATTGCCGGCCTGTGTGTCGACCGGAGGCTCTTGGGCTTGATCGAGCAGGTTCGACTGCTGCTGGACTTGGTTGGATCGCTGTGGCTGCTCTGGAGATTCCGTCGTGCCCAGCATCGTCGAAGACATGGCCTGTCGCAAGTTGGCTTCCTCTCGAAGTCTGAAGACCTTCCAAAGTAGGAGCACGATAACCTCCATGAACCTCATACGAAATTCGATCTCTTTGCCACAATCAGCACAGAAAAAGGGCGGACGACCACAATCGGGACAGACGACATAATAGATAGGGGTCTGAGGCCTGTTGTTCTCTTCCTCACTGTCCGAAGCCATCGTGACTGTTGTGGCAAGAGATGAGTGGATGGTTTAGTAAAAAGAAAAGGAAGAGAAATGAGAGGGGCAGATGTGGAAGGGGAGGGAAGATGGTCTTAAGTATTGCGAGGGAAGCAATACACAAGGCAAAGGGCAAGTTTCCCGTCACTTGTAAGACTTCATTGATCAGAGTCTGTAGTTCGGTCCAAACAACTGGGTGATCTAGGGGGTAGTGTCACTAGCACAGTGAAAGTTTAAAGACCTAAGGTGGCAGGATGTGAATGTACCATGTCATATGTACACACTTCTTTAGGTTCACCACTTTCTGTGTCAAGACTAGGGGTCAATGGGTATTCAAGCCCGTATGATCTGAGCTTCTTCTAATTTACCTGCCATAGATTTCCACATCTCGTATTGCTGGGATAGAGCCCGGGTCAACTTAGAAACGACGAGCTGAGCAGTGCCCTCACATCCACATCAGACAAAAAGTCAGTAGTCCCCTAAAAGTCATCGAAACACATCGAGGCATCAAAGACAGTGCCACTTCCCAGATCATCCATGCCGCCGCCGCTAGAGGTCACTTCGTAGGTACGGGCACCCTGCTGAAAGATAAGCTATGAGGCATTGAACGTCCTCGCTCAGCTGTGGGCGCCCGGAGCTGGACTCACCGTATCTCTGGTAGTGCCGACTTCCAATGAAGCATCCGGCTGTGTGACCCCGGGCGTTGTTGTCGGCTGCTCAGTGCATGAGCCGGCGGCTGACGGCGCAGGCGCAGGCAGTTCTTGCACGTACCGTCTCGCGATATGGGCGAATTCGCTGAGGTGGTTCCCTGGTAGAGATCCGGCGGAGACAAGTTCCAGCTGGCTGAAATGGCCCGAAGCGATGTCCAGGAGGGTGAGCCTCGACCGGGTATCGGTGTGGTGCGGGTTTTGGACGATGAAATCGAAGAGGATGAAGAGCGAGGACAACGGCATGATTCCAAGAATACTGTACAGTAAAACCAGAGTATGAGCAAACTTTCCGAGAAAAATTCAATATTGCTGCTACCTACAATATTGGTGTATTCGGCTCGACATCAATGAAGCGAGTGAGTTCGATGACTGTTTTGGCGGCTTGCATGAGCCTGGTATGGCATTCTTGCGGAAGGACCCCCTGATCACTGCCGAGTCGGAGGCTCAGGCGCTTTACTGCTATCACGAGATGGTAGTAGTAGTATTGTGTTGACAACGCAATGTGCTTTGTTCTTGGGTCCACCAGACGTGTGGAATTTAGTGGTTCCGGAGGTCGGAATTCGACAGGGACCAACATCCGCCACTTCTCTGGGGACGTCCGAACATTATGAAGGGCCATCAACTGCGAAGCGGCGGGGCATGTGGATGCGCTCACGGAGAAAAGAGTCTCGTAGGCAACAGATAGAATTCGAGCCAAGCGTATCGACGATAGAAACCAATTGTACTCGCCTGTGGAAGACGATGTGACCTGTGGAACCGGGCATCCAATATCATGATCACTTATAATCTGCCACGTCATATCAGTTCGTCACTCAAGGGCGCTGAGAAGAAGGATTAAAATCGCACCAAAGCTCGCCTGGCTTGGAAACTGTCGTGCTTCTCCAAGTGGTATAGGACCCAGAATGTCCGGCGGCATTCTTCTTGGTTCTCGTCAATGGTAGATGTGTGGTATCGCAGCCGAAGTGCCATTTGTATGGCCTCAGCAAGGATGGTACGGTCAACCAAAAGACAGCACGGGTTCAAAGCGAAAATCGACTGTTTTGATATATTGCATTTGCTTAGTATCAGGGGGGTCCTGATCTCCAAGTTGAGAGTTTCACACTTACCATCGCGGTCAATGCCTAGGGGCGCAACACGCGTCAGTCCGTGCGATGGTCAAAGACATGTCAGTGAAGAGTGCGGTCATGTGCAAACCTGGAGGGAGACCAAAGAGTCTCCAAGATGCTTGTTGTCGCTAACATGGCTCATCGCCACCAGGAACAAATCGCATGCCTTGCCTTTGCCCGGTTCCAAGGAGCCTCCTTCATGGTATTGGCAGCCGAGGGACAGAACTGCGTGGTAGAGGGCCAAGAATTGGGGGGACGTATTTGATGTCGAGGCTAGGCCGATATGCCGTACTTTCTGTTCGAATGATTTCCTGTCTAGGAACGGGAAAACGGGGTGGGTACCGTGGAAATTTTCTACCGCAGATCAGTCAGATTGCGATTGTTCAAGGTCTCATCTATAATATACCATTGATGTAAATAGCCGCCTCGTCTGGTGAGACTTGAACTGAACGTAGGCCAGATAGTAGCAGAGATTGGGAGATCTCCGTGTCGGTCTGTGTGAGCAAACCTGATCGTAAGGCGGTGTCGATGCCGACGATAAGGTCCCGCAGTCTGGAGTTCCCGATCTTCCGGGTGAGAAGCTCGACTTTACGCTCCGAGAAAAATGCCAGCCCGGAACTGGTAGCTGATTCTTGGTGTTAGCAGACCCTGTCAGGATGCACAGAAGGCAACGTGTGCATTGCTTACCACGCCGCCCATGTGCCTGGAGCCAGTCACTCGGTCAGTGTGAATCAGTGCAACAAGGAAATCATTGACAGACCTTGAGGATCGAGAACTCGTCATAGAGTACCGCTTCACTAGACGGGTCTTCTAAAAGACGATCCACTAATAGTCCATGGGCCAGTTGTTCGTGATTTTCAGCGCTCGCAGGACCGAGTCCAGATGAGGTTGGAGCCGCCAATGCTGTATGCAAGAAATCTGTCAACACGGGTCTATGTCTACAGGATCACACGCGCCCGCGGGAGACGAAAATAGACGCAGAGCTCACCAGTATCCGTGGGACGAAATCTCCGTTGAGTTATGCTGAAGCTGCAAGGCTCCTGTCGTTTCTGTTATTGGAGGTGAGGCATTTACTCGCTAATGCGTTATATGGCAAATACTGACTTGGCAGTGGGTGCAAACACGCGGATCCGGGGACCCGGTAGGGCTAGATGGCACTTTTCCTATGTGGTCAGCGAATGAAGCAATGTGCTCGGCCTATTCTTTGCCTCAAAATACCCAGGGAGACGATACCTTACATACAGATGCAGCGGACTTTCCGATGGCGGCACTGGTCGCACGACTTGTTGAGCTTCGTGAAGCGCACGGCCTGACGCCTCGGCGCGCCGAGGTCCGGATCCATCCACGCCGCCTGATGCTCGCAGTGGATGAAATGCGAGACAGTCTTCGGGCGGTCAAGGATACTGGGAGAGCAAGTGATCCCCGATTGCAGAAGTTCACTGTCCACGGAGCCCCCAATCGCCCATTCCGGCCGTATACTACATATCCTATCCTCCTACAATCTAGAATCTCGATAGAGCGATGCTTCTTGTTTCCTTGTTGCTCGAATATGCCACCAAGTTCCTCAGAGGCCCACTGGGAGCCAAACCCCGACATATCAACATCGAGGATGGAGAGGAGCCCGGAGTGGCGTACGAGCTCGTGGATGATGCCAGACGCGACCCGAGGCTGACGGTCACCGATCCCTCTGGTGTCAACACTATACCATCGACCTGCGAGACTATGCCTGGCGCGCGAGCGGGCACCAGATCTGCAACACCCCAAAGCGAAGGAGGAAAGGAAGGCGGCGGAGAAACTTCTGCTGAAAGCAGGAAACGACGCAACCACAAATACAAAGTCCTTTTCGGTCTTGCCTTCCCCTTTGCGCTCCAATCACCGGACACCACCATCATCGCTTCCGCACTTCCATTCATCGCAGCTGATTTCGGTACGTTATCCACCCGGCGCTCAACACGTACAACCCCCGCAAGGATTGGGTAGATATTGAACACATTAGCTAACTAGTTCATTTTCCGGCACAGGCCAAGTCCAGCAGCTGAACTGGATAGTCTCCGTCTTCAACCTAACAGCCGCCTCCTTCCTCCCGTTCTGGGCCTGTTGTTGGAGGACACCTTACGCAGGTCAACTGGCGGTGGTGCTTTGCTATTAACCTGCCAACCGCTGTTGTGGGGATGCTGCTGATTGTTATTATCCTTGGAAAAGACCTCGTCGGCCCACAGCCGATCCCGGGAGTCTCAGAGCTGGCATTGTCGACGAGGTCCCGACGGTTTTTGGTCAGGTTCTCGACGGTCAACTTTGGGGGTCAGGTCCTGTTCCTGAGCGGTCTGACTTTGATGTTACTGGCCTTAACCTGGGCTGGAGGCACGTCTACAGGTACCCTTGGGACTCGGCCCAGGTGCTGGCGCCACTCATTATTGGCGCTGTGCTGACCGCGATGTGGTTTGTGTACGGATATCTCATGTCTCCGCCACACTTGATGTCTCGCATCGTTCCGCTCCAGACAGCTATGATACCCTGGGAATTACTTTAGCAAAAGAACGTTACGTTGATTTTCTTTATCAACTTCGCGTCGGGAATGGCAATGTTTCCCGTCATGTACTTTATGGGTCTTTATTTTGCTCTCGTCCTGAAGGCCACACCAAGTGAGGCTGGTAAATACTTGCTGTACTACCTCCCTGGACTGGCTGGTAAGTTGCCCCAAACTGTTCCGCTATCTCAAAAACTGTTGGTGATATCCCAGGGGCTGACAAGACATCATACAGTTGGTGCCTACATCGCGCAGCATGCAACGAACACATGGCCAAGGGAGACATTCCCACCACTCTTCCTAGGCTCCACTACCTCGGCCGTCGGCATCACCGTGCTGGCATGGGCCACCCACGAGGGGACCACGAACACCATCCTGGGCATGATGGCGTTGACGGGCCACGGCGTCGGGATGCGGATGAGCCCGAGCGCCTTGCACGGGCTCGCTATGATCGAGGAAAGCTGCCTGACATCAGGTCCAAGTCTCGATGGTGACTTTAGCAACCAAGTTCGAGCAGACCACATGCAGTCTCGTGATAAAATGGCTCGCGGTTCTTGATAACGAGAGACGCGCTGATTTGTGTGCAATTGGCTGTTCCTTTATTCAAGCTCGAGCAAACCGTGTGTCCCCGGGGCTAGTATGTCCGAGTAGCCTTGGAAATAATTGTTGAGAAAGTGATGCCCAGTAATGCAGAAAGACGGTAGGAGCAACAGGCACAGGAGGGACGGTCGTGACTGCCAGCTGGTGGGGACCTTTGTCAGGCGTCAGGCCCCGGGCCGCCAGCTGGTCTCGGTACGTACCGACCAAGGGGCAGCCCCACATTGCAAGCGCTGGGCTGGAACCTGAACCCTGTGCGGACCCACCCTACCCTGGTGCACCTCCACCTCCACCTTTTCCTAGCTTTCGCTCCTCGTCAATCAAGTTGCAATCTGCTGTGGTAATCGCTGTGCGAGTTCCACCGGGATCTGACAACACAAGCTCATGGCCACACGATATGATCGACCTGTCACGATCCTCTTGGCCTGATGTGCTGCTGGGGCCGACACGTAGCATCATCCCCAAGACAAGGCCTCGAGACGGCCGGCTCGCCTGAGTCTCTGGGGCCCATACCGCTTTGGGACGCCCCAGGGCAGTGAGGAGCCCCCCTTGGTGTGACAGATGCTGTTTGAGCCTCATCCAAACCTCGTCTCAGAAGGCACCCCTTCCTGGACTTGCGTTTCTGCCCTGCTAATGATTTGCCGCTGTGCCCCATTTTGTGCCTGCGTCTCGCTCTCGTTTGTTTTCGAAATGGCGCCAATAAACAGCGACTTCCCTCTTTCATCCCTTTCCTTTCCTCACGACAATTGACTGACACGGCAACCTCGACGGTACTCGCCTCGTCCTCTCTACTTCTCTCCCTCCCTCTTGAAAAGCACTCGCTGGACGGTGAATAGGCAACTGGACTTGCCTAGCGACGCTCATTCACACCCTGCCAATCACCACCATGGCATCACACAAGTACGAGAATGTGCAGCTCGGAGGGGGGCATGAGCACGACCACGACGACTCCAGGTCCAGCACAGAGGTCGAGTCACTGATCGGCGACGAGAAGTCATGGCACGCACACCAGCACGAGCGCGAGAGGAAGTCAAAACGGTCACAGCTCTATAGCATCCTGAGGTCGTCACGGTGGATGCTGGACACCACGCTGCTGCTCATCATCGTCGCCCTGCTGGTGCGCAACGAGATGAAGGAGCCCATGCAGGACCAGTGGCAGCTTCTCGGCGACATGACGGGCGTCGGCCCACGGTTCCCGCAGAAGCTCGCCAGGTTCGAGTACGACACGTCCTACGCGCCCATGAACACGTCCGAGTTCTTCACCAACGAGACTTTGGACAAGTGGAACAACCTGATGCCAAGTATGTCGTCCTGTCTTCTGCCTCAGCGCCTTCGGAGCCCGATGTTCTCTTCTTCCCCTATCAACGTCATCCAATCGGATGCAACATAAAACCAGGCACTAACACCACCGCGCAGAGGGCATGGGCTTCCAATGGGTCAACGACACGCACAAGTACCACGACCTCCCCAAGCCCATCGACTGGTACGAGGGCATGACCGTCTTCACCACCTCCGTCACCCACCAGATCCACTGCCTGTTCGCCATGGCCCAGACCTACTCGGGCCTGTCGTCGGGCCACCCCATCCCGGACGACCACCACTGGCACATGATCCACTGCATCGCCTACATGCGCCAGGCCATCACCTGCGCCGCCGACACCGCCCTCGAGGGCCACGCAACCACCTTCCCCGACGACAACTCGGGCAGCGACGGCTGGGACGCCACACACGTCTGCAAGGACTACGACCAGGTCCTCGAGTACCTCGAGGGCGTCAGGGCTTATGATGACCAGCTGATCTACTGACGTTCCTTTGCTCGGTTGGACCCTCAACGGTCCGGGGGGGGGGGGGTTAAGGATGCAGTACGCCACTTTCCCGCCGGCGTTGATGGTTGGCAGTATATAAACTAATGACATATACGATTATACGAACCTTATGTTGCTGTCATTCATCGCTTCCCCGCATGTGCGCCATCTGGACCGGCAGTTGTGGAGCCATGCTTCGTGAGATTCAAGCTATGGGCAGGTAGCCTGGGTGGTCATCGTGTGTCCGGGTCACACTCATGCCAGAATAACAGTGGTAATATAACTCTAGGTGCATATAATAGTTGGATCACTAAAGAATATAGTACCTAAAAGTAACCTTATTGATAGAATTAAAGTACCTTCTCATAACTGCTTTTACACCCTATCTATTACAGTTCTCCTCGTTGCAAGATACGGTCTTTAAATATGGTCGAAAGTCATATTAGTATTCGCTATTATCAATCACCACGAGATAATTTGAAATATCACTTACGATCAGGACAGATGAATGGAAGTTCGTCGCGGGAAACCTCTCGTGGTGCTTGATGATTACAACCAAGAACTTTGCATTTGCCATGATGTAGGCAGCATTTGTTCCTGGGATCCCTTTCTTTGGCGCAAAACCCCTGCAAGGCATCGCGAGGACCCTGACAAGTATGCTCTTGACAGTAAAGCGACATAACTTTGATGTAACCTTCCATGGCATATACGGTGCGTCTCTGGCACCCTTGAGATCGGCAATGTCTTCCTCTCTGTCCTAAGCCGAGATCTAAATTGCTGGGTATTTCGGGATTGGAGTCTGGGTGCTCGGAGGCCTGATCATCATGCGGCTGCCCGGTCGTCTCTGTCGCCAGCTGGTGTGCGAGATCTTGAGGATCTTTTGGCTCGTCAAATTCTTGACCCCACTCTCCCGTCTGATTCCAGGATTCCTCTCCCGGTTGCCTCCGATTCATCTGAGATTGGGTGAGTTGCACGAAGTAGGCAAGCCTGTCTTCGAGGTTCTCTTGGTGGATAATGTTCAAGATCGTTTCTGGGTCCCCTGCGGCCGCGCGATGGATTCTCACGTATTCGTCTGCCGTGCTTGTCCCAACCTCAGTCGCGTGACTATCTGATTCATTGGCAACAGTTGACAATGTCGGTTGCGCAGGCATGTTCTCCTGTGGCATTTCTCTCGAGGGGCTATCAGCAATACCTACTCCTTCGAAGCCCATAGAGCCCGCAGAAGACGTGTTTGAAACCCGCGCTGAAGAGTCTGATTGGTTATCTTCGGCATCACCTTCCTCGGTAGTAATCCACTTCGCAACGGAGAAAATGGCGAACTTTTCCTGGTGGTCTGCAACATGCCTTTTAAATCTCGCTAGGGAAACAAACAAATTCCTGGGGTCGGTGGTCGCTGCTCGATGATGCCCTTCGGGACGTCTCCTATCGCGAAGGTAGCTGTCCCAGTCACAGAAAGGACATTCACTGGCTGCCAGCTGAGACGGAGTTATGCGTCCATATTGTAAGAGAGCTGATCGCTGCTCACTGGACCAAGTTGGATGTTTGGATGTCAAGTGGCCAGATAAATCATCCTCCGACCTGAAGTCGAGATTACACTGCCTGCACCGGAAGATGGAACGGTGAACTGTCAGTTCATGATCGAACCAGGTATTGCGGTCAACAAACATGGCTGAATCGCAGCCTTGATCGGCGAAGGTGCACACGTATGCTTTCAGATCTCGGTACACGTGGATCCTGTCCCGACGTCAGCGATCTTTCCCGATCGATATTTGTCCATTTCGAGGCTTTCATGGACGACTCGCGGTATGAGAAAAACCATAAAACCATACTTCCATGCCTTTTCCCTTTCAAATCGCTGCACCATACAGCATACTGGACATTCGAACGGCTCTTTGTCTGGGCTCAGGGCAGCAAGTGTCGGCATACGGAGACTGTCGTTGGAACTGAATGAGGTTGATGCCGTTCCCAAGGAGATGGTATCACAGTCCTCCTCAGCCGCCAACGCGCTGATGTCTGCAAGTGGTTTAGGTGGGGCAAAAGTAGATGCTTTGCTGGACAGCGCTGTGGAATCCGGTTCATCCTCGTAAACATCGTCTTCAGCCCCGAGCATGCTTTTGTGATATCCATTGTATATCATAACTTTTCTCCTTTTCACATTTGCTGTTACCAGCCGAGACGCAAGCCATGATGCGGACTCAGTATTGAGCTTTGGGTACTTTTGTTCCACGTGGTCTCTGTCCGCGCCTGCGTAGACAGTGTCTCGCGACCGTAAAAGCGCTCGCTGGAATCGGTCGCGTGTGGTTAGCTTCCTTACCGCGATACCAATGTCAAACAGACCTCGAAGGCATTGTAATACTGTGGCCAAGGAGAGCTTGATGTCGTCCAATTTCAAAGAATCCAGCCCATCCTCGGCGATGGACTCGCCCTCGGCGCTACCTTCATCTCCAAATTCCAGGAATGCTTCTGATACTGCATCCTGATTAGTGTGACCTGAATACCCGTACGAAGGCCTTTTTATACATACAGTCCAGAACTGCTGCTCTGAAGTCGCCCAATTGCTCTTGGATCAAAAGACGGAGCTCTGGACTTTCGGACAATCTCATCTCAAGAGAGAACTGGCTGCGCGGCGATCGCATCGCACCCAAGTCTCCGGTCCAAAGAGTAAATCTATCCAAAAGATCGTGAATAGTCGAGTTTCCCCAAGATCCTTCTTCGTTCGGCAACTGGCGCTCCAAATCGCGCAGCCTGTCTTTGATGTCCCGGCAACGGTCCCTGATATCAGGCGTTTCGTGTGCTGTTGACATTGTAGAAGTCCTTACAAGCGATGGCTGATGAATCTGAAATCTTCGGAATTCATGAACCACCATCGAATCGAAAGGTTGCTAATTCCGTGGATGAAGACCAGCAGAGGAGGCGGGGTTGAGGCGATGGGGACCCTGTACATTCCCAGCCGCAGTCAGCAGTCACCGACTCACCGGTCGACGTATGTGTGGTCGTACAAACATGACGACTGCGTTCTTTTCTGTATCACCTAAATTCTGCATTCGGTTAGTGCTCACCCTACTTCATTTTGAGGCTGTCGACTTCTTTTCAAACCCCGCAGAAAGGAAATCCCTCTTTACCTGTCCTTTGATCTTCATGCAACGCAGCGTTTCAGACGACACATATGCCCACTAGAGCATATCATGTCAGGCTTTGAGATTGCAGGTATTGTTTTGGGCGCCTTCCCCATCGCTCTGGAATTGCTGGCCAAATATCGGCAGGTGGCGCAATGCGTGGACCTATGGCGTCACATTGGCGAACATCATAATCATTGCAAAACCAAACTCGCAGTCCAGAACCTCCAGTATGGTCACCATCTGAAGAAGCTACTGCTTCCCATGGAAAGTATGGATGAACAAGTCATCAAGCAGCTGATGGAGAATCCCACTGGAGACTGTTGGAAAGAAGGGACGATCGCCGATCAGCTGGAGAAACGCCTTGGGGACTCCTATAGTCCTTATATAAGTCTCATGGAAATGTTCCAGAAGAGCCTCTCCAAGATTACTGAGCAGTTGGCTCTAGATATAGGCGAGCTAGGTCAATGGATTGATGCCAGCGTATGCTTTAATCGGTATCCCCGAAACCATTATGGATGTGGACAGTAAAAGGTTGACGTTGCGATTTAGGAACAAAAGACCCCGTCCACGGGAAAGTCTCGTATACAAGCTCGCATACAAGCAGGGTTACGATGGCGGATTTTCAAGATCAGATTCAGCCTGGGAGAAGAAGCTCGCAACTCGAGCCTATTGGAGTTGGAATCGTGCAATGAGGGACTCGCGAAGCTGCTCACAATAAGTGAGGAAGGCGAGCAGCTCACCCAACACAGGTTCTCTGCAAGGAATTCCTCTGCTCACGCAGCCGCATGCCGGTTATGGCTACAAGCGAGGGACTTGTTCCAGGCTCTCTCCAGAGTGTGGGATTGCGACTGCCAGGCGCAGCACTCGACAAAGCTCTTGTTGAAGCATTCAACTGGCAAGGAGCATGATTTCAATATGCTATTTGAGAAAGTGAAGCGATCACAATATGACGTGAAAGAACTTCGAATCGTTACTAGAGCAACACAACCGGATAGTTTCAGCAGTCCTCGAGACAGCGTACCCATTCATGAGCCGGGTCACCGTATCTCCGTCCCTAGAGCATCCGCTCTTCGAAAGACAAATACGAGTGAAAAGGCTGGACCTTCAAAGTCGGTTTTGGACAACCTGAATTATACATACCCTCACTTACTAGCGTCTAGATCACCATCATGGCAGCAAACGCTAAGGTCATTGCCAACCTTGATCCCAGAAACTTCTCCGGGGCGCATTACCAATCTCTGCCAATTTGCGTACGGTCCGGGCGGCGACTCTTGCGGCTACCTACCAGAGGGGGAATACCTCTGCCATCTATACCAAAGAACGAAGGTGCCCTCCAACACGCCAAAGTTCATTACCTTGGATCAGATACTGCGCGGGACAGTCATACAGTTGCCGAGGCCGGAGCAGCGGGTTGCTTTGTCCTTCATTCTCTCGTCGTCGTTCCTTCAGCTAATTGAGTCCCCATGGCTCTCCTCTTCCTGGACAAAATCCGATGTAATCTTTTTTCAAGACCCTTTTCAACCAGGAACATTCCGACTTGATCGGCCATATATGACACTACATCTAGCGCCACCAGGGTGCGTAAACCAGTCCGAGGTAGATCCCAGCGAAGAGGTTCCAATGCTCCTGGAGATGCTTGGGGTTGTGCTCGCAGAGCTAGGCTTCGGAGCGCTCTTGGAGAATCAAGATTGCAGACGTCAGTTTGGACCCATTCTCGACAGGGCTTCGATGAGAGCCTTTGACCTCGTAGCTGCGAGGAAGTGGGGAAGTAATTTGAAAACAGAAGTAGGTGGGAGCTATGCAGACGCAGTGTATTGGTGTTTGGGGGGCTCTGTCTATACATCACATGGGAGTTGGAGACAGGAGATGCTTCAAAGTGTTGTAAGTGTTGTGGAGCAATGCTGCAGTTCGTTTCGGCAGGACTAATCATTGGAGTGAGATACTCCTGCACGCGGTACACGCAAATGCTTTTCTCGAAAATGACTATCGGCCGAGAAATTGTCCCTTTTAATGATATAGCCTCTCTACCCGAGAAAGAAAGGGCAGCTCAAGTCTGAGCCAGCACACATTCGCACAGGAGAGGATTTGGAGCCGGACGAGCTGACCTCTATCAGCCATGCATATCCTCACTTTCCGTAAGACGTGTTCATTAGGGCTCCCACCATTACAGGCGCGTCGACACAAGGGATATGTCCCTTGTAGCATCAGGGGTGACTGGAGGTCTCTTCTCGAATACTGATGGCTAGATGTTGAGTTGGTGGCGGCCAGCGAATACCTGGTATTGTATATTTTTGGGTTTTGATAGACGCACAACTTAGAAGCCTATCTTTTTGTTGCAGGACCAGACACCTTCTCTTTGGCCTGCAGGCGCACTGCATCCTTAGAAAAGCTGGCTTCAGTTTGTTCCCTAGTTGCTAACCGCTAGAATTTTCACACTGGCCAGGTAATGAAACGTGTAAAGGAGTCTTGAGCAATTTGATCATATGGCCTGTCTCCTGTGAATAGCCTCAATCAAAAGTTGGCCGGGTCCTAGACCTCGGGATTCATTCAGGACCAGCTGACGCCAGCTGGTCGGGACACCGGGCACCAGCGGCGCAGCTTGCGTTTCTGGAATCTTCGCCCGGGGGTTCGCCAATCACCGAGGCAGCTTATTAATAGGTGGGAGCTGCACTGAGGGTTTGGGCTAAAGAGCTCAATTACCTGCACCTCAGTTGCTTGCTTGAGTGGGTCGCAGCTCAGCTTAACAGGGTCATTAGCCCAAGTCCCTCCATAACTGACGTCCATACAACCTGTCCGCATTGCCAATACCGGCCATCCCACTCGAGTCCCAAGACCTGCAACGCAGAACAAACGGTGCCCCAAGATGAGCACAGATCTAACGTCGGCGACGGCCTTCTCGCCATCCCTCGAGGCGATCCGGCTAGCGGCCCAGATGTACAACGCGGCCCGCGAGGGAAACAAGCAGGTGCTCGAGGAGGCCATCGCAACGGGTCTGCCGGCGAACCTCACAAACGAGAAGGGCGACACACTGGTGAGTGGACGCAGCTGACGGGCCGCCCCCCTTGAGTGACCGACTCCCGAGTCAGGCAGTCAGCCCCGCACCCGAGGGCGGTCAGCAGCGCTTTGGTTGGGTGCATTTAGCGGAAAGCTGACAGGGCAAGGGGTAACTAGCTCATGCTGGCGGCATACTACGGCCACGCGGACGTGGTCAAGTTCCTCATCCAGAACGGGGCCGACCCCAACAGGCTGAACGACAAGCGCCAGAGCCCAATAGCCGGTGCTGTGTTCAAGAGGCTGGATGATGTCGTAGAGGTAAGAAATTCAAGATCCGGTCTCAATCCACTCGGTACTGTTTTAATGCGATCGCGATGATGACATCGTGGCTGAGCTTCGGCCTAAAATTCCGCGCTGACCTCGTGACCAGGTCCTCCTCGAGGGCGGCGCCGATCCCGACTACGGCACGCCGTCGGCGCTCCAGTGCACCGTCATGTTCAAGCAGGAGGACAAGTGGAGGACAAAGTTCGAGTCCGCTCCGGGCCGGGGCAAGGCCAAGCCCGCTGAGGCCGAGGCCGAGGCGGAGAGGGCGCCTGAGAGGATGAGGTAGAGGCTATCAAAACGGTTCGTCAAGGATTAAGGATTTTGTTTCAGCATTAATAGCATTAATGACATTGAATTTCTCGCGAAACACTAAAAGAGAGCTCTGATGAAGATGACCGAGGATGGGGATTGGGTCCGTCGGAGGGCAAAGTTGCATTCCACGTTGTGTGCTTTCTACAGTACTTACCATGCTCAGTACAAGCGTCTAAACATGCACAGCCAGGAAAACACTGGGCTGAATCACAATAAAACAGATCGCGCGCACCAGGCCAGACTTCATTCTGAATTTACAATAATTGCTCAAGTGCTGCCCTCCGGCTTTGTCCGGTTATATTGTGATAATACCATTCAGTTGTCCAGATCTAATCACCCGCAAACACTCGACAGCGACTAACAAAGCAGGCGAATGGGTCATCTGGGGAGAGAGTATATGGCAGCTCACATGTTCCTGGTGGCCATCATCTAGTTGAAACTGAATAAATTATTTAATACATATGTGGCTGAGTGTTTAGATCTTTGTCGTCTTCTACACCCCACCACATGTAAGATCTATGATACAACCGACAATCCATTTTGACGATGATGATCATGCCACGAGCACATGATTATGACAAAGAAAACATATGAAGAAGAGAAGCATGAGAAGAAAAGTACAAAACGTATCCTCGGGACGTGTACTGACGAAGGAAAACAGACTTTATAGAAGCGCTGCCAGCGCGAAAACAAAGAAGGCGACTCGCATACCACCACTACCCACGAGACCAGGCACGCCAGCAGTGACGACCGGAGGGCGAGACGAGGTCGAGCTCGTGACAGGGGTATTCTTGGCAGGCAACATCGGCTTTGAGGTCAGGCCGGACCTGCTTGGCTCAGTAGACTGCCAAGCGGTGGCACCATACGGCGCGTCTGTAGGTGCGGCGTGCGGGTGTGCCCCAGACCCAGGAGGCGGCGGCTGAGCGACCCCGGCGTGGGGGTCGGCGTCGGCGGTTGACGAGGGTGCTGGGGCCGAGTCTGCGTTGTTGCCGGCCCCCAGGGCGCTGGTGACTTGTACCACTGTCAGGATCTGGGCGGAGACGCCGTTCATGATGGTTTGGATGGTTGTCGGGACTGTGACCACTGTGAAGGTGGTGGAGGGCACGTCTGATTTTCCGTGATTCCCGTTTGAACCGCCTGGCTGAGTGGAGGTTCCCTCTTTCTTGGTGTCACTGCCGCCTTGATTCCTCTGCTGAGAAGTTGACACACTGCCTGTGACGGGTGACACGGTTGTGCTGACGGGGATCCGGGTGGTGATGGGCAGGTTGCTCACAGGGCAGTTGGTAGCTCCAGGCGGGCACCTTGTCAGGGTATACGTAGACGTCGAGTCTGTATTTCATTAGTGGGTTGAATATCACAGGGTAGCAGGTTCTTGCGCTTACAGATCGTGGTAGTTGTCCACTGGGTAGTTGTTCGCTTAGAAGAAGGGGTTGGACGAGGAGTCCCGGTCATTGGGCAGATAGTAGTGGATATGGCGATGGTTGATGTGGCCAGTACCGTGCTAGCAGCTGGGCAGTTTGATTTATCTGGAGCACAAGACGTTATAGTATAGATCGACTTAGTATCTGCGGGTAAGGTTAGCTCCAGATCTGGCCTACTCTACGAATTGTGAGGACATACAGATAGTCGACGTTGTGAAAGAAGTGGTGGAAGCCTTTGCAGGCGCAACACTAGTATTGGTTGATCCAGGTGCAGTCGCAGTAGACTGTTTGTTGGGCGTGACAGTCTGAGTATTCGCAGTGAATGTCCCCGAAGTAATCCCCGAGGACGACGGGTGAACCGACTCCGAGATGGAGGTGTGAGGTGGTGACGACGACGTGGTGGGCTCTATACTTGTGCTTGTCGTGGTAACGTGCGTAGAGCTAGAGACAGAGTTATGAGTGCTGGTGGATGATGTACTGCCGTGGCTTGACGTTGGTGATGACGAAACTGTTGGGGTCACCTCATGGCTTGAGGTTGTGGAGGATGTCAAGTGTGTTGAACCCGAAGAGCCCGAAGGCGAATGGCTGCTGGAGCATCGTGTAGACGTAGTAGGCGGGTACCGACTAGAAGATGGCGTAGACTGTAGCCGGCTGGTTGAGCGCGTCGAGCTTACAGAACTCGAAGACTGGTGACTTGCACCCTGCGACGACGTGGTGATGACAGACGTGCTTGAAGGTGTGCTACTGACATGGGTGCTCGTTGACAAGGTCGGGGGAACAGAGGTCTCGATACAGGAGCAAGCGGCCGAGACTCTGCTGACACGGTCCTCGTCCTTATTTCCGCCACAGTCCTTGAGGTACTTGGGTATTTCTTTGGGGTCGGTGATGGTTTCGCCCAGCCACTTGGCACAGTCTGTTACGGCGGCCTTGCGGTTCTTGCTTTCCATCATCTCGTTATAATACTCATCCCCCGGACAGCCAGGGCCATAGTCCTTGTCCTTGGTGGAGACTGCGACGCTGGCAAGGGCTGCGAGGCTCAGAAACAGTATTGTAGGATGCATAGTAATGAACGGTTGTAATTGTATTACAGTATCTTGTGGCAAAGATGTTTATATGACAGCTGAATGTGATCCTGTCGATAGGGAGATGGTTGATATCGAGCAGCAACCCCTGTGAGCTCTCTTTATATCCAGCTGAGAGTATCAAGATTTGGAGCAAGTCTTTGACTATGAGTAGAGGGTGGATCGACGGGCACGGCACATTGGAATGACATACTTTGCCAGAGACTTGAGAGCGTTGAAGGTCATTGCGGCTGATTCCAGCAGCTCGGCCCGAACATATTAATACCCACAAGTTCGACATCCCGCGACCATCAAGGAGCGAGAGCGGACAAGAACCCCACGCGGAGCCGCCTGGCAGTCATCATAGACGGCTGAGAGAGGTTGTTGCCGTGTCTTGGCTGTACCGTTCCGTGAAGTGCAATTTGATTCTATGTATAGGTGCCGGGTGGTGCCGGCCCGCTCAAAGGAGCAACAATGACAATGAAGAACTAATGAAATCCGTGACGACGAGGTGGTTGTCTCCGGGGATATCAGGACACGGAGGGAGGAGAGCCCGCCCGGCTCATGAATAATGTTTGCTGTCGTGCCCGAGCAGTATGATTATGAAATAGCCTGCCCTTCATTTGAGAGGCCAGATCATTCGGCGGAAGAGCCTAGGGCGTGTTGAATCTAGAATTCTCATTATGCTAATTATACAGAAAGATCATTGTGCGGGCGGCTGTCGTACCAGAACAAAGAGGCACGTGCCGTCCCAAGTCAATGGTATGCGGACAGTTGCGTTAATTGATGTCCATAACTAGATCTGCCGCGGCTGCGTAGCATGAGCTGGTGCTATCCGAATATTGTGGAAGGACATCGGATCTCTTTGTTTATACGGCCTATTTGTTGGAACCGCGCCATTCAACCATGTGGCCCTGATTGTGCAACGGTCCAGCCACGGTCAAGAATAAAATTAGAAGTCTGTAAAACAGCCTTGGATCGTCTAAATTTGGTCGTTGTAGGCTTCCCATTGCGGCACGCAATTAATGGTGTCCGCTACCGTACCCCGCCTAGGCAGGCTCATGATGTCAATTCTCGACGATGCATCGAGAGTTGACGAGACCGAGATCGGCTACTCTACATACAGGCTGTAAGCAAAACAGTCGAAATGTTTGCTGATTTTTTGTTGATTGGATCGTTCAGGTTATGATTTGGCGCATCATGTTCCATTTGACCGCAATCACATGTTCTCCTCAGCTGAGGGGTTCAGGCCGAGAGCGACCTTGGTCTGACAGACGCGTCACGACCTCGGGACACAGGAACTACAAGTAACAGACAACTTTGGCTCATCATCATCAGGAGCGCGGTCGGATTGAGACAATTGCATAAACGATTGCCATACTGAGCACCAGCCCACAGCCATGGCTTCCACCCCGCCGCCCACCGCTCTCTACGAGCCGTCAGCCGAGGGCATCACCGTCATAACCATCAACCGGCCCAAATCCCGCAACGCAGTCAACGCAGCCACGGCACGCCTCCTCGCGGAGGCGTTCCAGAAGTTCGAAAACGACAAGACGCAAAAGGTATGCGTCTTCACCGGCGCAGGGGGCGAGGCCTTCTGCGCGGGGTACGACCTCCACGAAGTCGCCGGCTCGTCCTCCTCACCAGACTCCAACATCGGCCCCAATGCCTTCTCCCGCGTCAAGCGGGTGACGACGACAAACCCAGAGGATCCGCTGGACGACGTCCTCGGCCCCATGGGACCCTCGCGGATGCTCACCTCCAAGCCGGTGATAGCCGCGATATCAGGCCACGCCGTGGCTGGCGGGCTCGAGCTGTCGCTGCTGGCCGACGTGCGCGTGTGCGACACGACTGCCGTGCTGGGGGTGTTTTGCCGGCGGTTCGGGGTTCCGCTCATCGATGGCGGGACCGTCCGGCTGCCCAAGATTGTTGGGCTCGGCCGGGCGCTGGACATGATTCTGACCGGACGGCCGGTTGATGCGCAGGAGGCCTTGGGAATGGGGCTCGCGAACCGCGTTGTCGAGAAGGGCAAGGCGGTGGAGGAGGCGATGGCTCTGGCGAGGAGCTTGTTGACATTCCCACAGGAGTGCATGAACCTTGATAGGCAGTCGGCGTACTACAGCACGTTTGAGGCGTCGAGTTTGAAGGACGCATTGAGGTTTGAGCATGACGCTGGCGTTGAGGTTGTGGCCAAGGAGAGTGTCCAAGGGGCAGCCAGATTCCACAAGGGTCAGGGCCGAGGTGGAGCGTTCGAACCGGTCAAGGGAAAATTGTAGTTAATGGGTCTTTCAGGCGTTTGTGTCTTGTGTTAAAAGCAGATTGTCAATGTACGAATCATACTGGATAATTCTATGAGCTGGTTGTTGAACGCCATGTCTATTTATCTTCCTCAAGCAACAAGACGTATGATCATGGCCAGCCAGGACTGGAGGCGCTCCCTCAAGTGTAATAGAATGGGGAATAAACCTTCACGGCCGAACGAAGTTCGGGCGCTTCTAAAGTGTTTCTAGTTCTCTCCTGACCAGGCGAGACTCATCTGAACTTCTTACTAGCCTCCTCAAAGCCCATGCCCTTCTGCAGCTCCGCCATCACCTTGTCATCCGCATCAACCATCTTCTGCACGATTGGAATGACCTGCTCAGCCAGCTCCTTCGGGCACACCACAACCCCGTTCAGGTCCCCAATAATATAGTCCCCAGGCCTGATCTCCATGTCCTGCTCGTCCGTCGCCAGCTTAACCGGCACGTTCACCCCGACGACCTTGAGAAGCTCCTGCGGCGGCGCGGTGCCCACGTCCCGCCCGAACACAGGCCAGCCCTGCTCCCGCTGCTCGTGCAGGTCGCGGAACCGCCCGTCGATGACGCTGCCCACCGCCCCGAGCGCCTTGGCCCGCGCGCTCATCAGCCCGCCGTAGACGGCGTTGGGCGTCTTGGCCGGTGCCGAGACGAATACTACCGCCCCCGCCGGGACCGAGTCGATGTAGTGCGTCGGGTGCTTGGGCGCTGGGTCCGACAGCGGCGCGTACTTGACCGTGTATGCTGGGCCGGCGATCCTGGTGTCGCCCGCCTGGCGTTCTGGTGACCAGAGAGTGAGTCCCGAGAGGAAGCCGCCGTTTCGGTATTTTAGCTTGATGAGGGCGCCTGAGATGTCGCAGGTCGGGAACTGTCTGAGCTGCTCTGCGATGGGGTCTGAGGCCATCTTGGCTGTGAGGGAGAAGGCGCGGGCTGGAATGGGAGTAGCGATGCGGAGACGTGTGAACACTGCTGGCCTTGCGTTATTTTGTAGACGTCTGGACACCTTGTGGAAGGGAAGCGACATGCTCTCGTGTGAGTGAATGATGTCCCTCGATGTCAGTTACACCTCGTTCAAGTAAAGATCCGTATCCATCTTCTGAGGGCCATTGAAGTCAATCAAGCTCTACCGAACAAAGCCGGTGGTCGCTATAGGGTGTATGCCGCAGATCCGCCCACATTACGTCGGGGCAACGGGGTTGAGCCGGGATTGGTTGAAGTCATAGTGTCGCACTTTCGTGGACAAACACACCAATTCCATTTGCAAGTGCATCCCGAGCCCCGTCGATGCTTTCCGTCACCACCAGACCAGCTCTTAAAAAACGTCCCGGCGCCGTGGATCCGAGCGGATATATCCGAGATCAACCCGGCCCATCGTAGGCTACCAGGCGGCTTCAACTCGAGATTGTCAGAGAATGTGGGATGATTGATATGACGACATGCTATCACCTTCGCGCTCCTGCAATAGTGGCTTGAGGGAAAGTACGAACGATGAGTTTGGAGTCAGCATCTCGGTCAGTGTACGTAGTCGTAGTGCTCAAGACATCATAGGGCACGACCTGTCTGATACAGGCGAGCATTGAGTGTTAGAACCTCTACAGCGGCAACCGATATGCTAAGCCCTCTAGCGTATGTTTGATCTGACTACGCAGCTTACTTCTCGGCTTTTGATATGCCGAGACACGGTCTGAGTCACAATCGTGATGTTGTACAAAACACCCAACAAGTCCTACGTAGTTGGGCCTGCAATGAAGTCCATTTAATCGCCTCCAGGGATCATATTATCATCACTCTTCATATTCATTACCATCTCAACCATCAGAAAACTGTCAATTTGTGCAAGGTGGTTGCAACATGGCTGACGTCGAAGGCGCCCTTCCCCTCGCGGCCCGCCGAGAGCTTCGAACCTCTATTGCAGAGACTAGGGATCCGCTGGTAGAAGCGCTACCAAAAGTCGAGCTTCACCTCCACATTGAGGGCACACTGACCCCGGCTCTCAAATGGAGATTTGCCCAACGAAACGGCATGACGCTCAAGCACCCGCGCACCGGAGCTGCCTTCTCTACGCTCGAAGAACTGCAGGACTCTCATGATATTTTTAAGACTCTCAGTGGGGATCGCATGAACAATGCGGAGGAGACACTATCCTTCTTCGAGGCTTATTATGGCGGCTTCGAGGTGCTGAAGACCACACACGACTACCATGACCTCGCGATGCACTATTTCGAGCATGCTGCGAGCATGAATGTGCGGTATTGCGAGCTGTTCTTCGATCCTCAAGGTCACACTCGCACCGGAGTGACGTGGCAAACAATGATGGATGGCTTCCGTTCCGCCCAAGAAAAGGCAGAGAAGGATCTGAAAGTGTGTTGAAAGCGAGTTCAGCAGCGCATTCAAAACCACTTACTAAAATTTTCACCGCAGATCAAAAGTGCCTGGATCATGTGTTTCCTTCGAGACGAGCCAGTGCAGTCAGCCATGGACCACTACCTCGCAGCACTCGAATACCGCGACATGATAGTCGGTGTCGGCCTTGACTCGAACGAAGACCAGCGGCCTCCGATGCTCTTCGAAGAGATCTTCGACAGAGCAAGAAAGGACGGCTTCCGATTGACGGCGCATTGTGACGTTGGCAAAGCATATCCAGTTGAGAATGTTCGCCAGGTGGTTTGCTCCATTGGGAAAACCGGTGCCGACCGTATCGACCACGGCCTGAACGTCGTTGAGAGCGCTGAGCTCATGGAATCGATCAAATCGAGGGAAATGTGCATGACGATATGCCCCTGGTCTTACATTCGCCATCAGCCATTGGACGAAGTGTTTCAGCGAATCCGCAAGCTCTTCGATGCCGGTATCCCAATCACAATTGCCAGCGATGACCCGGCGTTCATGGAGGATACCTGGATTTTGGAGAATCTGCTCGTCGTGAGGAAGTTCTGCAACTTCACCGACGAGGACATGATCAGGCTCGCGGAGAACGCTATCCGCACCTGCTGGGCCCCTGACGCGGTCAAGGGAGACATTACAGCCGTGTTGAAAGTCGTAAAGGAGAAGTACCTAGGAACATAGATACATATTAGCTGACAGCCTGGTGGTCACCACCTGTTCCGTGGAATTCATCCTCAGTATAGCCCAGCGAGTGCGGAGGATGACTGCGAAATCCGACCGAGTAGCTTGTGGTATAAACAGACTTGAGATTTAAATTGCTACCTAAATATGTAGTAGCAGCCCAATCGTAAATTAACTAACAGACACAGATCAATAGATCATTTTCCTTTTGTTTTCTTTTTTTTTAAAAAAAAAAAACGAAAAAAGGACATTCAATTAGTTCACACAAAACCAACGGTACCTCTTGTCAGCGGTCGGGATGTCAATGACAGCTGCCAAACGTTCCCAACCCGGAGGCGATTTCGGGCCTCATCTCACCGGCAGACAAAGCAGGCCACCACCCCCGGCATAAAGCCATAAATAAATCTGTCGCTCGAGGCAAAGGGCCCCAGTGACCTGGCCTCCACATCAACCCCTCGCACATCCAGCGCTCACAGAGCGGGTCAGTCGCACCCCGTGCCATGGCCCCCGTGTACTGGCCCGTCCGCTCGGCGAGGCTGTCTGTCTGGCCGAGATGGTAACCGACCCGATTTGCCAGCAGTCTGTTTGGCGGAGAAGATCGCGGCGCCGGCTTAGGACTCGGCCGCGGGAGCATCGGTGGGTTGAGGCTACTGGGGTGGCGGACCTGACGCGCACCTGACCTGGCGGACTGGCTGGGCCTCCTGGACTTTGCCGCCTTCTCCGGACACGGTGGCGAAGGCTTCGAGGTTGTTGTCGAAGAGCGTGCAGTGGTACTTTGGGATGCATTCCCCGAGGCACTGAATCAATACGGAGCCGACGGGATAGCCGAAGTGGCCTTGGACGGGGACGGCGTCCCCATCTATGGCGGGCCACACTTCCGTGCTCTTGCCTAGAATGTGGGCGTAGAGCGACACGTGTAGAATTTTCTTGTCAGATTCGCGAGCTTCGATGAGCCCAGGCTCATCGCCTGGCGGACCTGACACGCAGACGAGCTTGCGGACTTGCTGGGGTGGGTCGACTTGGTTGCGTCCTGGATACACGGCCATGAAGTAGACGAGGTCCTTGTTGTAGAGCCTGCAGTGGAACTCTGTGACGCAGTCCCCGAGGCAATTAACCAATACGGAGGTGATGAAATAGTCGAAGTCTGACACGCTGTGGAAGACCCCATCTACGGAGGGCCTTACCTCGGTGCTCACGGCCCAGACACCGGCGTTGAGCCATATGCTTAGATCTTGCTTGTGAGATTCGCGAGCTTCGATGGGCCTAGGCTCATCGCCTGGCAGCCCTCCCTTGCAGGTGACCTCATGAACTCGCTGGGGTGGGTCGATTGCGGTGCTTCCGGGGGGTAGGGTGATGAGGGGGTCGGAGTTCTCGTCGTAGAGCGTGCACTGGAACTCTGGGATGCAGATATCGAGACACTTAATCATGACGTGGTCGACCAAACGGTTTGTGAAGGCTGCTTCGACGGCGACGACTCTCCCATCTGCGGGGATCTGCAACCCATGGACTACGCCCAGGTGCGTGTTGATAAAAGTAACTGTTACAGTTTGCAGGGACTGGCTTTTTCCAGGGGCAGCGATGGCCAGGCTGGCCAGGAGAAGAGTGATGGTCGGTTGGAAAAGCATTTTGGGAAGCCTCCGAAGATATTTTATAAGTGTGAATGACGCGTCGGATCCGGTTGTGGATGTTATGGATTGCCCTGTGTGCAACGAGCTGTCTCGTTCTCGGAGGGCCGTGCCTATTTATGTTGCTCAGCCCCAACGCAGCCGCTTGTTCATGAACTTCCTTGATTCGCAAGAGTGGCACAAAGCAATATTCCCCTCAACGTGGTACAGACAGCGCGATGAGCTCGGGCCTTAGAACCAGCCCCTTAGCGGCCGACGGCGAGAAACACCGCCCAGAAAAGTAAGAAATTTACTATCAGCCGTTCGTGATCTGACATTTGTCACTGGAACTATGTTTGTGCCCATCGATCAAATCGATGTAGCCCATATATGACTGGCGTCCAGTGTCAGCCCTCCGCGAGAACGCCGCTTACCGGATGTCACGGCTGCGCGAGCCTTGGGGTCAAGATATCTCCACCAGTCATTTTTCAAGCCTACATTGCTGGAGAAGTGATAGAATGTCTGGCTTCATAGCAGTCAGCTTGTACAACATAGGCCGCGCTGAGCATCCGGTCGGTTCTCATGTTCTCAGCTACCGTAGGATTACGCCAAACGTATACAATCCATGAGCCCGTCCGTGTCAGAGCTCCAAGGGAGTTGCCGCGCCAAATTATCAGAGATTTGGGGAAGAAAATTGAAATTGCAATTTTGTGGAAATTTCTGGGCCAAGGAGGTGTGAATGCGGCTTGCTTAGTTAGTCAGATCTCCGTTGGAGAACACATTCACTCATCCATCCCGGAATCTCGATCCCTAAATGTCCCCAGAGACATAAATGGGCCTCTCTGTTAGTCGGTACTCGTCTTTACAAATTCAACGGCGAGCGAGCCACAAGGCATGGTATGATAGCCTAAGGATGCTCGGTTGTCTAATTAGCGCGACGCATGGATGTTCAAGGACAATTGCTATGCTCTTCGTCAACATGTAGCTAAAAAGACTCTCACCTCGAGAGATGAAGCTACCATAAACTTGCCGATTAGCCCCCGTAGCATACTCGCCTAGTATTGCACTGCCAACCCGCTCGGTATGTCAGCTTAGAATAACCACGCCTCCACTCGTGGGATCTCCAATTCGGTATTCTCAGTAGAGCATTCAGTGGTGGATGCGTCAGCCTTGATGGTATGTTCGTATTGCAACCCTGACAGCGATCGTCGGTCAACGATATTACGAGGGCCCAGCCCGCTGTTCATGTTAAATATTAGCAAAACATTGAAAATTGACCCAGGCATGAATGACGGCCAACATAAATTCAACAGAGTGCAGTACGACTGTATTATATTTTTTGAAAGCGTGATCGATGATGAGAACTAGAACCAAAAGTAATGGTAGGTAAATAAGAAAGACACGGTCTACAGTATCTCTTCAAGGAAGCAGACAGAGCAGCTTTCGAAAAGGCAAGTCGTAGCGATGACCACACACTCATCCACGACCGCACGATTTTCATTCGCCGTAGGCGGGGAAAGCGGAAAAGGCTTCCGTGACTCGAGACGCCCAACGACTGAACAAATACCCGGCTGAGGCCGAGGCGGTCGAGGCGGCTGAACGCTCGAATCCGGTCATTTCCTAGTGCGATTGATTTCGTATGATTTCAAAGTCCGGTGGCCAGCATGGTGCCTGGTGGCCTGGCCTTGTGCTCGAGTTTTAGTAAGTGAGTAGTCTTTGTTTTGCTGGGAGGTAATGTGGTAGCCGAGGTAATCTTCGCAAGATCCTCCAGACCAGCCGCCCTCAGCTAATCCATACGGCCGGGGCTGTCCGCCGCCGAGAGATCGAACGCTGTTGCCGTCGCGTCACCCTCGTTTTCCATCTCCTCTCTAGTTGTCGCGACATTGCTGTTTCTCTGCTTTCTCGATATGCCTTTTCAGACGCTTGCTCTCGACTTGGGTTTCTGCCACGGTTCGTCGGATCGTTAGGATTTGCTCATCAAGCCCGATGGCCTGATGCCAGAACCTATCTCTGGCCTGCGGTAGCTCGTTGATCTCATCCCTCAGATGTTTCCGCTGTTGCTCAATCCGCAAGCGCCGTTGGTCAGCCGAGCCTGGGTCAACACCAGGTACAGGCCCCGGCCGTCGAGCCGAGGTGCCGCGGCGCGCGTGTTTCACTGCTTCTGCCGAATCCGAGAGCAGGTCTACCAGCTGCTCGCGGAGGGCAAGCATTCGGTTGCTGAATTGGCTTGCAAGGGCTGAGTTGTACCTCAGTCCAACATGACGAGAGACGAGAGCCTCTTGCTGCGCGAGGAGCTGAGCCTCGAGGTCTTCCAGCGCACGTACCATGGAGTTTGGGGACAATGGTCGGCCTGCTCGTTCTTCGTGATTCCTAGAGTCGTTGTTATCGCTGAGCTGAGACATAATTCGGCCTTATCACTCAAACGGGTTATGAATGCTTCTTTTTGGACCAACACTGCAGAGCCAAGGTTGATCGCTTGTGCGTTTACAAGAAAGTCAACGGTGGCTGTTGTCTGATAACCGGGTCTACTGGTTCTTTCTGAGAACAGTCTCGAGTACAATAACATAGAAGGCAAGATTTTCGAAAGTCTTGATCTACAAGAGTTACTTAGGAACAATGTGCTTTCCCAAGTCTGATAGTCCAGCTGGCAAAGAGCTAGGTCCTTATGAACGCAATCTAGATTGAAGTCTCAGCTGTGGATAATTCACAACACCTTTCATTCACCAGCAGCTAATGACAGACCTGAGCCGGTCTGTCATTAGCTGCTGGTGAATGAGAAACATTTAGTACATCTTATATCAGGAGTCGTTTTCTTGAGAGCGGCGCAGCAGAGCAATCAGACGTGCGCTCTGTTGGTATAAGTCAACCTGGGTGTTAGTAGTCGTTTCTCATCCTTAGATTTCAATGTGACATTTCTCATCACCCTGGATGTCTTGTCACTAACTGACCTTTCGCTCATGCATCCATGCTCTGGGTTCAAATGGTGGTTAGACGCAACGGATGTGTATCATCTTATTCTCTTCCTCACTAGGTGCGGCACTGGAGAGAGGCGAGAGGCAGGGTTTTCAGTCACCCCATGTTTGACAATGGTTAGTGACTGATATTCGTGACTGGCAATTAACGTGGCAAGCCGCACAACTGGAAAACCAGCTTGTACCATTGAGAAAGAGCATAATTATTTAAATCTCGAAATGAACAGCACAGATGCGTTTTTCCTGTATTATTCGCTATTTCTGCCATATTTCCACTTTGTTATCAATAATGACGACCAGTAGCACCCGAACAAATGAGCGGGAGGACGTTGCCTCCCATCGAACCCAGGACACGGATTGGGTTATAGTCAAGGAAGAGATCAGTGAAGGTTACGAGTTGATTGATGCAGCCGAGGCTCAGTGCTGGTGTGGCGGCTCAGATGCCGAGCGTTGTCGCCTTCGTGGACACACTTGGCCGCTCTGCAACATCGACCAGGGTGAGTTGTGGCCAGAAAGCCCCGACGGGATTCTTTATCAGCCACACGAAGAAGAAACCGAGACGGAGAGCTCTGATTCCCCTGATGAGCGGACCGCCAGCAGAGAGTCCAACGCTGACGACTCAAAGGAAATCGCACGGAAGCCAACGCCGCAGAAAGAGACCCATGAACCATGGCATTACGAGAGAGGTCCATTCACCACCCTCGCCGTTTTGACTGAGATGTTGGACAAAGGCAGGTATACTGGAGCTTGATGTCCATTGATGTCCATGTCGGAACGAACTAGCGAAGGGATATCACAATGAGTCGGGATTTTGTGGGATAGAAATCATAATCACTTTTAGACCATGCCATGGCAAATCGAAATCTAATTTCATATGTGCACTGCAACGCGAGCCCATGTGAAGTGCTTTGTGCCCTACTTGATGTACCTGAACTCTGGATGTCTGTAACCCAGCTGGTTGATCTCCTCCTCGGTGCGGCCCTCCAGCCGGTGGTCACGCTTCCCAGCCGCTCGAAGCTTGTTCTCGTAGGCGCAGTATGCGATGCCAAACAAGGACAGGAACAGGACCACTACCTGTCCGACGAGGTTGATCGTGTGGCCGGTACGATAGGCAGGGCCGTCCGAGGGGACGTAGGTCCACCTGGAGTTTTGTCAGCAACAAGAACACAGGTCACTAGAAACACGCAGAGGGAGATGGGTCCTCCCGGGGTGGAGCTTACGTGGCAACGATCCCTCCAATGGTACCGACGGTCACAACGTAACCACTGGTCACAGCACGCACAGCTGGTCCCGCCGCGTTGTTGATCGCCCAAGCCAGGAAGCCCGGTCCACCGGGGAAGGCTCCCACAGTGACGAAATAGACGCCCATGTACCGAATGTTGGGGTTGGTCTCCCAGCGCAGAATGGCAAATCCAATAATGGCCAGCAAGGAGAAGGCACCCAGGAAAGCCCCCCTGTGACGGGTCTTGTCACTCGCGTACGCGATAGCAATAGCTACAAGGCAAGCACAGACGTACGGCGGGACGCTGTAAAGCTGGGCCTTGGTGTCGGTCCAGTCGAGGTCGCGCAGGATGGTGGGCAAGAACACAGACAGTCCCTGGACGGTGATGTTGGTGAGGAAGAAGCCCAGGCCGCAGGTGTAGTTGTGGATGCACATGACGGCGCGCTTGACATGGGCAAAGGTGACGCGCTCGTCGGGCTGGGAGCGGTGCTCGCGGACCAGGCGCTCGGCGGCGATCATCTGCTCGCGCTCGGTGAGGAACTTGCAGGTCGCCGGGGAAGCGGGCAGCCAGATGGGGGCGATGAGGCCGATGATCATTGTGATGATGCCCTCGAAGAAGAAGATGTTGCGCCACGTGTGGATGCGCACGCTGGCGACGCCCCAGTCCGGGATGCGCGAGAGGCCCGTCGCCAGCAGGCCGCCGAAGGCGCCCGCCATGCTGGCCGCCGAGACGTAGATGCCGATGCGGAAGAGGAGCTCCTTGCGCTTGTAGAAGGAGCTGAGGTAGAAGGCGAACCCGGGCATGGCGCCGCCCTCGAAGGCGCCGAGGATGGCCCGCGCGACGAGCAGGCCCGGGTAGGACGTGACGAAGGCGGAGCAGAGCGAGACGAGGCCGAAGCCGACGACCAGGCAGGGGAGGTAGAATCGGGGCCCCACGCGCTTGAGGATGATGTTGCTGGGCACCTCGACGAGGAGGTAGACGATGTAGAAGATGGACAGGGCCCAGTTGAAGCGCAGCCCCTGGAGCCCGAGGTCCTGCTGCATGCCCTGGATCCTGGCGTTGCCGATGTTGATGCGGTCGAGGAAGCAGAGGAGGTACAGGACCGTGACCCACGGCACGGTGCGCCAGTCCATCTTGTGCCTCAGGATGGTCTCCTCCTCGTCTGTCCATTGGAGGCCATTGCCCAGCTCAGACTTGGAGTCGGACGGGCTCTGGGCGACATCGTTCTCGACTGCGAGTCAGGTTAGCAGAGTTCTCATCGTGTCCCAACATTATTAGGGCTGTCATACTTGCGATTGCTTTCTCCATCTTGAAAAGCACAAACACAGCCCAAATGTCGTGGTTGTCAACTATGGGTGGCTGGTGAATGGGAAGTCGACCGGAGAGAAATTCTAACCGCGAGTCTCGGGCATGCGAGCAAGTGAATGACGATGTAACCGCCGGCAACGCTGCCACGAAACTGGAGCTGGGCAGGACAGGAGGGCAGTCTTGTTATAGCAATGATATCCCGCCAGCACAACGGGGGACCCAATCCGCCCACAAGCATTAAATCTCTGAAATCCCTGGACCGGGGACCAAGTCTGTGGATCAGGCCAAGAACTGAAATCTGCGGGGTACAGGGCCAGCGAGCTTGGCACTTTCTTGACACGGTACTGTCAGCATCGATATTTGCCGGCATTCAAGCAGACCGCCGACATGGTGGATTGATTGAGCGGGTGTTATTCCTGTGCCCCGTGAGTGGGTGCCGTCGCCCTTGCCAAGATCCTACCATGTGTCAGACGGGCGGCTTCCTGCACTTTGTGGCGTAGGTTGTTCCCTCGGGCTGGAGCACTCGAGGACGCGTGGATCATACTTTTATGTCCTAGCTGGACCGTCATTCAGGCTTGGCGGTTTGGGAGTCTATGTTGTGCCTGCTGCGCTAATTTTCCCGAGACCTGGGGAACAATGAATAGGCCCGACCAGGACGTGGGGTGTCTTCCTGATCCGAGCAAGCAAATGACACGCGGGATTGCGCATCTGTCCATCTTGTCGCAATCGCTGTTGCACAAGAGTCAAATTGGCAGGTGAACGGCACCATCCCCTCGGCAAAATATAAGTCCCTCAAGCCCGTAGCGAAAAGAATGCAACCCGAATTACGTGTTATAGGCAGGTCCATGTTTATAATGGACACCTACGCGTGTGACACTACTCTCCGGGACGGGCCAAGAACCCGAATAGAGTTTGCGGGATGTGGATGAATAAAGGTTGATAGTCCTAGCTGATGCGCGATTGGCTTCTGTCACCCGGTGGCAATGTCAGAACTTTATTGCCGGCATAATCAGAAGCTTGTGGGCAGTAAAGTCGATCTTCTTCATCCTCGGTGATGATTAACAGTAGATGCACGTCTGCCCAAGATAAAGAGCGATTTCTAACATCACTGTGCGGTCATATGTGACAAGTCGGAAAGGGTTGCCATGCCGCCAAGCGAGGTCCGAGAAAAACTGCGACGAGAATCAAACTGGGAAAACAGTGTGCGGATAACACATGCAACACGCTGATCGTCGAAGCGGCTTTTATATTGTACGTTGTATCGTAGATTCGTGTTATATATATACCGACGTCGCATGAGACCAGCCGCGGCTTTTGCAGCCGCCTTCCAGCCGCCGACCCAGGGAACATGAGCAAACATGCCGAACGCCTCAGGGCAAGCAAGTCAGAAGGCTGCCGAGCTTGTCCAGCACGACCTTCTGGTTCGCCGCGTCGGCCGTCGACTTGTCCCTGCACTCCCCGACACTGACGGAGACATGGCACCCCGCCGCATCCACGACGCTCTTGTCCGTGGGCAGCGCCGTGCTGCCACACGTGTCGACGTCGGGCGCCGAGAAGATGGTGCGCGGGTTGATGCGGCTCATGACGAACTTGAAGGCGTCTGCCGTGGTGCACTCGCCCGTGACCTCGGGGAAGTTGACATTCAGGAAGATGCCCGGCGGCAGGTAGGGGGCGCCGGCGTCGATGATGGCGTTGGTCAGGTTGGCGGCCAGGTCGGCGTAGATCAGGCTCCTCGCGGGGACCGGCACCGTGTTCCACGCCAGGGTGCCGTCCGTGAGGCCCGAGAAGGCGATGGCGGGTAAGCCCGCCTCGCCGACCGCGTAGCACGCGGCGCCGACGGTGCCCGAGAACTGCACCTGCAGGTAGACGTTGGAGCCCACGTTGGGGCCCGTGACGGCGAGCTCGGGCGCGGCGCCGCCCCAGCGGCCGGGGCCGATGCTGTTGATGCCGTAGCGGATCGACGTCGCCGGGAACGAGTTGACCCAGTTCAGGCGGGTGTCGGACGAGTTGGTGCCCGTCCTCGCGTTGGTGTTGGCCGGGCAGCTGTCGTACTGGCATGCTGCCGTGCGAGGGCTCGGGTCCGAGTCCAGGGAGCCTATTGGGCGAGTTATTAGCCACCATACAGGTGCAAGAACAGCCGATCTCTCTGTTCGGAGTATCATTCGCCGCCCAGAATGACTCACCTCTACCGCTCTGGTTGTCTGCCGGGGCCGAGACCACGGCGTCGTGGCCTCCACTCAGGAGCGAGTCGTGGAACGACCGCAGATACAGCTCCGCCCATCCGTCATCATTGGACTGGATGATGCGGATTCCCTGACATCCTGTCACAGCAAGAGCCGCCACGACGGCCCTCGAGAAAAAAGAACGGACACCCATAATGTTCGGGCGAGCAGTATGAATCACTGCGGACGAACGTGAATGAGTTGAGCCCACGAACGAGTGTCAAAGGGGAAAGCGAATGTAAGGGCCGCGCAGTGTCGATCTCTCCGTGCTGACTGACTCGGCAGCGAAACAGGAGCGGCACCATCACGCGGGCCAAAACGATTATTTATCCACAACACCCCCCTCAACCTGCAGCACCGCAAGTCCGAACGGGCCGCCATTGTGAATCTCCGCCCTTGGCCCCAATGAATTAGATTGGTTCCCCCGGGCCTACTGTCCCTCTTAGCACCGACGAGCTCTGGGCGTCGACCATCGTTAAATGTGCGTCGCCGGCAGCGAGGCCAATCAGGCGGGCTCCCTCCGCCACGCCGGGCGAACCTGCGGCGGACTTGTACCTGAATAAGTGCAGAGGGAGGCCCCCAAGACTCGGCCACCTGCCGCACTTGGCTAGTGGGTGCGTGCCTATTGGGTGCACGAGGTCGACCCCACGGCGAACCCCAGGATATTGCCGAGGTCAGGGGCAGGGGGCAACCGTTGAACGTTCTACTGGAATTTGCCTGCGTGGAGCGTGAGACCGCGGTGATTGGTCACATTTTGCAGGAACCACTGCCTAGCTGGTTAGAACAACCTTGAAGCTGAAAACCTCCCTTTGGAAAACTGTTTGAGAATGTTCTGGCGATCAAACAGAGGCAAAATCGATTAAGCTTATTCCTCATGTTTGGTCGCTGGTGGATGTCCGTTAACTTGATGGATGCAACTCGCGGGTTATATCGTGAGGCTCTTTGGAGGAATAAACTTGAAGTTGCCGAGAGTTAAAAGTTTGTCCGAAAAGCCTCATGAAACTCCGGGTCGCCTGTGATCATTGATCCAGAGGAGACATATAATCGCCTGCAGTCCTCTGGGCAGTTCCTGGTAGTCGGAAACTCCACTGGCGATTTTGTCTTCTCCATTTTGAACATTTCATGTGTCTTTCTTCAGTCGAGGCCTCCTAATTCCGTTGGATGGATGTGCACAACCGCGGAGATCCCTTCCCGACGTGTCCCAAGGCGAACATAAGAAAACAACATCGAGATATCACCTGCGGTAACGAAAGAATACAGTATGGCTGTCAACTCGAACACGGCTCGTCTCAGAACGATGTCACCATTCAACGCAAGAAGACCTGGATGCGCGAAAACAACAATTAGCGAGTGAATATCCTAAGCACACACACACACATTGTCGATAAGTCGTCAGCCTGACACACAAGGACTCGACCCGCAATCGTCCCTGTCTATGCTTGATCATACAATCCATCCCTTTTGAACGAACAAAAGGGGCCCCTGGATCAGCTGCAATTAGTGTTCGTATCTAGTTATCCTCGTCCTCGTCGTCAGCAGCGGCATTGCCTCCCGCAGCGTTTCCTCCCGCCCCGTTCGTCTTCCCCTTGCCAGCAGCTCCCTTCGTGGTCGTGGCCGCGTCGTCATCAGCCGCGGCAGCGTTGCCTGCACCCTTGGTACCAGCGCCGGCCCCCTTCGTGCTGGCATTTCCTGTCTTTGCGGCAGCGGTGTCGGCGCCTCCCTTGGCGCTCGAGGCGTCCGCCGCCGTCGACGCGTTTCCGGCGCCCTTGGCCGCGGCGCCGCCCTTCGATGCTGCGTTTCCTCCGGCTGCGTTTCCGCCGGCCGCGGTGCCTTTTCCTTTGCCAGTGGTCGTGGCGCCGCTTCCCTTGGCCGCGGCATTTCCGGTTGTGGCATCAGCGGCATCTGTGCCGCCTTTCTGCGCCGCAGTTCCGGCGCCGGCGGCCGTGCCCTTGCCCTTTCCGGTCGTGGCGGCGTTGCTTCCCTTGGCAGCAGTGTTCCCTGTGCCAGTGGCACCGCCCTTGTTTGTCGCGGTGCCCGCGTTGGCATTCGTGTCGGCCCCGGTATCGGCTCCGGTGCCACCGGCCATGAGCTGCTTCAGGCTCTGGGTTCCGGTGGTCGGGTCGAACTTCTTTGCCTGCTGGTCCGACCCGGTGTTCTGCAACGCGCTGTTGGACAGCTGCGTGATGCTGGGCAGGATGTTGGCGTTCCTGCGGTCAGTCGTTAGCATGGTGTGTCTTGGTGTGTGAGGCATCAGCATGCGAGGCACGTACCTTGCCGACTCAACCTTTGACAGTTGCTTCATGACGTTCGCCATGGATGGGTTCCTCATCATCGACTGCAGACCGTCCAAAACAATGGGGGTGTTGTCGACGATCTTCTGGTTCGCCTGCCTCGCGTCCCTGCCGGCGGCGTCGTCCAGGACCGCGCGATGTTGGTCCTCGTCCTCCTCAGCGACGAAGGCCTTGCGCGCCATGGTACGGATCTGGTTTGGGTCGGTCGTGGTACCCACTAACAGGCAATGCGCGATAAGCATATGCCCAATATTTGAGCCATCGGGATGGGGAATATCTACTCACTTCCGTTGAGGGACGACGACACGACAGCGACGTCACCAGCAAACGCGTTGGCTGCTTGCGGCACACTTTCGCCATTCCCACCTCCCCCTAGTGCCTTCGCCGCGGCGGAGAACGGGTTCGGAGCCGCGCGCGCATCGATGTCCCTGGCACTCAGCGAATCCTCGGCCAGGGTGACTGGCAGGGCCGTCACTGCGATGCTCTGCAGCGCGGCCGAGGCCAAAATGAGAGAGGCCTTCATGGCAACGAAGGTAAGTAAAAGTAAGATTAAAATTTGATAATTTGAGAGATTACATAAATGAGGGTCGAATTAGAATCTCAAGGCTCCGGGCCTTTGTGCGAATCCACTTTGAGCGAGAACGGGTACGAAGAGAAGGAAAGAATATGCCCGATTCAACTCGTGATGGGTCTGGGGAAGAAGGCGATGTGATTAAGACTCGGACCGTCTGACGAGTCCAGTCCTCCGTCCTGAGGCACAACGTCGTGACTATTACCGGATAGTATCGTCCAATTGTCGAACGGTTTAGCCTTGAAACCCAAACGTGTAGGCTAAAGCGCCGCGAGGGGCCCCAGACGCCTCCTCTGAGCTTCGGCCGAATGTTTCAAGATCGGATGTAAATATCAGGCCAGGCCGATTCAAAATCACAAACCCTGCCCCGTCTCATCTCTGAATCCGAGCGTGCTCGAATCCTCCGGACGATCACCCGACAGCATAATCATCACAGTCCCCTCGCGGTTAGAGGTTTTGTAGGGCTGGCCGTACTGATACTAGCCCGCCCTTCGGACGGGACGCGCCAAGAACCAAGCAGGTTGGCAATAGCTTGTACCGCCAAGCCCGCCCTTTGACCTTCTGGGAATGCTTGGGCCGGCGCATGACGTGCGGGTATTGTCTTCGCCTTATGCACGGACACACACCTCTGATGCATACTCTAATTGGGCTAGGTAAGTAACGTCGTTTGAACGGTGGCCTGCTGACAAGGTGAACAGCGGTACTTCTATCCAGGGCCCACCAATCGCTATACAATGAGCCATGGACCACCTGCGACGAGCGAGTAGCCAGTGATATGCCATGAGCGCATCCCAGCCGTTTCGGTATCGAAATAACGTTTATTAACCCCGGCGGTCGAGGTGCGGCTGCCTCGCCCAGCCGTGGACTGTTACGGGTTGGACCATCTTGCGACGACGTTCATCCTGCCAAGCCGTTGGAAACCTAACTCCAAGACGCGGACGCATATTGGCCGAATGATGAGATTTGAGACTACATTTCCTTCAGTTCAGCACACATCACAAGCGAGTGGACAGTGCATGCCGGTCGAAGACATCCGTGGGTCTAATTTTAAGATCGCACAACGGCACCAAGGTTTGCAAGAATTCATTCAATCTCGTCATGTCAGACCCCATGGAGAAAATGGTTATTTTGTCTATGCCCAAATGGAATCCGGTGAACATTGCCCCCCAACACTCAGGTTTAGGATTGCCTTGCGGATCAGTCGAGTTTCGCCCAATCGCGACGTCCCAAGGGGTGTCGATGTACACGTAGCCTGCCATCGCCTCACCGCAAACCTCGTCCAGCCACCTAGGTATTGGCCATGTTGAACAGGCCGGCACTGATGGAAAAACTGAATAGCCGATCGTAATTACAAATGTAAATCTGAGTGCTGGGCTAATTCAGTAGGTATGGCCACACCCATCCGGTGTTGTTAGGGATCGTCCCGTTCAACTGTTGACGGTGCTCTTGAGGAAACTTCCGTTCACGAGCTCATCGATGTAGCCTGGCATGACCACTTCGGACGTCTTGCTACAGTATAACCACCGTTCTGGGATTCCATTGAAATCGTTCGTGGCCCCGTTGTAATCCGTGGGGAATTGAAATGGCCTCAGCCCATCCACGGGAGAAGGTGGTGGCAGAGCAAGCGACCGGGCCGAGCGTCTTGTCTCGGGTATGCTCACCTGGGCGAGCTTGGCAGACACGCGAGCCGCACAAATGATTGGAAATAATAGTTGCAGGGGGTTGCATGATGTAAGCAGGGACGGTTGACAACTGCGAAGACTGAGGTTCTCGTCTTGATATCGGGATTGTTTGCTGCTGTGCTGTGGCTCTTTGGGTGAAAGATAGCGCCGGCATTGAGAATCTACTTCTGGAGATGACGCAAGTTCATTCCCGAAGGCGAAGTAATATCTTGCCCTCTACGCTCTGAATCATCACGAAGCCTTCAGACTAGTAGCGACACTCATCTGAGACTGTGACTCTGTGGCTCAAGGCTCGAGGCTGCTGCAACCTTTGTAAGTCTCGCTACACGCCATCTCGTGTAGCTATTCGGTAAGATCACCTGGCGACCGGAGAGGAGCTCTTAGCACTGCCGTTCCAGTGACAAAGCCTATCAAATGATTCACGCAAAGAGGGGTAAACATGGTACTGTAATTCCGCCCTGTGCCCGCCACACACCCGCTTTTTGCAAAAGGTGACCAGCCGCAAACCGCGATGAAATTAGTTCACACCTCGTGGTTTTCTCTGCCTTCCGATAACTAGAATACTTGAGTATCCCGTTAATAGCCGCTGTTCTCATCACCGTTGTGATCTTGATGCATTTGTCTACCACGTCTGGTCCATATCAAAATGACAACTTGTTGACATTCCTCAATAATTAGTTGACATATGCCCCGTCTGGGCTCATCGCTAGTTTGACGCTATATAGATCCAATTTTAGCCCACATATCCTTCTGCGCACAGTTTGATCCGTTGTTCATGATGGGATGACTAGACTGGCCGTTTGGTCGTAGTTCCATCTTAAATTTGGTGCAAGGGAGAACGCTAGTCAGGAACCGGGAAGTTATGAGATGCTGTGTTTGGGCAGCTGTTCCCGTGGGGAACCGCAGGTACCTGCCCATGGTTGACACAGCTTGGCTTGGCCGCCAAGTGTGGTAGCAGATTTGTCTCCGCCGATGCCCGGACATCCCCAAAGAAGCCTTCCACTGTGGATTTGTCAGTTGTCAACCTCATTCGATAGATTTGTCATGTTCACATCTGGGCGGGATGTACCCAGCGAGCCAAGAATACTATCTTGCACATGGGGTGTGGAGAAAGCGAACGAGAGCTTAGCACCGCAACGTTCTCCACCTTCTACAGTACACAAGGCGTACATAGGCCCAAGAAGTCCTCAGTTTGGCTGCGGAAAATTCCTACGGCCAGCCTCCGTTTGCATTCTGAAAGCAGAAACCATGTTTACAGTGATTAAATGAGGAACGGTTGGTTCGGTGAGCGCCGTAAACGAATCTCTGCCGTCACGAAGTTTGATGCGACTTGAGCATTGAATTGTTCATTGTTTCCACAGATCCCTCGCAATTCGTGTCGACTGCATGGACTTACTCATGCCCTAGATCTTGTATGACATGCTCACGGCGCGCCCTCGAGTTCCCAGTCCTCCTCGTCTTCCAGCAATAGACTTTGTGCAACCCATAGCCACAGAAGTACTGCATTGTCGCCTCGTGTGCATCGGTCGGGCCAAGTCGTCACCAAACAAGAGCCCCTGCGCACTACTCGCACCGCTCGGCAAGCCCTGCTCCCGACGACTGATACGTGTCAGTGGTACGACACGAAAGCCTTCAATAATGTATGATGGAAGTTTCAAAAGCACAACAATGAAAAGAAAGGTGTATACATACGGGCTGCTTCCCGACTGTGCACTCGGTTCCGGCTCAGGCTGGGCGACACCGAAGCTCCGGCTTCGATGATGGGAAGCCCATTCGCGTGCCGCTGCGTAGACTATCGGGGGGTAGGAATACGTCAAAACGCCTCTACTCAGTTCCAAGGCAGCGTCCTCGATCAGGTCCGCATGATGAGGTTTCCAGGTGTCTCCTGCCTCGGGCAAAGACGTCAACAGCATGAAATTCTCAATCTCCCTGAGGGTGCGCTCGGATTCTTCGCGAAGTCTGTCCCTCAGCGCCCTGGCGCGACTAGCGGCTTCCTCGTCGTAGAGAAGCACGGCGAGTTTCTGGACCGTCTCTACATAGTCGTCCATGTGGCAGACGTTGTTCCGTCTGCCGTGAAAATGATGTAAGAAGTTCCGCAGGCCGATGAGGCGATTCAACCTGCTGGTGACCTGCCAGTGTCGAGTGTGTCGAAAGTTGAAGACATTGCTTGGCAGCCGATCAAGCAGCGTCGTCAGCCTCTCTCGACCGAAATCGATGTCTGACCGGTAGCCGATCCAGCGACGGCATTGGTCTGGTCGACGGGCGCGCATCCAACCCCACAGACAGTGCTTTGCCAGGGTTTCTGTGCTAGAGAGTATGTCGAAGAGTATGTCGTGATCGATGTAGACTGTGTAGGCAGAACCTCTGATCCAGGCTTTGTCTGTCAGCCGTGTTTGTACGGCGATGGCCTTCTGAGTGACGAGGTCATCCCACTCCGTCTGCGACATGATTCGGAGTGTGTTCGCCGGCTGGACGTCCTCGAGCTCCTCCATCTCCTCAGAACAGTCTTCGTCGTACGATCGGTCTGTGCAATAATTCCAACTGGATGCCTCGGCCGGCTTCTGTGCATGGGTCGGTGGGAGGCGACGGCAGCTTCTCGTCCTGGAGGAAATTGCATCTCTTTGGCGTGAGGCAGCGGTGGTTCTGAGGTAGCCAAACCTAATCGCGTCTAATTTTCCGTCTGTGTAGACACAACTCTTCCCGTTGACTTTGAGGTATTTAGGCGGCGTGGTGGGCGGGCTTGGTGACCAATCATTGCTCGGCGAGGTGCTTCTGGAACTGGAAGCTGACGACGGCAAACTTCGGAGACGGGATGTCATGGTTGGCCGAGCGTAGGAAGGAAGTGTATGCTCGAGTATGGTTGAGCAATTGCGGCTGGGGGTCAAAGACAGCCTTGACATTGTTTGCCTTGGGACTCGTCTTGTAATCTGAGCCAGTTCCAATCGAAGCTCATGGTTCTCTTTCTCGAGAGTCTTGATTCTGTCCTCAGCTAAGGACAGCTGGTATGCGATTGGATGAATGAGTTTCATCGTCTCTGTGAGGGACGCAGATCTTTTGAGAGTGGCAAGTGTTTGCATACGATTGTGGTAGCGCTCTCCAGATGGACTGAATGAGATCAGGATTTCGAAGGAATAAGGAAGACCAGATGTCTTGGAAGAATGGGAAAGTGACTTTTATGAAGACAGAGCTTCAGAAGAATTATTGGGCCCATGTCTTGTTCAGTTACATTTACTTAGACTGAAACCACCCCAGTAAGTGATTTGGTGAGAAGTTATCAAGTGAATTGGGAGGGGATGGTGGGTGAGGTAAGTGGCCTAGAATCATTGGGTACTTCACATCGACCCTCACCCATATGTTAAACAGAAACCAATCTTTTGCAAATAGTTGGGCCTGACTTGCTTGCTGTGCAGCTCGACGTTGCTGGCATGACTGGACTAGCCACTCCCTGACACTAAAAGTCTTTTGTGCAAATGATAGCCAAATGCCGGTTTGCACAAGGTTGAAAAGTCAAATTCTAACTCTTGCACAGCAGAATTTACTGTGACTGCCCGCAATTTACTCTGTTCTGTGTCCTATACTGACAATCGTTATCAGCCCAATTGAATAGGGGATATGTAAAAAGTCCATAATTAAATTTGAAGTGAACACTTGACAGGTATAGCCTGACAAGTGAAGTCTAAAAAGTGAAACCACAAACAATTGTAGAATGATCACTGATCAGCAGCCTCACCACTACTGATTACATAAGGCTAAGGTCATGAGGGCAGTATCATTCCAGTAGCTCGGCACGAATGCTGTTCTGTATCTGTCGAAGTAAAGTGCACAAAGAGGGATAATAATCATAGATGGACTGGATGCATATTGCTTAAGAAGCATATGTGTACAGACTAAAAACGAGACCACATAATTATATGTGGACAATGTCAGAGCATCTACGTCCAGTCCACTGCATCATGAGTGCCCAAGGACAGATAGACTGAATCTACCTACAAGAGTGATCTGTCCTCAGCTCAGCCACCGACGCAAAAGCTTGCCCGGCGTGTTGAGTCCCTTACATGGGCTTGCTGTCCACGGACCGACAGAATGCGAGGGCCAGTTGTAGACGCACTCCTCCATTGGCCCTGGTGGATCTTCCCAGTGACGCGGCCTCTCTGATCTTCCGAGCCAGGTGGAATTGCCCCTCCGTGACCGGCATTCTCCAGCATCTTCACACGTTGGCCAGGCTCTGTTGGACGTCTGGCTTGCAGTCCCAGCTCATGTAGCCTTCCGAGTCTTTCTCCTCCTATTCCTCCATGGCCCCGATAATCGCTGGCGAGTACTGGCGGCGAACACGGTCGTCGTCGCCTTCACAAAGCCTCATAAGGGCCCTCTTGAACAGTTCAACGTGATGAGGTTGCCATGGGTACTCCTCCGCAAAAGGCAGGGCCGTCAGAAGCCACACCGCACACCGTCTCTATCTCTCGAGCCACCCCTTCAGCCTTTGTGCGGAGCCTGTGCCTGAGACTCCTGGCACTTAAAGTTGTTTCTTCGTCGTAGAGGAGGAAACCAAGCCTCTGAACATCGTACAGATGCTTGTCGACGTGTGCCATCCTGAATCCGTGGCCGTTGAAGTGGTGGACTTTGTTTCTCAGTATGATCAACTCCTCGATAACATGCATGACCACATGCGACGTCGTCCACCGGTAATTGTAAAAATTCCGCATCGCCAAAGGTCAGCAAGTTCAGTCTGTCCCGACCAAGGTCCATGTCGGACAAGTAATGGATCCCGTACCATTCGCATTCTCTCGGACGGTTGGTACGGAGCCACCTCCAAAGACATCGCTTTGCCAACCTCTCGGCTTTCCACAGAATGTCGAATAGCTCATCATGGTCTATGACGACGATGTTGGCGGGCTCCCACGCCCAGCCATCGAGACGCAACTGCGTTCGTAGTGCGATGCCCTTCCGCTCGATTCCGTCATCAAATTCCGCCTGTGAGATGATCTGCGTCGACTTCGCTGGTTGAGAGCATTCCTCGCTGACGGCTTTAGGCTCCACATAGCAAGAGAAGTCCCAAGGCTCTGGCTCTGCAAATGCGGGATGGCAAACCCCGGAACGTTCCTCTCTGCGGCGCTCGAAGTGGCCGAACTTGTTGATTGCAGACTTGGTAGACACGAGATAGCCGAAGCTCATCATTGTGAGCTCGCCGTTGCGGTAGACGTATGACTTTCCATCAACGACGACAATCCTTGATCCATTGGCGGTGCTGTTGGCGGAGGGGGATGACGGAACAGTGCGTGTTGTGGACACTGGCTTCGGTGATTCCCGGACGCGGGATGCTCTCGTTGAGCGAGCAAAGGACGGTGACTCTTGTTTCAAAGACATACGACTTCGAAAACGTACATACATTAGCACATGTAAAAGATACATGTGCTGCTTGGCGACTGTCTCTGACCCCAGTCTCCTGCTTACCTCCTGTCTTCGCTGCCACGAGCACGGCTCCTCAGAAGTGGCGTATGCCTGTTCACCGTTGGCTGATTCTTCGCTTGGGGTGTGAGCAGGCTTAGTGCTAGCCTCAGCTCATCATTTTCAGCCTCCAGCTGCTTGATGCGGGCCCGTGCAACTCTCAGCTGGTGCTCTGTTGTTTGGATAATCTTTTGTGTCGGTGGCTTCAAGTTTGGTGGGTAGATAAGATAGGCAAGCCCCGTCTATACAAGAAAATTTTGAGGGCCTAAGAGGACACAAGGTTTGTTGTGTCGGACGAAGAACTTGTGGTTGAAGTTCTGAAGGAAGAACCACAGAGATGCTCAGCTGAGCGCGGCGAGGTGCGGTTATATAAATGAGATTTCGCAAAGTGACTCCATCATCCACCGAATAAGTATTTCACATGATTTTATAGACTTCACTTTTCAAACTTTTGAAAAAGACCCTAGCTGGCCTCTATGAGTGGCGTGATGACCAAACAGAAAGGTGAACATGTGAGAGAGGAGAGAATAATTAACAGTGGACAAGAAAGTGAATTCTATGTCACAGGAATTCGGCATGCCGGGAACAGTCTTTTAAGTGATACTTTAAATGAACCAACTTAGCATGTATAGCTCCAGAGGTCGTGAGGGAATCCCTATCCACATTACGACTTGCTGACCCCGGCCTCTCCTCAACTCAGGCCGTGAGAGACCTTGAAAGCAGGTTGATTCATACCACACAATCGCTTGTGTCATTATGCGACTGATTGAATCGTACATTCAGTCATGCTAGCCTTGGAATGACTGTCCAATTGACTGACTGTGCGGTGGAAGGGCGTCGTGCCCAGGTATTCCACTATGAATGGCCCTGTTGGTGAATGCACATGCCGGCTCAACACTCCTAATTGCTGTGAGCTGGAGCCACACCTAAAATATGTGGGAGGTCTCATGAGATTCGCATACCTAGGTAGGTAGAAGAATTTGAAGGTTAATATTAGGGTGGGCTCGTTTCCTTGAGAAGTGTTGGGACACATAGTTACAATGCCCACGTAGTCAATATAGAATGGATAAGGTGTTAAGTGGTGTCAGGTTAATTCGTAAGATGCTATATCTGATCTAGCTTGAATATGAAGGAGAACGTTGTGCGTTTGACATGATCTAAAAGTACAATACTATAACAATGGCTAGACGCTATGCTCTTAGATGCACACGTTGCATAACATTGGGATTCCTCACCTAGCCTGTAACACCACGATGCAATGTTTGAGGGGAAATTGCAGCATGAAAGCACTTCTTATGTGCCTCGACAAGGCTCTGGCTGAGGTCCTTTGCGCACTCACTTTCTCCACGCCACGGCCATTCCGCCTGTAATCTGAAGAGCTACAACGAGCATTGACGTGACGTTATCGAAGCCCCGAACCGGCTAGACGGCCTGTTGGCAGCACCAGGCCAGGCCCCAGCCCTTGACCACCGTAACTGCTCAGCAGGACGCAGCTTCACCTCCAGACCCGCCTCTCGAGTCGGGCTACCAGGGCGTAGATTCCCCTGATCGCCGGCCTCCCGGTTCAGGACCCTGACCAGCTTGAACACGAGCTCTGAGCGCATGGGGTCCTCGGCGAGGGGCGTCTTGGAGGCCAGGTCTCTGAAAGCCGCTGCGAGCACCCTGTCTAGGAGCCGGCGCAGGAACAAGACCTGGTCCGAGACGAGTTGGCCGCCAAGCGAGGTCTGTGGTCCGGTTCCGGGCACGTCCGCCATGATGAACATTGGCAGCCACTGATCCATCTCGAGGACTGCTCCGCGCGGGACGAGCGGGCCGCCGAACAAGAGTGCCATTAGGGGTGTGACCGATGAAGACTCTCGAAGGTACATGGAGTTCCCATCGCTGGAGAGAGACAGGCTGTTGTAGGTGAAAAAGCTGGCAGCTGACACTAGTTCGTCATTGACTGATGATGGATGCATTCTGACATTATTCTCGGAAGACGTACGGAAGAGGTCCGGTCTAGTTTGCACAGCGAGGTTGGGGTACAGTCCAGCCACAAGCAGAGCCTTTACGAGTGCCTCGGAGCCCGAGTTGGCATTCATGTGTCGGCCGCCGTACTGGAGCGTTGTCTCGATGTTCTGGTTTTCGATGAGCCCGGCCTTGGTCAGAATGCCGACGATGTCACGTGCCGTCATGTCGATATTCTTGAACGCTCCGCGGCTCATAAAATTACTGCGAAACATATTGTATGCCTCCCGGCCGCCGCGAGCTGAGGCTTGGCGAGCCTCGCCAAAGGCTTCTAGAAGCATTATGTGGTCACTCTCGGACGGACCTGCCAACTTCTTTTTCATCTCGTCGACCGCAGATCTCTGATTAAGAGGACTCGTGATAAGCGGACGCTGATGTGCTGCAGCGCCGAGAGTGATCATTGGGTCCAAACATCTGAAGATGACCCCAAGTATTATCATCTTGCCCAATGTTGGATGGACGGGCAGAGACGCCAAAACACGGCCCAACGGTGTCAGCTCCTCTTTTTTAGTCAGAGCACCGAGGGATACGAGGTTTTGCATGGCAGTTTCAACAGCGGAGGGCGGAGGGGGCTCGATGGCTCCTGCGAGAAACTCGGCCACCGGCATTTTGATGGGATGCGTCTTGACGTCCAAACAAGTCTCCTGCAAGTCTGAGCGCAGTAGTTCCGGCAAGGCGCTAGTCCTCATGGACTCACGCCGAGACCTGGTGAACAGTGCATAGTAAACTCCATCTTGGACACGGCCGGCTCGTCCCGCTCGCTGCTTGGCATTGGACTTGCTGATCCAGGTGCACTGGAGTTGGGTGATGCGTCTCGTCTGGTCGTAACGCTTCTCGCGGCACTTGCCGGTGTCGACGACAAACTGCACATCCGGAATTGTCACAGATGTCTCGGCAATGTTGGTGCTGAGGATAATTTTCCTGCAGCGTTCTGGGACCGGGTCAAATACCCTCTTCTGACTGTCCTGTATGGAGGAGTGCAGCATGATGATCTGGAACCGTTGTGGGTCGTTGAAATCGACGTCGAGGGGGGATTGGGCGCGCAGCAGCTCGTCCACATCTTTTATTTCGTCCCAGCCAGGGAGGAACACGAGGATGGCACCACTCTCAGAAGTCTTGGTAATATGGGCAACTGCTGTGGCTGCCAGGCCCAATGGTACCAGTCCGTCGTCCTTGTCGTGTGAGTGAAAGATATCTTCAAGTCCAGCAGTGACGGCTTGGCTCTTCCAGTCGATGACGGAGTCAGGGTAGGTGTCTGCGTTTGCGAGAGAACTGCCCACGTCGATTTTCTCTGCCTTGAGGTACTCGACCGTTTTTTTATCCGTACGCAACAGTTTGAGGTTCTGCTGGTCATGCGTATCTTTCATCGCCCCAAGAACCTCATCCAGGTAATACTCTTGGACTGGAAAGGTCCGACCCGGCACGTTCAATGTGGGACAGTCAGTCGAGTCGGCAGATGGCAGACTGTTTCTGAAGTATGCTGCGAACTGCCCTGCGTCTATTGTCGCACTCATCAGAACAACGCGCGGCAGCTTCTTGCCCTGTGCGGCACGGGCTGCCATTGTGTACTTGAGTGTGGTCAAGAGGAAGTCATTGATGAGGTCTCTCTCGTGGACTTCGTCGATGACTAGGTGGGAAATATGGTCGAACACGTCGTCTGGGGCATGCTGAAGCTGCTGGAGTAGGATTCCGGCTGTGCAGTAGAGTATGCTTCCGCCAGGGTTTGGCAGCTTCGCATCAAACCGCACATGGTAGCCGACGGTCTCCTGAAGCTGTTCGGCCCGCTCACCCGCCACCCTCCGAGCCACCGATGTCGCCGCAATGCGACGAGGCTGTGTGCAAATGACATTACAAGAGGCGCCGGTACCGCTCTCGATGGCCTGATCAAGGAGGATCTGAGGAACTTGGGTGGTTTTGCCGCTTCCAGTCGCTCCAATGACCACGCAGTAGACATTGTCGTGCACAATCTGCCTGACGCGAGAAGCGTATTGGGCCATTGGCAGTTCTGACCGTGTCTGGCGTAGATGTTCCAGGTCACCACGCGTCTTGTATTCGTCCATCTTCTCCTTTAGTCGAAATGACTTCATCGCAATCTGTTCTTGTGTGAGAGCGTGTTTGGGTCGAGTGTGTCGGGCGGGTTCATTCCTGAACTGAACTGGATGGACGCGTGGCAATGGCTCGTGCGGCCATCCCAAAGCCTGTATTGCATTCAATTCTTGCAGGACTTCGGGGTTCAGGACTACCTCCGTTGGCCTGGGCTTTCCGAGGTACTTGCCGTTCCCCGCTTGTAAAGCCTTGCTGAAGTTGTCGAAAAGATGTGGCTTCGTCTTGAGGACCGATAGTGCTCCGACTAGTTTCGCAATCTTCACCGCATGGTCCTTACTTCTTGTTCTGACCTTGACCTTTGGGTCCACTTGCAGGTCGGGGCGTCCAAAAACCGGCGTGCCCACCCACATCTCCCCGAGCCGTTGTAACGACACGTTGAATGCGCCCAAGTGTTCACCTTGATCACGGCAGTAAATGAAAAAGCCAGGGGCATTGCGGGTGCTGAGGGAATGAGGGTCCCTCACGACGACGGTATCTGCCCCTCTCCTGAGATGGTACAGCTCAGCCTGGTTCTTGAACTCAAGAGCCGCAGCCGCCTCGGCATGAGCTACAGAGCCCACGACATTGATTGCCACGTTGATGCCGTGTTGAGGCATGTCGATGGCAATGCTGAAGAGACCACGGCGTTCACGAATCGAGACACTGGGGACGCAGCGATAACGCGCGGCGTAGTTGTAAATATCCATCATGCCCTCCTTCTCGTCCTCAAACTCTTCTTTAGATTGCGAGCCAGCGAAAGTCAGCACATCCATATCACGCATCTTAGCCAGCGCATGCAGACCCGCAGCACGCTTGGCTCGTTCTGGACTGCAGCCATCACCAGCGGCAACCACACTGTCGTTGCCCGGAAGGTTGATAATAATGTCAGTTCGGGAGAATTTCTTGCCAGAACCTGAAAGCATCGACTGGGCTGGTTGCACCGAGTGAGTTCCGCCAAGAGCTTGGACGGCTGTGGCGACAGCTTTCCAGGGCATCCGGAAGTAGCCTGAAGGCATCGAGGACAGGTCGTCTTGCGTTGGCAGCCGTACCGTCCGCCGCAGATTCGTCATGCTGAACTCCAGTTCACTCTCCCTCAAGTCGTTGAGTGTATCTTCACGGTCCTCCTGCAGCCGTGAGCCCCCATTGCGCTGGGCACTGCCATCATATTCATTGCGTGCGGGTAAAGTTGACCCAAGCAGTGCCTTGAGTTTCCGTGGTGTATTTGACTTGCGGCGCTCCTTTTCGGCATACGACAAGGACCGTCCACGGTTCGACGGGGTAGAGAACGAGCTGATCGCATCGAATCGTTTCGAGTGGACGTAGTCGCGTCGAAGGGGGAGACGACGCAAAGATCCGAGTGCGCAAAACTGCGGGCTGCGCAACGTTAGCAATGCCCGGTTTGCCTGCAATTGAGTGGGATTGTCAGACAGAGTCAGTCGAGAATGATGCTGGAGGGCTGTCTTGAAATACTCACCATAGGCCACCTCATGTCTGTATGGCGGTCGACAGGAAGGACATCTTGCTGGACAGATACGCAATCAATGGAACAGGGCCAACTTACATTTTCTACCTGCGGTGCAAAGTAGGTTGGGGAAGGATCGTCTTGACTCCAATGCGATAGCGATAAGCCGTCTCCTTATCGATAAGAAGCTGAGCTTAGTCACAAGTGGCCTGGCCAGCTCGCTCCGCCCCGGGACGACGTACCTAGGCGCAAGTAGGTTGCTGAAGACATGGCAAGCTAGTAGACAATGCTGTACAAAGATTACACAAGCCATTTGAGCCCGTACTCCAGCCTAGTCATGTTGGTAACAGGGCAAGGGGTTGAAGGAAGGCAGAGTCGAGAAGAGTGGAGGTCACTCCAGCTCCATCCAGCATCAACAATGTCAGGCGCCTGCTGGACACACAACAATGGCCTCTGAGCCGCCAAGTCGATAGGAGCAATAAATGGGTTCCGAGCGGCTCCAAATGTAGACACATGTTTCAGATTCAGAGCTAAGTTCAGTTCCATCAAGCAGCGGCTTCACTTACCAGGTCACACGCTGCAGGCTGCGAGCCCTGTGATGCCGCGATGCATGCTTCACTTCACCCGTACTTGAAATACCGCCTACATCCGTCAGGAGCTTTGACATCTCTCCCTCGTCTTGCTTTCCATGCGCTGTCTCCAGCTTGAGAACTCGTGCGTGTTTATTCTTCAAGCCTTTGTCCTCGACCACCCTTTGCTTTTGAACTCGGCGTCGTGGTGCCGCACGATCGTCTTCAAGTCGTCCCTGTGGCGAGCTACGAGTTCGGCCAGCCGCTTCAAGTTCTTCTCTTCCGGCAGATCCTACTTCTGCGTGTAGCTTCCGCCTTTCAACAAAGCAAACCTCAGATGGTGACCTGGGTGGGCCAGAGTTAGAAATCAGAACAATTACGGCGATGTGGCAAACACTCAGTCCAGGAGCGATTGCTGCCACGGGAGAAGGACAAACTGCAAAAGCCGAAAGATGCCGTCGAGAAATGGATCGGATTCGGCTGATACCAAGGGACGTGCCCACTGTGGAGTAGAAGGTCTTGGGGAAGGAAAGCCGATGTGGATGTACGAGACAAGGAAAGTGGCAGAGACGGACAGTGCAAATCCCGATTGCCCGAAAGGAAAACGTGTCCGCTGAGTGCGAAGCTGGCCAAGCTGGCCAACTGCCCTCCCGGCCTACATCTCTTTCATGATTGTGAGGCCCAAGGAGCTACGGCAAACGTTTGAAAATGGAATCAAAAAGAGCTTGCGATCAATGCCACAAATTGCGGGCCAAGTGCACATACGTGCCTGGCGGCACCATGTGCGTTCGATGTACGCGTCTACAACGCACGTGTTCCTCGAAAAGAGTTGTCTTGCCACGAGGCAGAAGCCGCCATGACGAGAGACGACTACAAGGCTCCTCCGAGCAATTCGCCTGGTTCGTCAACGAAAATATCATTAAGATTGAAGCGGAATCTGAATGGTCTACCTCTGGGCTGGGATACAACCCACCCTTGCTACGTCCTGCCCCTGGTCCGCGGCCCAACCTGACTTCGATTGACGGACAGCTGCTCCGTCTCCTCTGGTCGAAAGAAGACTTCGTCAAACACATTGCCATCGGACCGCATTTTGAAGATGCAGCCCACGATCATGTCTATCTCACCTTCAACGCTTCGCCGGCGATGTTGAAAGAAGCTTTTCTCGCTACTTCCGCTGCCTTTGTTCAGATTCGCAGCGGCTGGCATGACCACCATCATCTTAAATTTCAGCGAGGTGCCAATGCTCTAAGAGTCCTGAAACAATTTGAGAACGTCGACGCCGCACAAGTATACATTGTCATATCTCTGAGTATATGTCTCGCTTTGTTCGAGATCCTTACACTGAGTATGTCGTCGAACGCGGTCTTCACCCATGCGATGACCCTGGTCGCACCGTGGTACATGTCGCTGTCAGACAACTCCATCTTTTCAACCAACACAAACCATCTTCTTTTCATGCACATTGTCGACTGCCTTGTTCATCGAGACGTTCCAATCTTCAAGCCAGTTACGAGGAGCTATGCAGATGTGGATGCTGCTCTGGGTTTATGTGGACCACTCCTTACCATGTTTTACAACATCTGCCAAACAGCCAACGTCACCAAACATGAGCGTAATAACACTTTACGAAGAAGCCGTCATTGGTCAACCCTTGTCGAAGAGCTCTCGAGTTGGACACCTCAGCTACCATCACAGTTCCAACAGCGCTACACCGCAAATGAGAAGCTCTTGGTTCTTAGTCAGGCACACGCGCAGAAGCAAGCGGGCTTGCTGTTGCTCCATCACTTCAGTGGATCGTACGACAAAGACGATGCATTGGCGTCGCTGCACGCCAGGGGCATTCTCTCCACACTTGACCACTGCCTGGAAACAACCGGTCAGTTGCCGCTTCACGTATGCTTTCCTATTCTCATCGCCTTGCTGGAGCTGCCAGATCTCGAGATGCGGCACGAAACCTGTAAACGCCTTGCGGTTGGACAGAGTCTTTTGTATAAGCTACATATGGATAGATTACAGGCTTTTTCGCAAGCCGAATGGCGGCTCAGAAAAGCTGGATGCGAGCAGCCATGGTATGAGAGTCTTGACGCTCTTCCAGCTCTACTCTTTTTACCGTGAAAGAGAACCTCATAAGCTTGAACGGTCTCAACATGCAGAGTATAGCAGGTCTGAAACAGGTATCCCGTTGTGACATGATCACAGTCGACTCCAACATGCAGCTCTAGCAGCAAAGAGTGACACACTGCAGTCCGCTGCTCTCGGGGTTGTGCTTCGTAATCAATTTTTGGCTCATACTCTGCGGCGGAGCTTGGCACGGTGAATTTCGGCTCGACACAGCTAGCTCATGCTGCAAGAGTGGATCGCTGCAAATACGCTTGGAGGATAGAAGTCAACCAGTGCGATGTACCAAGGCTGGCAGCTATTGTTAAGTGGCCCATTGCGAGAACAGGACTTCGGGACGCCCGGGTCCAAAAAACAATCCCACCTGCACGGAGGTATAAGTCCACATGCGGCTAGCGCTTGCACGAAGTGTTACGCAGACAAGCTCTATAAATCTTGTAAGAATCGATGCAGTGCCTTCCAACCTTTACGATTGCTGTCATCGAATTACCACACATCACGACACCTCTTTATAAACTCCAACTGTATTTACGAACGAGCAAGATGGGCAAGACCGACTCCACCGAAGCCCTTGTCCAGGATGCCGCCTACGTCAACGGCGAGATAATCGAGAATGCCTACGTTCAACCAGCCCAAGCTCTGTTAATTCTTGGAGGAAAGATTGTGGCCGTTGGCACCAACAAAGACGTGGCAGCTGTCACGCCAGTGGGAGTCAAGACCATAGATCTGAAAGGCGCCGTCGTGATTCCAGGTCTCATTGACAACCATCCTCACCTCCTTCACTTTGCGGCTTTCAAAGCGCCACTGGTGGACATCCAAGACGCCGCTAGCCATGAAGAGATCATTGAACGCATACGCGTCAGAGCTGCTGAGACGCCCAAAGGCAACTGGATCATGTGCACTCCGATCGGCGATGCGCATTATTTCCAGCGCAAGTCTTACAAGACACTCAAAGAAGGCACCTTTCCCAATCGAACAGTTCTTGATCAAGCCACATCCGATCACCCAGTCGGTATTCAGGCCTGGGCGCTTGTTCTCCCAAATATCGCGTCGTTCAACTCCAAGGCTTTGGAGATACTCGGCATCACTAAAGACACGCCTGATCGAGTATCGGACGTTTTCATCGAGAAAGATGAGCATGGAATTCCGACGGGGATTGTCCGCGGTCATGTCACCAACTATTACAACACCGACCCCTATTGGCAGAAGCTTGCAGCTCTGATGCCCCCAGTCATTCAGCCCGAGTTACTGTACAAATCCTTGGTCGACGCTATGGCTGGCTACAATGCGATGGGGGTCACCGCTATTCACGAATCACACGCCATGGACATTAGTCATGTGGATTTCTATAAGCTGCTGAAAGCGCAGAATGCTCTAAGCCTACGTGTTCAATGTTCTCACGAATTAGAGCCCAGTGCTCTGGGTGGAGACAAGCCGCAGGATCTAGATGGCATCAACGCCCGATTGAGATATGCCTTGGACGACACTGATCTAGAGGACGATTGGCTCCGGATATGCGGTATCACCACCTGCGCTTTCGGATCTTCGTACTGCGGATACTTCGCAGAGAAGAGGGGCTACCTTGGTCCATTCGGCGAACGAACCACAGGAAAGCGCCAAATCGATGCCGCAAAAATCGAGGCCGCTGTCGACTTCTGTGCTCGCACCGGGTTGAAGCTCAATATGTTATCGTGCAGCCCCGACGAGCACGACGAATACATTCACCTGCTCAAGGAGGTTAAGAGAAAGTACGGCATTGCGAAGCTCGAGTGGTTGCTCGAGCACGGCTACGTGATGCGACCGGACCAGCCAAAACAGCTGAAGGACCTCGGATTGGACATCGCTGTAAGCTCAAGCTTTACTTACGGCAAGGGCGATATGATCATTGAACGCTTCGGTGAAGACTACATAAGCCACCTCAACATTTTTCGCTGCATGTTCGACGCGGGCCTGAAGCCCGCAGCGTCCATGGATTTGGGCCCAACAAGCCCCTGGGAACAGATGCAGCTCGCCGTAACACACACGCTGTCGAGCGGGCGGTCGAACGCAAACCTGTCTCAGGTTGTCAGTCGCGAGCAGGCTTACGAGATGTGGACCTGCAACGGTGCGAGTGTAATCCGTTGGCGAGGAATTGGGGATCTTGCGGTGGGGAGTCACGCAGACATCGCAATCATCGACCGCAACCCAATAACATGTCCAATCGAAAGTCTCCCGCAGACCCAGGTTTTACGGACGATTGTTGGCGGAAAAGTAGTCTATGACAGCGAGTCGCATCTTCAACAGTGAAACAAGAGAACGCAAAGTCGCAGTACAATGATAGCAAGGCGTCGGACATGATAGTTGAACAGATGTCTTTACGAATTCTCATTGCGACCCACGTCCACATTGTGTATCGTCTTTGGCCCCGCTCCAACAAAGCAAACCTGTCACGGTACCCACTATAGTGACCCGCTATATAAACGCCGCAGCTTTGCCAATTGACTTGCTTGCAGCACCTGAATAAAGAAATCCCTCCCCCCCTAGTAGTTAGGCCCTTGAACGTTAGAAAGTACTGCTGTTTCTGCGGACCACATGCTGCTCCTCTGCGGTGACCGACGGCCTCGGGCTAGACCTCTGTGAGGAAGACGTGGTGTTGCGTCGGCTGAGAACTCTGATAAAGGATGAATGCTCGGCGATGGGATCATCCTTGTTCCCTGCGTTTGCGTGATTTTCCTCCCCCTGGTGAGCCTGCTGGTTCCTCACCGCATTGGTGTCCTCGCGGAGTCTCAGGTCCTCCTCGAATGCCTCTCCAGAAGAGGAGCGATGTCGCGACCAAGCTTCCGCAGCTCTAAAGACTACTAGTACCTCCGGGTATCTGAACAGATCTGGCGTATTCAGGTCCTTCGCGTACTCAATTTGCTCGAACATTTGCTGGTGATGATACTTCCACTCGTACTCATCAAACAGCGGCTCGAGCGCCTCTATCTCGCTCACAGTATCCTGGACGGCCTGACGTGCCTCGTCCCTGAGCTGCCGTGCCTCTGCCGCGCATTCCTTGTCGTAAATGTGGATAGCAACCTTTTGCACGTTCTTGAGGTGCCCGTCCACCACGCGAGGCGCCGAACGGAACCAGCCCAGGTCGCCGGGGTTCCAGTGGCAGGTGAGATGCCTCAGAGGCACCACCGCGAACAAAGCGTTCCGTGCTAGTTCGGATTTATTCTGCCGGAAGCTGAGTGCGAATGGCCTCAGTGTGTCGAGCAAGGCGGAAACCTCGAGCTTGACTTGCTGCCAGCCTCCCGGGAACTCGCGCTGGCAGATGTCCGGCCGGTTCTTGTCCATGAACGACCAGAGGCATTTCTGCGCAAGTTCTCGGCCCCTGGTGAGCAGCCGGAACAAACGCTCGTCGTCGACGCGGACATGTCCCAGGTCCGAGTTGAGCCAGTCGTCGTCCTCGAGTCGGGTCGTCAATGGGAGCACGTGTAGGTCCAAGAGATCCTTGTACTCGTTGTCCGATAGGGTGTGAGCTGGTTTTCCGAAAGACAGGCTATGCAGCCATGACTTGCTTTCAGGTCGATGCTTCGAGTCCCTCCACTTCTCTTTGGGGGGCTCACCAGGTTGGAATGACGCGCCGGCTGGTCCTGGGCTGTCGGACCACTCATTGCCCCAGCTGGAGGGAGCATTATCCCAACTGGCGGCAGAATCATTCTTCCAATCTCCAGCCTTAAGATGACCATCATCTGAGCCTCCAGGAGATGGATCACAGTATGTGTCGGTCCATCCGCCATCACCGCAGACCTTCTCTTGACGTACTGGTGCATAGCGGTCGTTGAATGCGGCTTGGGTCGCTCCTTGGTCCTCGATAAACGGCAAAGTCTCAGTCATGTGATCTTCTTGGGCCATGCCATCATCACAGATTGTCATTGAAGACTTCGGTGGCGGGGAATATGGGGGCGTCGAAGGCGCAAGCGTTTCTGTCATGGACTCATTTCTGTACCGCATATGGTCAGCCGGGATGAATTCCGGAATCCTTGAACAGCTTCCGAGTCAAGTCTGTGTCTTACCTATTGGTGTCTCCGTCAAATTCCAAATCACTGGGCGCGGTGTAAAACCCGTCAGCCACATTTGTTGGTGAGTTTCCTCGACGCAGCCCCGCCAGTTCCTCCGTCAAGGCTGCGATCTGACGGTCTTTTTGAGCAAGCTGCTTCAAAGCTTGCTCCAGCTTGGTCCTGGTGGCGGCAAGCTTGTCCACCTCGGAGTGTTGATGGGTCAACATGATTTATATATGGGTGTTGTCAAAGGGGTGAGGATTGCGTTGTGGGTGTCTCGGTGCTGTTCATCAAGTCTTCGCTCGTTATCGGAGTTGTTGCACAGACTTGACCAGTTTCGACCTACGATGGGAGGCACTTTTTTCTTATATAACTAGACAAAATTGGACCCGTCCACAGTGAAATGGATGTCTAATGTAAAGTGAAAAGTCAATAATGCTATTGCTATGGCCCTCCATGTGGGCGGCAGGCAACTTGGTGTGAAATGGCCGGAGTGAAATTCTATGAGTAGATAAACAGTAGTATAGTTTAGTCGGTCCAAGGACTAGCCAGGTCTTCGGTATTCACTAAGCTTCAAGTCCCAGTAGTAGGCATGGGGGCTACTGGTGAATGTGGTGGTTCCAGTGCAGCATGGGGGGCCTCAGGTGATTTCAACGAGGAATAGTGACTCCGGTTAGCTGGTTCGACTTTTGTAATCCAAGTTCACATGGTATCTCTGCTGTACCAGATTTACGGGAAGTGTCTGAGTGAAGAGAAACATCCAAAAACGTGTCCTAATAGCTGGCATGTACACAGACAGAACTGACGGCTCTGATTCATAAATCTGTGCTTGGGATAATGAGGGTTCTCTGTATAGAAACCATCCACACTGTGGGACACTCTCAATTTCAAGGGGGGATCTCTTGATACTTTTTGATAGCTTTCCTTACGCATCGTGGCCAGAATGGAAGAGTAAGTTTAACTGACACCGATTCCTTTGGTCGTTCTGAAACTATCGTCAGTGGGGATAGAGAAGAGAACAGGAAATGCCTTTCAAAGATGATATCACACCCAATTAAATACTACTAGTAGTAGACGCTTTCTAAACTCCTTGACATGGTATCTATCAAAGTTAACCCTGCTCCTTTATCTATTTGAATTAGGTAGACTAATTAAATATTGCGCAAGAGAGCGAGTTGTTATATCTACAGAAGATAAGACTGATCAGTTGTATACGTAGTTATATGGTTGAGTTTGGATCGTTTTCGTAAGGTTGTGGCAAATGAGTCATCTTCAACGCTATTTTTGAAGTCTCATCATTACTGCTTGTCTTCATCGTGCAAGCTGAGACCAAACATATGCCTTCTTCCCACAAGCAGCCGTTCCACCTTGCGGACCATTGCCACATGGCATGTGAGCGGTTTGGGTACTATTTGTAGTTAAAAATAGTGAATCTACGAATTTCGCTTTGGGTTTATGATTTCCGATTCGGCAACCTCGCCGAACCAGAGTTGAAAGTGGTGTTCGGAGACTGCTCTACAAATATACGGAGCCGCTGTAAACACCAAGTCAGAAGCTGACTGTTCAATCCCAAAATAATGGCCATCTAGAAATCTTTGAAGTAGCTTATAACCTGGGTCGATCCTCGATTGCTTTGTGCCTGCCCCCCTTCGTCTTGAAATATTCCGCGATTTTGCCCCTGGCAGCTTCAACCGTGGTGATATCTTCAATCGTTGCGGGCCATAAAATGTCCTTCTCAAACTCCTTGTGAACTGCGTTCTCTATCAATTCTTTGAGGACCCTTCTTAGTGTCTTCCCCGATCGAGTTTTAGGTATGATTCCTTTCCCTTGGATTATACCACCAAGTGTCGCAATGCCACCTACTTGTTCGCGGACTCGCTTTTGGATGCCATTGATGAGCCTTTGATCTGGTATGGCAGAGGGAGGATGATCAGGGGTTGACAGAGTGACAAAGGCAAACGGGAGTTGTCCCTTAAGCGCATCTGGTATCCCCACGACGATTGCCTCTGCAACAAGTGGGTGACTCGTAATCGCTTGTTCAATGATGCCTGTTACCATTTGTGAGCGGGGATTAGCCAATATGACAACGGGGCGTACATACTGGTTGACAAACGATGGCCTGCAGTGTTGATCACATCATCGCTTCTGCTCAGTACGCTGACATAACCATCTTCGTGGATGGTGCCGGTATCTCCTGTATCCATCCATTTGCCAAACCGTTTGAGATACCCCTTATAGAACCTCTGTTCATCTCCCCAAAGAGTTCGGAACCCAGCGGGCGGTAAGGGAATCGACAAGACGATATTGCCAACCTCACCTCTTCTAAGTTCCTGCCCTTGGTCGTCCACCACTCTGATGTCGAAGCCCGGCATCAGTTTTCCGGCAGTTCCAGGCTTGACATTGACCAGCGGCAAATGGTTCCGATCCGATCTCTTGCTGCTAGCTGCTGCTTCTGGTGAGAGACTAATGGCGGAGATAGGAGAACCTGTTTCACTCGACCACCAGTTGTCGTTGATTATGGCTCCCGGGGACCCATATTGTCGTAGAAACTGCTGGTACACCGTAACGAGGGACACCTCTGATCTCTCGCCCCCTAGGAATAGCGCCCTCAGAGACGTCAGGGACCCCGCGCTGCCAATTCTTTTCAAGTGTCGATTCTCCGGATCGTCTCCTTTGATGGCTCTCAAAGCAGCTTCAAACATCAGTCAGGGTACTGAAATTGTGTGATGCAATACTTACTTGGTGCCAGAAAGGCACTATTGACCTTGTAATCCTGGGAGCTGTCAATTCTCCAGGCTCTTCCGAAGATGACAAGATGTCTCTGCGTCGGAACACAGCAGTCGACTCACCTGGATGATGCGCCATATACTCGAGCTGTCGGGAGTTCCAACTGGCTTTCCTGTTCAAGACTGTCGGTCAGTATGTCCTAAGGGAATGCTAGTGGATCACCTACCCTCGTATAAAACTGTTGCCGCTCCAGTGAGAAACGGTCCATAGATGATGTACGAATGTCCGACAATCCAGCCGATATCACTTCACTTCAAATCAGTGGAAGCTTTCATGTTTACATTTAAGCAAACTGACCTAGCTGCGAACATTACGTCCCCCGGCCCGTGAATGCCAAAGGTATAACGTATCGAGAATTGCAGACCAACAGCATGCCCTCCGGCATCTCGGACAACTCCTTTCGGAGATCCCGTCGTGCCGCTCGTATATATGATGTAGACTGCGTCATTTGAGTCCACAGGCACACAGTCCGCCTTGATACCACTCGCTCGAGCTTTGCGAGCCAACTCGAACCAATCCCGTTCGCCATGAGTCTCGTCGAGTGGCCAGGTCAATTGTTCCCTCTGACATACCAAAACGCGTCCAGGACTGTGCCCCGATACCTCAATGGCCTCTTTGATGAAGGGTCTGTAGCCTATTGGAGGTTTCTCCCCTTCGATGCCGCAAGAAGCAGTGAGGATGACAACAGGTTTTGCAGCCGCAATTCGTTGGGCTAAAGCGTTCGCTGCAAAACCGCCAAATACTACTGTATGGATAGCCCCGAGTCGATTGGTGGCGAGGATACCTATCAAGGCCTCAGGTATCATGGGCACTTTGAGAAATGAGACTGTCGTTCTGATTGAGGAGGGTGATGACTTACTGTAGACCAACACTACGTCGCCCCTTTTCACACCCTCGTCTCTCAAAACAGCCGCAAAGGTCTCCACCTCACGAAGTAATTGGCTGTAAGTGATCGTCCGTTTCGTCTTCGTGACGGGACTATCATAGAAAATGGCGGGACGGTCCCCATTTCCTGCCAGAACGTGCCGATCAACACAATTATAGCATGTTGAGATCTCGCCCCCGTCGAACCAACTCCAGTAGGGATGCTCCACGCCGCTCTTCAAGGTCTTATTTGACTTCTTGAGGACTGAAGTTGGCTTCCGGTGCCAATAGACACGTTCTGCTTGCTGCGCCCAAAACGACTCTGGGTCCTCCAAAGATTGGCGATGGACTTGATCCTGTGGGAAGCACATCATGATTTTTCAGATCCACCAACTCCAGCACCTAGGTATCCAATGATATGTCAGGTCGAAGGATTGGTAAGGTAAGAATTCAGTCGATAGGTCAAAGAGTGATGGCCAGCGTCAAACATCTATAGCGGCTTATCTTTCTGCCTCTTCGAAATGAGTGACTCGAGGACTGACTTTCTTTACCTGAATCCCGTCATCAGTTGCCGCATAGGTACTTGTGGACTAACTATGGGTGATGCACCGCAGCGGCTAGCGTGTTTCCACTCATCACCCCGATGAAAGCCCACCCCAGTTAAGTTAGTCTCAAACTCAAAGCTTAAACTTCTCTGGCTCGAATAGGTCCGGGCGCCAACCTCGGCAAGTCTTTTACCACCTTGGGGCGCGCGCTACTTTCATGATTTAGAACTGGGAACATCTTCGGCGTTCAAGCCATGAATGAGGTCAGCTGTTGGTAAGCCCCGCTGAGTTTTGTCCACTTTCGTCAAAAACAGAAATGGCTGGTCTGCGGCCAGGAGGCGAAATGATCGATATGCCATACGCGATGTGAATGATTCCAAGTAACTGAATCAATGTGTGCTTGTTGTGGCTAGACTCGACGTTCTCTAATGCAAGCGTTTCTCTCGTGATGTCACCTGGTCCGATAGGTGGACGCCATTGACTAGCCTCAAGGCTCTATGACAGATTCCGGATTCCTTCTTCGTGTTATCCTGAGGCAGTTCAAAGCTTTGCTGCCTAGATACATCGTGCAGCACGGCTCGTGCAACTTCGTCGATTTCTGCGAGCGTGACCGACTTGACCCCGGGCCTCGCCACCGCCGTTGTGACCCAGTGTGCTCCTTCTGTCGGGACACCAATAGCGTACAAACTTCGATGTGTTCGGCCTTTGTTGTCGATTACTCGAAATGGGCTTTCAGTGACATCCAGCCCCCCGGTTTCGTAACCATCCACAGTGTGTGGGCGGCACTGGCCCGTTTTCAACAGGTGCGCAAGGAGCTTGTCGTCAGTTCGCCGAAGGCTAATCTCTGGCAAACGCGCTTCTATGAGCGTGGTAACTCGTACCGTCGAGAGCGGTATTTCAGCTGAGCGAGCGAGCCACGCTTTGCCGTCGGTTTCGATTTCCAAACGTGGTCCCAGAACGTCCAGCACGCCAGCCTCTATCAATGCGATCATCTCCTCAATGCGGCGCCGAGGTGGGCCAATGGACAAAAACGCATTGAATGGAGTATACCAGCCATCGAGGTGCTCATGCCGAGAGCTTCCCAATAGCCCCTTGTGATCCACAACCATCCGTATCTCTTTGCGTATGTCGCGCATAACGTCCAGAGCTGCCTTCAAAGGTCCATTGACATTGCCGGACGCAGCCTCTCTTGCATCTTCCCGCAGATAGTCAAGCAACCAGCTTCGCCAAGAGTTGGGGTTGTCAAATTTGAGTCCGTCAAAAGGCCTTGCGATGTGGCTCCAAGATAGACGGTCTGGTTCGGAAATTCCGTACTTGTCAAGGACCTCGGCTTCCTGAGGGCTGTTACTGAGAGTCCTGAGAAATTCGTGTTGAAAGTCGGCAGGACCCAAACATCGCTGCCTTAATATCGCCGCGTAGTAGACTGTTCCGATCTCTTTATTAACGAGCGGCCAGACTTCGTTCAGAAAGTCCGGTGTATGTCCTGATCTCGCGCGACGGCGAAAGTCACGAACGGCTTCTTCCGTGAGAATGACAGGCTCATGGCGACCGTACGGCCCCTTTTCATTGTCACCGCGTGCATGATACGGGATGCCGCGGCGGGACCCAGCATATAGTCGAGGCTCCTTTCCCGACGAGATATATCGAAGTCCGTCGGATGTAGTGATGAAACGACCACCGCGGCCCGTAGTTAGGAGGGTCATGTAATCGAAGAAGCAAAGGCCCAAACCGCGAAGTGCAACTGGTTCGCCAGGAACAACGGAAGAGAGGTTGACATCTGCCGGATTCTTTGGAGGGAAGTACCGCAAGCCATGTCTGTCAGCGTAAGTCGTACTGAGCCGTTGTTCCGAATCAGCCACGAGGGGCAGATGTCCTTGGGCTAAAATCACAGCCCCAAGTTCACGAATGACGTGCCCGTTGGACAGAACAATACTTTGCCGATGGTAATTATGCCCATCGAGACGGATAGCTTTGACCGTGTGTGTCCGCACCTCCACATTGGAAGGGGCATCTTCCACGGTTTTGTTGAAAACCCACTGCAGATATTCGCCGAACTGAGCTCGGGTCGGGTAGTCATCAGGGCCTAGTGGAAATCCGTATTTCAGTGACCATTCATAAAAGCTCGGTCCCGGTCGTATTGGTCCATGACAAACAACAGTCTCGTCAGTGAACATGGTTGCCTGGGACGCCACAGTGTTCATCCAGAGGTGCGGTGACTGATCAGTGCGCCAAACACTTCCGGGACCCGTAGAGGACGGATCGATGACATGGATAGTGAGGTGCGTTCCTGGCGGGAAGAACTCAGATCCAGATGAGCAGAGACGTTCCAGGACACTGGTGCCTCGTGGCCCTGCGCCTATGATCGCAACATGGGCCTTAGCTTGGAATGGTAAACATCCCCTGAGCAGCGGGGCCATATGGATGTCGAGCTCATCCATTTCGAACGGGTATTCAATGATGGAAGTGGATGGGAATGCGAATGTTTGTAATTCTACTGAGCTCGCTGCGATAGATGTCTTGGGAATGTTGAATGGTACAGAGCTTGGTGTGGTACCAAGAGTCATTGTGCAAGACTCTGTGGCATCAGCAACGCATAACAAACCGGCAAAAACCCAGGTACTATGATACCAGGCATAGGTACCTAGGCATATTGCCCTGCTACGTTGAAGTCTGGTTTAGCACATACCAGATACAGTACAAGCATATGTGAAACCACAACAAGTAGTTCAATACGGAACTTAACACCCGAATAATCGCATGCACATTTAGTTTATTACCAGTGTAACCTTTACTGATCAAGTTTGATAATACTACTAAGTAAGTTCTTATCTTTTCAGACTTATAAGCTAAGAGCTGTATATAAGTACTAAAAAAAATAAGATATTACAAAAAGAAAAAAAATAACTTTGAAAGTAATAACCTCTTTAAATAATAATTATTTCTTTATGCGAATGCGACTATCTTTGGTGTTACATTGAAACATCAACATATACCTTGGGCGATTTTCGACATGTGCCTGTGTCCCTGTCGTATACTCACCGCTGTGTAGGTACGCTGGTGAACTATCCTTTGGTCTTAAGCAACAGTTCCCCTATGCTTAGCTTGCTAACTCAGTTGTTACTCTAGTATATTCATTAATCCGCTCTGCCCAATCCTACAGCCCCCGATCTGCTTATGACAAGACAGCTGTTGCGAGTCATTGCAAACCTAGATTGATCAGTCGTATCGACTAAGGAACTCAATCGCGATCCGTCTGTAGAAACAGAATACGGCAATCGGTGTTTCGCAAGCACGCCAGCACCCAGCAGGAAGCATGGCATCCAACACATCAATGGCAAGGGTATCAACCCAATGTAATGCCTCGCAGGGTCAAGTTCCGTGCGTCATCCAGCTGCTACCCTGCCTTCACGCGCCATGACATGACTAGTCCGCATATTCCTGAATTGGCCCCATGATTACTAGTAGGAAACGCAGGGGATACACTTTTTAAGTTCATTATAGTCACGACGCACTAGGCAGTTTTAATCACGTTGCAGTAGCTAAGCGACTATGATACACAATGGTTTACTTTTCCGATGCACGAGCGGGCCAAGTCCTGCAACAACAACCATGGCCTTGCTGCGGCTGAGACTCGTGTTTCTCGTGAACTATGTTCGAACCCTTGAAAGTTGGCAGTTAGTAAACTGGGTGGCCAGAATATTTCCAAGCTTCTTGTGAACTTTATCCATTCCCCCTGAGAGTCGGCAGTCTGCGAATTGGCTAACCGAGGGATCTCCAGCATACCTGGGTAGGTAACGTCCCTGGCCCCGATCCCAGCCGCCCCCTAATCCCGGCCAGCCCATACCCGCATATATATATAAACGCATTTATACCCACCTTATATTAACTCCTTAATATCTTTATAAGGAATTTTTTTTTAATTATTAAACTTTTCCTAAATATTATTTTCTTTATTATAAAGCAATATTTTAAAGATAATTTTATTAACGCCTTTATTATTATAAAAAATAAGATATTAATTTAATAAGCCTTTAAGATATAGCATATCCTTTAAATTATATTATTTAATTATTTTAATAGCATTTAAAGCTATTACATTATTACCAACCCTTAAAAGTTTTTTTTTAATTATTAAAAAGCTTTATTAGCTTTATTTATAATTAATTAAAATAGCTTAAGGCTAATATTAATATAATTTAAAATAAGGGCTTTAAAAGCTTAATTAACCTTCTTAAATAAAAACTACCCTTTCCTTAAAAGGAATTAATTAAGAGCCTTTCTTTTTTATTATTTTATTTTTTAAAGTTAAAAGAATTAATATATAAAGACTATTTATCTTTAATTAATAATTAAAAAAAATATTACCTTTTAATTTAACTTCTTTTAACTACTTATTATTAAGTTTATTTAATTAGCTTATTAATAAAATACTAATAAAAAAGGGTTAATAAAGAGTTGCTTAAAAAATGCTCTTACTTTTAGCTATTTAAAGGATAATCCTTTTTTTAAAAAAGACTTTAATTCTTAAATATAAACTTCCTTTATAAAGTATATTAATGCCTTAAATATAATTTTTAAACCTTTTATTATTTTTAAAAAAGGAAATATATAATAACAATAATTTTTAATTACCCTTAAGGATTACTTTAGCTAGTGATGGGAATAAAGGTTTAAAATTTAATGTCCCCTGTGAATTTAAGGTAAATTCGCGGGGAATTTCTTTATTTAAATATATATATAGTGAATTCACTATAAAACTATATATTTATAATGAATTTATTATAAAAGTACCATAAATTTATAAATACCTATGAATTTATAGCGAATTTATTATAAATTTATTATAACCTATTTATATTATATTAAATTCCTTTTTATAAATAATTTGCTTTTAAGCATAATCTTTTCGCAGTATTAATAAATAGTTTAAACTTAGATAAATTTAGGAAATGGCAGTAAATAGGGAATTTAAACCTTAAAAGCCGCTTTAATAATAGCAAAAGGCAATGAAAAAAATATAGGAGTCCTTAATAAGGTATTTTAACTGCTATTATAAACTTTAAATATTAAAGAGAAATAATTATATAAATATATTTATAATTTAGCTAAAATATTTAATATAATAAAAGTAATTAATAATAATGCTAAAGGGTCTTTCCTATAAATAATATAATAAGCTAACTTTTGTTTTTAAGTAAATAGCGGAATATATTTTAATTTAATATATTAATAAAACTTAATTTATTTTTATTATGCTTAATAATGGCAAAGCGGATTATGCAAAGTGGGTTTATTAAAGCAGTTAATAGCGAAGTAGTTAGGCTGGGAATATATATAAATAACGCTATAATATAAAAAATGCAATAGCTAAATATAGCAAAGTCTTAAATTTAATTTACCTTTATAGCATTATAATGAAAGTTTTAATTATTATTATAAATTTATTATAAATTTATTATAAATTTATTAAGTATTATTCTTAAGATGAAATAAATAAAGTAGCGGGCATAGTTATATACTTATAGGGCGGGTTAAGCTATATATATAGATATTATAACTATTAGCGTATTTTATTTTTATAATATTTCTTTATATTAATATAAAATTATTAGTTTATAAATTAATTAATATATTAGCTATTAAAAGAAAAAATTTAAATTACTCTTATTTATAATAAATCCTTTTAAAATAAAGTAAAATAAAAATAATATTATTTTTTCTTAGTTTTTATTATAATAAAATATAAATATAATTATATAATTATAAAATCTTTAGTATTTAATTTTGCTTAATTAATATTAATAGTATTACTATTGCTATGGCTATTATTAATAGTTCCTTAAATTGCATTAATTGCATTATTAGCAATATTAGCGGTAATTAAATTAACTTTATTATTAATTAGCATATAGCACTTTATTATGCTATAAGTTTTAATATAATTAACTAAGCTAATAATATAATTGCATATAATATTTTGGCTAATAATAATTAAAAAGTTGCTAAACTTAGCCTTTTAAGTATAAATAATAATTAGGTAGTTAATTTAATTATCCTTATTATAATAAATTTTAATAATGCTAAAGTTTTAATTTATGCATAGCAGTTTATATAAGATAAAGCTAATAAAAATATAATTAGTTTTATTATTTAGGTTGGCAAAGCATAAGATATTAATAACCTTATATAAATTAATAAAGAGAATATATAGAATTAAAGTTATAATAATATACTTATTATAAGCAAAGATAATAGCAATGCATTAATTATTAATATTAATTATATTATTGCGCTAAGCAAAATAATTATTAAAAAGGTTAATAATAATAAAATAGTATAGGTTAAATTTAAAGTTAATAGTCTTTTTAAACTTACTTATAAATATAGTAATATTTATATAAAAATTCTTAGTTTTAAAGAATATAATAATAATAATTAAGTTTGCCTTTTTAAATTAAGTAGCATTAACCTTTTTTTTAGCTAAAAATATAAATAAGTTATTAAAATTAAACTTTAAGATAATTAAATAAATAAGCTTAATATTATTCTTATTATTATTAAGAAAGCTAATAATTGCTTTATGCTTATGGCTAAAAGTAAATAGGCTAAGATTAAGATTAAGGCAATAAAGAATATTAATAAGGAATTAAAGCTTTTAAGCTTTATTAAATAATTAGCTAACCTTAATAGTTAGCGTTAAGATGATAGCCTTATTAATTTTAACGTTAATAATTTACTTAGCTAAGTATATACTTAGGTTCTTAGCTATATAAATAAGGGCGGTTATAGTAAAAATAGTAGCGATAGCCTTTTTATTAATAATTAAAATTTCCTTATCTTAATAAATAAACTAACTATATGGGTTGTAAGCTTAGTTTTTAAGAGGCATGTTATATTAATGGTTTTATGGTATACCTTGATAATAGATATTAGGGGATGGGTTATGTGAATATAGGCTTGGCGGGTTATTGTGGTGGTTGTGGGCAGGGGAGTTGGTTATATGCTTTTTAATGGGTTTATAATTATGGCAGTGTTAACTTGCTGTAAATGGATAGTATTGTGGGATAATGGGATTGATAATGGCCTTTAAGGTAGTGTAATAATGGTTAATTAGCAGGATGGTTAGCTAAACTTAATAATGGATAATATTAATAAAAGCTAAGAGGATATATTATGAAATTATAAATAATTAAAGCAATATAGCTAGGAGGGCTGGTTAGGCACATTAATTTATTATAAATTCATAGTGAATTATTTATACTTAGGTAATTGCTCTTTAAGTAACCTATGCATTGCTTTAATATAATGAAGCTATGGTAGTAAGGTTACCATTAGTCCTTCTTTTTAATAGCCTTTTTTGCTTAATAGGTAAGCTTAGCTAAAAAATATTTCTTAGCTTAAAAAGCAAAGGCTTTGTTATAATATAATAATTAGCTTATTAATAAAAAGCCTTTATTTTAGCTCTTTATGCCTTAAAGTTCTTAATTAGCTTATTAGCTTATAAATAATAAGCTAGCATTTATATATTATAATAATATAAGTAGTTTATTTATTTAATAAAATA